CAATATCACAGAAGCTACAGACTTCGTACAAATTGCTCTGGATAGGGCGAGAGAAGCTCTTTCGTTTGACACGTAGAAACATGGCGTCATTGCACGCACATCGTTGTGACACGATTGCATTTCTAGTTCCTAGTTAGGTGCTTTCCCCATGTCCATTTCCTTTCAAATTTCGTAGGCATCATCTCTAGCATCTCATCCAGGTCACTACTTTCTTCGATTTTCGAAATCACTCATGCATAACCGTCCAGGCGCCATTTTGTCCGTTTCTGGTCCATTTTAAGGCCTTTCTTTCTTCCTTCCCATCTCCACTATCCTAGATCCTACAAACTTCTAACAAATTCCTCTAGATAGTCTAAGAGATGTTCTTTTATCTGCGACGTATAACCTGACCTTCAAAATGCCATCTTCGTACTCAAAATTGAAATCTGAAACCGACTCCGTCAAAAATCTCTCAAGTTCTTGAAAAATTGACCCCTAAATAATCTAAAACTGCCATAACTTTCTCATATGAATTCTGTTTTGTATTTAAATCTCACAGTATCTTTATCTCATATTTGCACATAGCCATGCCAAATTTCACGCTCCAATGGCTATACAAAACATAAATAGCGCCCTCTAAAGTTCTGGTAATTGGCTTTCTTTCTGTGGCCGTATCTCCATTATGGCTTGGCAAATCCGTACCCTTTTTTGGATTTAGATACTTGAAGATATGCCCTTTCCAGCCATATACAAAATTATATACCCTAACACTGACCGACTTTGCGAAAAATGCCCTCCAAATTCGCCATTTTCAAGAAAATTGAGAAATAACTTCAACTTGCTCTAAATTAGCGATCGTTATACCTACATCAATGAAACTTGGCACACATATGTATCCATATACGTGACAACTGTCTGTCAAGTTTAATAAGTTGTAATGCCCTCGTCGCAAAGTTATCGCCAAAAATGATGAATTTACTATGCATTACGTTATAGCGCGTTAAATGCGTGCAATACATTTGGCGGAGATAACAATAGTGTCAAACTGACCGCAATGAAGTGCCCTTTCGCATGATACCAAGTACAGTATATGTTCACACAGAAAATTGTGAGTAAATCGCATTTTAACAAAGGTCACTACACGAATTCCGCCCGAATCTAACACGTATCGGCTATGACGTCATTTTTTCAGACTGCTTTTCGCCCCCTAAATGTCCTTTTTTTTCCTTGAAAATTTGCAGTGGCATGCCGAGTTCCAATACGCAGGGCACCTCTTGGCCGGATTTTCGAAATTGGTCAAGGGGGCCATTCAAGACGCCATTTTGTTCTATAAATCTATTTTACATCACGTGTTTCGATAGGATTATCATAGATAAAAAGAGAGTAGTTTACAATAACAACCATGAAATTCTCTTTCTAATGATACCAAATACGGCCTATAAAGAGACATAAAGAGAGAGAGAAAAAACAATTTAACTCCGGTCATAATACAGATCCTGTACGTTTTCCGCCCATTCATTACACGCATTGTCTATGGGGCATATCGGGTTCACGCTTTTGGCCCCCAGAACGATGTTTATTGCAATGACGAACATGCACCAAATCCCCTTGGTTTTTGCACGCAGTGTTTAGTAACTCTTTCTAGGTTCTTTCCCCTATCCCAATTTCTTACAAACTTCGTAGGCGTAGTCATTACCATGCCATCAAGGTCACTCTTGAGGCCTTTCTTTCGCCCTACCTATCTCCAATATCACAGAAGCTACAGACTTCGAACAAATTGCTCTGGATAGTCCGAGAGAAGCTCTTTCGTTTGACACGTAGAAACATGGCGTCATTGCACGCACATCGTTGTGACACGATTGCATTTCTAGTATTCTCCTTTCCCTTATCCTTATCGTCAGGAAATCGCATTCGTTTTGCACGTAGTGTTTGTGATTCCTAGTTAGGTGCTTTCCTCATGTCTTTTTCCTTTCAAATTTCATAGGCATAGTCTCTAACATCTCATCAAGGTCACTACTTTCTTCGATTTTGGAAATCACCCATGCATGACCGTCCAGGCGCCATTTTGTCCGTTTCTGGTCCAATTTAAGGCCGTTATATCTTCCTTCCCATCCCCACTATCCTAGATCCTACAAACTTTTAACAAATTCCTCTAGATAGTCTGAGAGATGTCCTTTCATCTGCGACGGATGACTTGACCTTCACAATGCCATCTTCATACTCGAATTTCAAATCTAAAACCGACTCCTCCAATAAATCTCAAGTTCTTGAAAAATGGACCCCTAAACAATCTAAAACTGCCATAACTTTCTCATATAAATTCCGTTTTGTATTTAAATCTCACAGTATCTTTATCTCATAATTGCACATAGCCGTGCCAAATTTCACGCTCCAATGGCTTTGCACAACATAAATAGCGCCCTCTAAAGTTTTAGGAATTGGCTTTCTCTCTGTGGCCGTATCTTCATAATGGCTTGGCAAACCCGTACCCTTTTTTGGATTTAGATACTTGAAGATATGTCCTTTCCAGCCATATACAAAATTATATACCCTAACACTGACCAAATTTGAGAAAAATTGCCTTCCAAATTCGCCATTTTCGAGAAAATTCCGAAATAACTTCAACTTACTCTAAAATAACGATCTTTATACCTACATCAATGAAACTTGGCAGACACATGTATCCATATACGTGACAACTGCCTGCCAAGTTTGGTAAAATTCGAATACGTCAGCGCAAAGTTATCGCCAAAAATGATGAATTTACTATGCGTTACGTAATAGCGCCTTTAATGCGTGCAGTACACTGCGCGCAGATGACAACGGTGTCAAACTGACCGCAATGAAGTGCCCTTTCGAATGATACCAAGTATGGTATATGTTCACACAGAAAATTTTGAGTAAATCACATTTGAACAAGGGTCATTATACGAATTCCGCCGAGTTTCCGCCCAATAATATAACACGTATCGGCTATGGCGTCATTTTTTCAGACTGCTTTTCACCCCCCTAAACGTCCCTTTTTTTCCTTGAAATTTTGCAGTGACATTCCGAGTTGCAATACGCAGGGCACCTCTTGGCCGGATTTTTAAAATTGGTCAAGGGGGTCATTGAAGACGCAATTTTGTCCTATAAATCTATTTTACATCACGTGTTTCGATAGGATTACCATAAAACAAAAAAAAATTGTTTACAATAACAACCATGAAATTCTCTTTCCCATGATACCAAATACGTCAGATAAAGTGACATAAAGAGAGAGAAAAAACAAACAATTAAAGTCCGGTCATAATACAGATCCTGTACGTTTTCCGCCCATGCATTACACGCATTGTCTATGGGGCAAATCGGGTTCACGCTTCTGGACCCCAGAACGATCTTTATTTTTCTTGAAATTTTACAGGCACATTCTAAGTGGCCAAGTGCAGAGCATCAAGAAGCCGGACTTTTTTTAAAAATCGGTCAAGCATGACATTAAATGCTACTTCATACTCTGCGTAACTAGTCCGAGAGATGCTCTTTCGTTTGACATGTAAAAACAAGGCGTCATTGCACGCACATCGTTCTGACACGATTGCATTTCTAGTATCGTACCGAACTTGTTTAACATACTAAATATTGTACAACATCACTTGTCGAAACACGACTAACCCCAAATAAGTGCGTGGTTATACGAAAATGAATAACATCCCACTGAGCTGGTTAAAATTATTGAAAACAAAGTAAGCAATCGTACTAACTCTCCATAATTATATCCACACCTTATATGTAGGCCCCTATCTCCTTTGCCTACAATCAACCCGACCTTGTCCAACCTATTAACGGACATAAAGTTTATATGTCTCACTGCGCCATCTCCCCCATCTCCTTAGGGAATGATATGTTTGCGGAATTAGAAGATGAGACTAGCCTGTGGCTAGGTAACTCACCGGGTGGAGGATGGACAATAGACGGTTGATTCGCCGTTTCTAGGGATTCTGTGATGTTGGCCCCCCCCCCCCCCGTCGGAGTCTGGTCTCCTTGGCGCTCCCGCCCTGCCGAAGCGGCTGGGTTACTCCTCGAGCCGCGTCTCGTCACTCGAGAATGTGGAGCTGGCGTTGTCCCCCTGATCGGGTCACTGTTTTGAAGCGCTGGCTCTCTCCGCTTTCCTTTGCCCTTTCGTCCCGTAGACGCCTTAGACTTCCCCATCTTGTCGTCCACACAATACAGACGAGCTAGTTAGACGACTATGCCGCAATCCGAGCTCCGATGTAACTTCCTCCAATATTTAATTCCAGCTATCCAATACAATTACTCCTCTGTTCAATTCCAAATATCTAGTGTAACATTTTCTCTTTTTAGATCCAATTATCCAGTGTAACTCTTCCTCTGTTTAATTCCAGATATCCAGTGTACCTTTTCCACCGTTTAATCCTTATATCCCGTGTAGCTGTCTCTCTGTTCAATTCCGAATATCCAGCGTATTGGTGTGAAACCCAGTGATAATAGAAACTAACCGGTGCAGTCAGTTCAACAGCGACAACCTGTGTACAATTAGCATGTATAATTCTGAGTCCAATAAAACACGACCAACTCAAACGAAGTATTAGCTGAGAATGACCCATTGATTAGTAAAAATACACGTCGTGGGAAACACTTGCCTTGCGACCCCGATATGTATTACAAAAGCGCGCCTATCATTGATATTTACAAAACACGCGTGGTAAAGATTCGGCTTTGTGACCTCAATGTAGGTTACAAAGAGATGCGCCTATGTTTGATATTTGCCGACCTGCTGGGAAACATTCGGTTATTGACCTCAAAATCATTTTACAAAAGAGGCGCGCTATCGTGTGTAGTCACCGGCTTGCCGCATATTTCCGGCCTACACTATCGCATTCTATTACAATTGGGTTTATTTTGATAACATCAAAATAAACGTATTCTTTTGAACACAAGACACGTATCGAAGCATTTCATTTTCTGGTATATGCGCAATAGATCATTACTGCTTGTTCTTCCAAATGTGTGTTGACATACAGAGACCATAACTACTGTGGTGACTACGAGTGTTGCTACCACTACCACACCAGCAACCACTACAACTCCGGCTACCACTACAACAACAGAAAAGACAACTACAGCTATGACAACAGGAAGTACCACAACTGTCGAAGAGACAACCATGGTCATGACAACGACACCTGAAGTCACCACCACTGAAGCAACTACAACAATGGCAACAACAACTCCAGGTACTCATCCTTTTCAACTCAAAATAATCACTCATATTCCCAGAGTAAAACATTTCCAAAGATATTTCACCTTTTCTACTTGGCTTGAAATGGTATTATCATTAAAGTACCTAAATGCAGAAAGAAGCGTACGGTTTAGCAATGTTTGATGTAGCCTTGGCCACACAGAGATAACAGTTTTCAGAAATTCAGATGGAGCTGTTTATAACATGCTTCATTAATCGTGCTTGTTGTGCCCTGTTCTGCTTGTTGAATACAATATACACATGTTGTATTCTGCAAACGAAAAAGCGAGAAAATGCACATATTATACAGCGCCCTACTGTGCCTAATTATTGTGTGTTTCATTTCGTTTATGTGAATTTTGATATCGTTTTAGGTGACTGCGCGAAAAACCTGAATGATGATAGTCAGCCGGATCCGGTGATCACCCTCCAGACATCCGACATGACTGACGTTACTCCAGATCAAACTGTCACACTTTCCAGTGGGACATCGTCAATCACCGTTCGATTCGGAAGTAGTGATACCGGATACAAGGTCCTGACCAGAGTGACAGCCGTCATCCTGAGTCTTGTCGATCCAACAACAGAAAGTCCGCCCATGATGATTCGTCTCGAAGGCGTCACTTTTTCAAACGGAACGACAGCTGAAGACATTGGTGAAATTAATTCAAGTGGCCCAACCACCGGAATGTTTAGACTTGGGGCACTCGGAGAAGAACCCGTGGATGCTTTGGTCTTTTCCGTGCCCGACATTTTGCCTCAAAACGCTTCTTCAGTAGACGTTGTCGTCCGATTTGATGGATGCATCAAGACAGGTGAATATAACCTACTTCATAATAATTGCCTTCCGAACGTAATTAGGCCACATGGAAAGTATCATTTCCCGTACATTCCGTCGAGTCTTGTACCAGGCAAAGCAAGCACTTGTGATTCTTGCCATGTATAACATGTTAACAATGTATGTAACTCATTAGAAGGGAAAATGAGAATGAAAGTCGATACTATTATCCTGTTTACTTTCTAGATGTACAAAAATTGCATCAGAATGAGCATTACCTCGGTTGAAATATGCATTCTTTTGAACACAAGACACGTATCGAAGCACTTCATTTTCTGGTATATGCACAATAGATCATTACTGCTTGTTCTTCCAAATGTGTGTTGACATACAGAGACCATAACTACTGTGGTGACTACGAGTATTGCTACCACTACCACACCAGCAACCACTACAACTCCGGCTACCACTACAACAACAGAAAAGACAACTACAGCTATGACAACAGGAAGTACCACAACTGTCGAAGAGACAACCATGGTCATGACAACAACACCTGAAGTCACCACCACTGAAGCAACTACAACAATGGCAACAACAACTCCAGGTACCCATCCTTTTCAACTCAAAATAATCACTTTATATTCCCAGAGTAAAACATTTCCAAAGATATTTCACCTTTTCTACTTGGCTTGAAATGGTATTATCATTAAAGTACCTATAAATGCAGAAAGGAGCGTACGGTTTAGCAATGTTTGATGTAGCCTTGGCCGCACAGAGATAACAATTTTCAGAACTTCAGATGGAGCTGTTTATAACATGCTTCATTAATCGTGCTTGTTGTGCCCTGTTCTGCTTGTTGAATACAATATAGCACATGTTGTATTCTGCAAACGAAAAAGCGAGAAAATGCACATATTATACAGCGCCCTACTGTGCCTAATTATTGTGTGTTTCATTTCGTTTATGTGACTTTTGATATCGTTTTAGGTGACTGCGCGGAAAACCTGAATGATGATAGTCAGCCGGATCCGGTGATCACCCTCCAGACATCCGACATGACTGACGTTACTCCAGATCAAACTGTCACACTTTCCAGTGGGACATCGTCAATCACCGTTCGATTCGGAAGTAGTGATACCGGATACAAGGTCCTGACCAGAGTGACAGCCGTCATCCTGAGTCTTGTCGATCCAACAACAGAAAGTCCGCCCATGATGATTCGTCTCGAAGGCGTCACTTTTTCAAACGGAACGACAGCTGAAGACATTGGTGAAATTAATTCAAGTGGCCCAACCACCGGAATGTTTAGACTTGGGGCACTCGGAGAAGAACCCGTGGATGCTTTGGTCTTTTCCGTGCCCGACATTTTGCCTCAAAACGCTTCTTCAGTAGACGTTGTCGTCCGATTTGATGGATGCATCAAGACAGGTGAATATAACCTACTTCATAATAATTGGCTTCCAAACGTAATTAGGCCACATGGGAAGTATCATTTCCCGCATACTCCGTCGGGTCTTGTACCAGGCAAAGCAGGCTCTTGTGATTCTTGCCATGTATAACATGTAAACAATGTATGTAACTCATTAGAAGGGGAAAATGAGAATGAAAGTCGATACTGTTATCCTGTTTACTTTCTAAATGTTCAAAAATCGCATCAGAATGAGCATTACCTCAGTTGAAATATGCATTCTTTTGAACACAAGACACAGATCGAAGCATTTCATTTTCTGGTATATGCACAACAGATCATTACTGCTTGTTCTTCTAAATGTGTGTTGACATACAGAGACCATAACTACTGTGGTGACCACGAGTGTTGCTACCACTACCACACCAGCAACCACTACAACACCGGCTACCACTACCACGACAGAAATGGCGACTACAGTCATGACAACAGGAAGTACCACAGCTGTCGAAGAGACAACCACCGTCACGACAACAACACCTGAAGTCACCACTACTGAAACAACTACAACAATGACAACAACAACCCCAAGTATTTATCTTTATCAACTCCAAATAAGCAATTCAAATTACTAGTGTAAAACATGTACATGTGATCACACCCATATATTTGGCTGGAAAGGGTATAATCTTGAAGTATCTACTTCAAAAACACGGTGCATAGGTTTTGCAACGTATAATCAAGCTGCGGCCTCACAAAGATAACCATTTTCAGAACTTTAGATTCCACTATTTATATCCGTCATGGTTATTCGTGCCTCAAATTAGGTTAAGGCCTTGCAGTGTTTGATGAAAAAAATATATTGTGACAAATTTAGAAATAAAGGAATTGATATGAGAAAGTTACAGCGATTGTTCGTATTCCAGGTATATATTTCACGAACTTCAATACATTTTGCAAGGCTCAATTACGCTTTTGAATTTAGAGTGTGGAAATGGTATCTTAAAGGGCAGGTTATCCATCACAGTTGGAAAAGCAACTCCTGGAATATCTAGAGCAATTTGTTACAAGCCTGTAGTATCTAGCATAGTGGAGGTAGGCAGGCAGATATAAAGGCAAGAAAACAGGGCTCAAACGGACAAAATGGCGCCTCAACGTTCATGCAGGAATAATTTAGTAGCAAAGAAAGAACTCAGTAACCACGATGATATGCTAAAGAATATGCATGGGATAATTGAACAGAACAGAAAATATGAATGGACCGAGATAAGTCTCATATATTAGCACTTAAAAAGAATGGGAGTTTGAAAGAAGAAGATGGAGGATATGCATACCATACACGCGTTGAATGATAAAAGGCATGGCTGAGGGCTTCAATGCAATACTAATTATAATATTAATAATTACAATAATATATAGTATTCAAGTATTCATACTACAGGTGTTTTTCCTCAAAAAGAACACGTGTCTGGCAAATCGAGAAAGTCTTGAGGATCTAGCATCAGAACCCTCAGTAGTGAAAGTAGTGCCAAACTTCCATTAGTTATGAACAATCCCTCATTTTTGTTGAACATCATTTCAAATTGATGAATCACCTTAACAAATAACCATTACCCTCCTTCCTCATTCAACAGAACCAACTGAAATAGGCGACACCGGTATGTACAAAAGTTTCTTCTGTAATATTTTCTAAATTCAAATTGATTTGGATCTGATAGGAACTCTATTAGCTGGATTAACTGTAGACTGGATATTGTACTTTTAAACAGGAGCTTAAAACAAACGTATATCACTTCGACAGGCGATTTTAGTTCCACTGATCATACAACAGTCTCTTAAATTCGGTCAAAATTTGTACAAGCAAATGTGTAACCAGAATTCTGTTCATAATACTACAATGAGCTTTGAAAGATAATCACTAACTTGAAAGATAACTGCCATTCAAAAAAAAAGGCGTTATTTCTCTTTTTCTCCCATAGAGCATAGGGACGGAATTATGTGTACATAGTTACAATTTTACATTTGAGCAGAATATTTCGTCCTCCGGAAATGACCTGATGCAATGGCACGAATTACGAAATAGCCTCATAATACCCTTAATATTGACGTTTCTGCAAAAGGATCAAGGTTTCCAACATCATTTTAGGTTGGTGGCATGTATACAAATTCGATGTTAGAACGATCGGACGTTGCATAATCTAATTCATTCATAAGTATGTGTTGAAATACAACTTCAACTGGCATTTATCTTGCTGCCCTCATGTCATAGAAACTACCACACAGAGGACCCGAACATCAGGTTTGACCACGCCCACCACATCAAGCAGTGAGACTACCACCCTGTCTACAACTACTTCTGGCCAAACAACGCCAGGTAGGATTTTTTTTAAATTTTGTGTACACTTCCTTTGTGTCTTATATATCAATCTTTTAGGAAATCAAAGACAGGTGACTTTGCACCTCATCAACTTCATACAAAGAAATGTTCTGATCTCTATTTACAACGTAGGTACAAAGTGCTCCAATACTGAATTTCTGTCCAAGTGAGCGACAGGTATTCATTTTTAAAACCTCCATCTACATCCTATTCAAATCTAGGGTTCTGTAAATTCTTGGAATTTTGTTCTGCTCTGTTTTGCTTATTAATTACAAAATAGCACATGTTGTATTCTGCAAAGGGAAATGCGGGACAATGCAGAATCTTTACAGCGCCCCACTGTGCCTAATTGCTGCGTGTCTCTTTTCTTTTGTGTGACATTTGATGTCATATCAGGTGACTGCGCGGAAAACCTGAATGATGATAGTCAGCCGGATCCAGTGATCACCCTCCAGACATCCGACATGACTGACGTTACTCCAGATCAAACTGTCACACTTTCCAGTGGGACATCGTCAATCACCGTTCGATTCGGAAGTAGTGATACCGGATACAAGGTCCTGACCAGAGTGACAGCCGTCATCCTGAGTTTTGTCGATCCAACAACAGAAAGTCCGCCCATGATGATTCGTCTCGAAGGCGTCACTTTTTCAAACGGAACGACAGCTGAAGACATTGGTGAAATTAATTCAAGTGGCCCAACCACCGGAATGTTTAGACTTGGGGCACTCGGAGAAGAACCCGTGGATGCTTTGGTCTTTTCCGTGCCCGACATTTTGCCTCAAAACGCTTCTTCAGTAGACGTTGTCGTCCGATTTGATGGATGCATCAAGACAGGTGAATATAACCTACTTCATAATAATTGGCTTCCAAACGTAATTAGGCCACATGGGAAGTATCATTTCCCGCATACTCCGTCGGGTCTTGTACCAGGCAAAGCAGGCTCTTGTGATTCTTGCCATGTATAACATGTAAAAAATGTATGTAACTCATTAGAAGGAAAAAATGAGAATGAAAGTCGATACTATTATCCTGTTTACTTTCTAGATGTACAAAAATCGCATCAGAATGAGCATTACCTCAGTTAAAATATGCATTCTTTTGAACACAAGACACGTATCGAAGCATTTCATTTTCTGGTATTATATGCACAATAGATCATTACTGCTTGTTCTTCCAAATGTGTGTTGACATACAGAGACCATAACTACTGTGGTGACTACGAGTGTTGCTACCACTACCACACCAGCAACCACTACAACTCCGGCTACCACTACAACAACAGAAAAGACAACTACAGCTATGACAACAGGAAGTACCACAACTGTCGAAGAGACAACCATGGTCATGACAACGACACCTGAAGTCACCACCACTGAAGCAACTACAACAATGGCAACAACAACTCCAGGTACCCATCCTTTTCAACTCAAAATAATCACTTTATATTCCCAGAGTAAAACATTTCCAAAGATATTTCACCTTTTCTACTTGGCTTGAAATGGTATTATCATTAAAGTACCTAAATGCAGAAAGAAGCGTACGGTTTAGCAATGTTTGATGTAGCCTTGGCCACACAGAGATAACAGTTTTCAGAAATTCAGATGGAGCTGTTTATAACATGCTTCATTAATCGTGCTTGTTGTGCCCTGTTCTGCTTGTTGAATACAATATACACATGTTGTATTCTGCAAACGAAAAAGCGAGAAAATGCACATATTATACAGCGCCCTACTGTGCCTAATTATTGTGTGTTTCATTTCGTTTATGTGAATTTTGATATCGTTTTAGGTGACTGCGCGGAAAACCTGAATGATGATAGTCAGCCGGATCCGGTGATCACCCTCCAGACATCCGACATGACTGACGTTACTCCAGATCAAACTGTCACACTTTCCAGTGGGACATCGTCAATCACCGTTCGATTCGGAAGTAGTGATACCGGATACAAGGTCCTGACCAGAGTGACAGCCGTCATCCTGAGTCTTGTCGATCCAACAACAGAAAGTCCGCCCATGATGATTCGTCTCGAAGGCGTCACTTTTTCAAACGGAACGACAGCTGAAGACATTGGTGAAATTAATTCAAGTGGCCCAACCACCGGAATGTTTAGACTTGGGGCACTCGGAGAAGAACCCGTGGATGCTTTGGTCTTTTCCGTGCCCGACATTTTGCCTCAAAACGCTTCTTCAGTAGACGTTGTCGTCCGATTTGATGGATGCATCAAGACAGGTGAATATAACCTACTTCATAATAATTGCCTTCCGAACGTAATTAGGCCACATGGAAAGTATCATTTCCCGTACATTCCGTCGAGTCTTGTACCAGGCAAAGCAAGCACTTGTGATTCTTGCCATGTATAACATGTTAACAATGTATGTAACTCATTAGAAGGGAAAATGAGAATGAAAGTCGATACTATTATCCTGTTTACTTTCTAGATGTACAAAAATTGCATCAGAATGAGCATTACCTCGGTTGAAATATGCATTCTTTTGAACACAAGACACGTATCGAAGCACTTCATTTTCTGGTATATGCACAATAGATCATTACTGCTTGTTCTTCCAAATGTGTGTTGACATACAGAGACCATAACTACTGTGGTGACTACGAGTATTGCTACCACTACCACACCAGCAACCACTACAACTCCGGCTACCACTACAACAACAGAAAAGACAACTACAGCTATAACAACAGGAAGTACCACAACTGTCGAAGAGACAACCATGGTCATGACAACAACACCTGAAGTCACCACCACTGAAGCAACTACAACAATGGCAACAACAACTCCAGGTACCCATCCTTTTCAACTCAAAATAATCACTTTATATTCCCAGAGTAAAACATTTCCAAAGATATTTCACCTTTTCTACTTGGCTTGAAATGGTATTATCATTAAAGTACCTAAATGCAGAAAGAAGCGTACGGTTTAGCAATGTTTGATGTAGCCTTGGCCACACAGAGATAACAGTTTTCAGAAATTCAGATGGAGCTGTTTATAACATGCTTCATTAATCGTGCTTGTTGTGCCCTGTTCTGCTTGTTGAATACAATATAGCACATGTTGTATTCTGTAAACGAAAAAGCGAGAAAATGCACATATTATACAGCGCCCTACTGTGCCTAATTATTGTGTGTTTCATTTCGTTTATGTGAATTTTGATATCGTTTTAGGTGACTGCGCGGAAAACCTGAATGATGATAGTCAGCCGGATCCGGTGATCACCCTCCAGACATCCGACATGACTGACGTTACTCCAGATCAAACTGTCACACTTTCCAGTGGGACATCGTCAATCACCGTTCGATTCGGAAGTAGTGATACCGGATACAAGGTCCTGACCAGAGTGACAGCCGTCATCCTGAGTCTTGTCGATCCAACAACAGAAAGTCCGCCCATGATGATTCGTCTCGAAGGCGTCACTTTTTCAAACGGAACGACAGCTGAAGACATTGGTGAAATTAATTCAAGTGGCCCAACCACCGGAATGTTTAGACTTGGGGCACTCGGAGAAGAACCCGTGGATGCTTTGGTCTTTTCCGTGCCCGACATTTTGCCTCAAAACGCTTCTTCAGTAGACGTTGTCGTCCGATTTGATGGATGCATCAAGACAGGTGAATATAACCTACTTCATAATAATTGGCTTCCAAACGTAATTAGGCCACATGGGAAGTATCATTTCCCGCATACTCCGTCGGGTCTTGTACCAGGCAAAGCAGGCTCTTGTGATTCTTGCCATGTATAACATGTAAACAATGTATGTAACTCATTAGAAGGGGAAAATGAGAATGAAAGTCGATACTGTTATCCTGTTTACTTTCTAAATGTTCAAAAATCGCATCAGAATGAGCATTACCTCAGTTGAAATATGCATTCTTTTGAACACAAGACACAGATCGAAGCATTTCATTTTCTGGTATATGCACAACAGATCATTACTGCTTGTTCTTCCAAATGTGTGTTGACATACAGAGACCATAACTACTGTGGTGACCACGAGTGTTGCTACCACTACCACACCAGCAACCACTACAACACCGGCTACCACTACCACGACAGAAATGGCGACTACAGTCATGACAACAGGAAGTACCACAGCTGTCGAAGAGACAACCACCGTCACGACAACAACACCTGAAGTCACCACTACTGAAACAACTACAACAATGACAACAACAACCCCAAGTATTTATCTTTATCAACTCCAAATAAGCAATTCAAATTACTAGTGTAAAACATGTACATGTGATCACACCCATATATTTGGCTAGAAAGGGTATAATCTTGAAGTATCTACTTCAAAAACACGGTGCATAGGTTTTGCAACGTATAATCAAGCTGCGGCCTCACAAAGATAACCATTTTCAGAACTTTAGATTCCACTATTTATATCCGTCATGGTTATTCGTGCCTCAAATTAGGTTAAGGCCTTGCAGTGTTTGATGAAAAAAATATATTGTGACAAATTTAGAAATAAAGGAATTGATATGAGAAAGTTACAGCGATTGTTCGTATTCCAGGTATATATTTCACGAACTTCAATACATTTTGCAAGGCTCAATTACGCTTTTGAATTTAGAGTGTGGAAATGGTATCTTAAAGGGCAGGTTATCCATCACAGTTGGAAAAGCAACTCCTGGAATATCTAGAGCAATTTGTTACAAGCCTGTAGTATCTAGCATAGTGGAGGTAGGCAGGCAGATATAAAGGCAAGAAAACAGGGCTCAAACGGACAAAATGGCGCCTCAACGTTCATGCAGGAATAATTTAGTAGCAAAGAAAGAACTCAGTAACCACGATGATATGCTAAAGAATATGCATGGGATAATTGAACAGAACAGAAAATATGAATGGACCGAGATAAGTCTCATATATAAGCACTTAAAAAGAATGGGAGTTTGAAAGAAGAAGATGGAGGATATGCATACCATACACGCGTTGAATGATAAAAGGCATGGCTGAGGGCTTCAATGCAATACTAATTATAATATTAATAATTACAATAATATATAGTATTCAAGTATTCATACTACAGGTGTTTTTCCTCAAAAAGAACACGTGTCTGGCAAATCGAGAAAGTCTTGAGGATCTAGCATCAGAACCCTCAGTAGTGAAAGTAGTGCCAAACTTCCATTAGTTATGAACAATCCCTCATTTTTGTTGAACATCATTTCAAATTGATGAATCACCTTAACAAATAACCATTACCCTCCTTCCTCATTCAACAGAACCAACTGAAATAGGCGACACCGGTATGTACAAAAGTTTCTTCTGTAATATTTTCTAAATTCAAATTGATTTGGATCTGATAGGAACTCTATTAGCTGGATTAACTGTAGACTGGATATTGTACTTTTATACAGGAGCTTAAAACAAACGTATATCACTTCGACAGGCGATTTTAGTTCCACTGATCATACAACAGTCTCTTAAATTCGGTCAAAATTTGTACAAGCAAATGTGTAACCAGAATTCTGTTCATAATACTACAATGAGCTTTGAAAGATAATCACTAACTTGAAAGATAACTGCCATTCAAAAAAAAAGGCGTTATTTCTCTTTTTCTCCCATAGAGCATAGGGACGGAATTATGTGTACATAGTTACAATTTTACATTTGAGCAGAATATTTCGTCCTCCGGAAATGACCTGATGCAATGGCACGAATTACGAAATAGCCTCATAATACCCTTAATATTGACGTTTCTGCAAAAGGATCAAGGTTTCCAACATCATTTTAGGTTGGTGGCATGTATACAAATTCGATGTTAGAACGATCGGACGTTGCATAATCTAATTCATTCATAAGTATGTGTTGAAATACAACTTCAACTGGCATTTATCTTGCTGCCCTCATGTCATAGAAACTACCACACAGAGGACCCGAACATCAGGTTTGACCACGCCCACCACATCAAGCAGTGAGACTACCACCCTGTCTACAACTACTTCTGGCCAAACAACGCCAGGTAGGATTTTTTTTTAATTTTGTGTACACTTCCTTTGTGTCTTATATATCAATCTTTTAGGAAATCAAAGACAGGTGACTTTGCACCTCATCAACTTCATACAAAGAAATGTTCTGATCTCTATTTACAACGTAGGTACAAAGTGCTCCAATACTGAATTTCTGTCCAAGTGAGCGACAGGTATTCATTTTTAAAACCTCCATCTACATCCTATTCAAATCTAGGGTTCTGTAAATTCTTGGAATTTTGTTCTGCTCTGTTTTGCTTATTAATTACAAAATAGCACATGTTGTATTCTGCAAAGGGAAATGCGGGACAATGCAGAATCTTTACAGCGCCCCACTGTGCCTAATTGCTGCGTGTCTCTTTTCTTTTGTGTGACATTTGATGTCATATCAGGTGACTGCGCGGAAAACCTGAATGATGATAGTCAGCCGGATCCAGTGATCACCCTCCAGACATCCGACATGACTGACGTTACTCCAGATCAAACTGTCACACTTTCAAGTGGGACATCGTCAATCACCGTTCGATTCGGAAGTAGTGATACCGGATACAAGGTCCTGACCAGAGTGACAGCCGTCATCCTGAGTTTAGTCGATCCAACAACAGAAAGTCCGCCCATGATGATTCGTCTCGAAGGCGTCACTTTTTCAAACGGAACGACAGCTGAAGACATTGGTGAAATTAATTCAAGTGGCCCAACCACCGGAATGTTTAGACTTGGGGCACTCGGAGAAGAACCCGTGGATGCTTTGGTCTTTTCCGTGCCCGACATTCTGCCTCAAAACGCTTCTTCAGTAGACGTTGTCGTCCGATTTGATGGATGCATCAAAACAGGTGAATATGACTTACTTCATAATGATTGGCTTCCGTACGTAATTAGGCCACATGGGCAGTATCATTTCCCGTACATTCCGTCGAGTCTTGTACCAGGCAAAGCAAGCACTTGTGATTCTTGCCATGTATAACATGCATCAGAAACAATGTATGTAACTCATTAGAAGCACAATAGGCTTGAAAATGAGAATGAAAGTCGATACTCCGGCTTATCCTGTTTACTTTCTCACCACCATGTACAACAATCAAAAATCCAGGCATCAGAATTCCAAAGCATTACCTCTACTTGGTTGAAATATGCATTCTTTTGAACACAAGACACAGAAATCGAAGCATTTCATTTTCTGGTATATGCACAAGCAGATCATTACTGCTTGTTCTTCCAAATGTGTGTTGACATACAGAGACCATAACTACTGTGGTGACCACGAGTGTTGCTACCACTACCACACCAGCAACCACTACAACACCGGCTACCACTACCACGACAGAAATGGCGACTACAGTCATGACAACAGGAAGTACCACAACTGTCGAAGAGACAACCACCGTCACGACAACAACACCTGAAGTCACCACTACTGAAACAACTACAACAATGACAACAACAACCCCAAGTATTTATCTTATCAACTCCAAATAAGCAACTCAAATTACTAGTGTAAAACATGTACATGTGATCACACCCATATATTTGGCTGGAAAGGGTATAATCTTGAAGTATCTACTTCAAAAACACGGTGCATAGGTTTTGCAACGTATAATCAAGCTGCGGCCTCACAAAGATAACCATTTTCAGAACTTTAGATTCCACTATTTATATCCGTCATGGTTATTCGTGCCTCAAATTAGGTTAAGGCCTTGCAGTGTTTGATGAAAAAAATATATTGTGACAAATTTAGAAATAAAGGAATTGATATGAGAAAGTTACAGCGATTGTTCGTATTCCAGGTATATATTTCACGAACTTCAATACATTTTGCAAGGCTCAATTACGCTTTTGAATTTAGAGTGTGGAAATGGTATCTTAAAGGGCAGGTTATCCATCACAGTTGGAAAAGCAACTCCTGGAATATCTAGAGCAATTTGTTACAAGCCTGTAGTATCTAGCATAGTGGAGGTAGGCAGGCAGATATAAAGGCAAGAAAACAGGGCTCAAACGGACAAAATGGCGCCTCAACGTTCATGCAGGAATAATTTAGTAGCAAAGAAAGAACTCAGTAACCACGATGATATGCTAAAGAATATGCATGGGATAATTGAACAGAACAGAAAATATGAATGGACCGAGATAAGTCTCATATATAAGCACTTAAAAAGAATGGGAGTTTGAAAGAAGAAGATGGAGGATATGCATACCATACACGCGTTGAATGATAAAAGGCATGGCTGAGGGCTTCAATGCAATACTAATTATAATATTAATAATTACAATAATATATAGTATTCAAGTATTCATACTACAGGTGTTTTTCCTCAAAAAGAACACGTGTCTGGCAAATCGAGAAAGTCTTGAGGATCTAGCATCAGAACCCTCAGTAGTGAAAGTAGTGCCAAACTTCCATTAGTTATGAACAATCCCTCATTTTTGTTGAACATCATTTCAAATTGATGAATCACCTTAACAAATAACCATTACCCTCCTTCCTCATTCAACAGAACCAACTGAAATAGGCGACACCGGTATGTACAAAAGTTTCTTCTGTAATATTTTCTAAATTCAAATTGATTTGGATCTGATAGGAACTCTATTAGCTGGATTAACTGTAGACTGGATATTGTACTTTTATACAGGAGCTTAAAACAAACGTATATCACTTCGACAGGCGATTTTAGTTCCACTGATCATACAACAGTCTCTTAAATTCGGTCAAAATTTGTACAAGCAAATGTGTAACCAGAATTCTGTTCATAATACTACAATGAGCTTTGAAAGATAATCACTAACTTGAAAGATAACTGCCATTCAAAAAAAAAGGCGTTATTTCTCTTTTTCTCCCATAGAGCATAGGGACGGAATTATGTGTACATAGTTACAATTTTACATTTGAGCAGAATATTTCGTCCTCCGGAAATGACCTGATGCAATGGCACGAATTACGAAATAGCCTCATAATACCCTTAATATTGACGTTTCTGCAAAAGGATCAAGGTTTCCAACATCATTTTAGGTTGGTGGCATGTATACAAATTCGATGTTAGAACGATCGGACGTTGCATAATCTAATTCATTCATAAGTATGTGTTGAAATACAACTTCAACTGGCATTTATCTTGCTGCCCTCATGTCATAGAAACTACCACACAGAGGACCCGAACATCAGGTTTGACCACGCCCACCACATCAAGCAGTGAGACTACCACCCTGTCTACAACTACTTCTGGCCAAACAACGCCAGGTAGGATTTTTTTTAAATTTTGTGTACACTTCCTTTGTGTCTTATATATCAATCTTTTAGGAAATCAAAGACAGGTGACTTTGCACCTCATCAACTTCATACAAAGAAATGTTCTGATCTCTATTTACAACGTAGGTACAAAGTGCTCCAATACTGAATTTCTGTCCAAGTGAGCGACAGGTATTCATTTTTAAAACCTCCATCTACATCCTATTCAAATCTAGGGTTCTGTAAATTCTTGGAATTTTGTTCTGCTCTGTTTTGCTTATTAATTACAAAATAGCACATGTTGTATTCTGCAAAGGGAAATGCGGGACAATGCAGAATCTTTACAGCGCCCCACTGTGCCTAATTGCTGCGTGTCTCTTTTCTTTTGTGTGACATTTGATGTCATATCAGGTGACTGCGCGGAAAACCTGAATGATGATAGTCAGCCGGATCCAGTGATCACCCTCCAGACATCCGACATGACTGACGTTACTCCAGATCAAACTGTCACACTTTCAAGTGGGACATCGTCAATCACCGTTCGATTCGGAAGTAGTGATACCGGATACAAGGTCCTGACCAGAGTGACAGCCGTCATCCTGAGTTTAGTCGATCCAACAACAGAAAGTCCGCCCATGATGATTCGTCTCGAAGGCGTCACTTTTTCAAACGGAACGACAGCTGAAGACATTGGTGAAATTAATTCAAGTGGCCCAACCACCGGAATGTTTAGACTTGGGGCACTCGGAGAAGAACCCGTGGATGCTTTGGTCTTTTCCGTGCCCGACATTCTGCCTCAAAACGCTTCTTCAGTAGACGTTGTCGTCCGATTTGATGGATGCATCAAAACAGGTGAATATGACTTACTTCATAATGATTGGCTTCCGTACGTAATTAGGCCACATGGGCAGTATCATTTCCCGTACATTCCGTCGAGTCTTGTACCAGGCAAAGCAAGCACTTGTGATTCTTGCCATGTATAACATGTTAACAATGTATGTAACTCATTAGAAGGGAAAATGAGAATGAAAGTCGATACTATTATCCTGTTTACTTTCTAGATGTACAAAAATTGCATCAGAATGAGCATTACCTCGGTTGAAATATGCATTCTTTTGAACACAAGACACGTATCGAAGCATTTCATTTTCTGGTATATGCACAATAGATCATTACTGCTTGTTCTTTCAAATGTGTGTTGCATACAGAGACCATAACTACTGTGGTGACTACGAGTGTTGCTACCACTACCACACCAGCAACCACTACAATTCCGGCTACCACTACAACAACAGAAAAGACAACTACAGCTATGACAACAGGAAGTACCACAACTGTCGAAGAGACAACCATGGTCATGACAACGACACCTGAAGTCACCACCACTGAAGCAACTACAACAATGGCAACAACAACTCCAGGTACTCATCCTTTTCAACTCAAAATAATCACTCATATTCCCAGAGTAAAACATTTCCAAAGATATTTCACCTTTTCTACTTGGCTTGAAATGGTATTATCATTAAAGTACCTAAATGCAGAAAGAAGCGTACGGTTTAGCAATGTTTGATGTAGCCTTGGCCACACAGAGATAACAGTTTTCAGAAATTCAGATGGAGCTGTTTATAACATGCTTCATTAATCGTGCTTGTTGTGCCCTGTTCTGCTTGTTGAATACAATATACACATGTTGTATTCTGCAAACGAAAAAGCGAGAAAATGCACATATTATACAGCGCCCTACTGTGCCTAATTATTGTGTGTTTCATTTCGTTTATGTGAATTTTGATATTGTTTTAGGTGACTGCGCGAAAAACCTGAATGATGATAGTCAGCCGGATCCGGTGATCACCCTCCAGACATCCGACATGACTGACGTTACTCCAGATCAAACTGTCACACTTTCCAGTGGGACATCGTCAATCACCGTTCGATTCGGAAGTAGTGATACCGGATACAAGGTCCTGACCAGAGTGACAGCCGTCATCCTGAGTCTTGTCGATCCAACAACAGAAAGTCCGCCCATGATGATTCGTCTCGAAGGCGTCACTTTTTCAAACGGAACGACAGCTGAAGACATTGGTGAAATTAATTCAAGTGGCCCAACCACCGGAATGTTTAGACTTGGGGCACTCGGAGAAGAACCCGTGGATGCTTTGGTCTTTTCCGTGCCCGACATTCTGCCTCAAAACGCTTCTTCAGTAGACGTTGTCGTCCGATTTGATGGATGCATCAAGACAGGTGAATATGACTTACTTCATAATGATTGGCTTCCGTACGTAATTAGGCCACATGGGCAGTATCATTTCCCGTACATTCTGTCGAGTCTTGTACCAGGCAAAGCAAGCACTTGTGATTCTTGCCATGTATAACATGTTAACAATGTATGTAACTCATTAGAAGGGAAAAATGAGAATGAAAGTCGATACTGTTATCCTGTTTACTTTCTAAATGTTCAAAAATCGCATCAGAATGAGCATTACCTCAGTTGAAATATGCATTCTTTTGAACACAAGACACAGATCGAAGCATTTCATTTTCTGGTATATGCACAACAGATCATTACTGCTTGTTCTTCCAAATGTGTGTTGACATACAGAGACCATAACTACTGTGGTGACCACGAGTGTTGCTACCACTACCACACCAGCAACCACTACAACACCGGCTACCACTACCACGACAGAAATGGCGACTACAGTCATGACAACAGGAAGTACCACAGCTGTCGAAGAGACAACCACCGTCACGACAACAACACCTGAAGTCACCACTACTGAAACAACTACAACAATGACAACAACAACCCCAAGTATTTATCTTTATCAACTCCAAATAAGCAATTCAAATTACTAGTGTAAAACATGTACATGTGATCACACCCATATATTTGGCTAGAAAGGGTATAATCTTGAAGTATCTACTTCAAAAACACGGTGCATAGGTTTTGCAACGTATAATCAAGCTGCGGCCTCACAAAGATAACCATTTTCAGAACTTTAGATTCCACTATTTATATCCGTCATGGTTATTCGTGCCTCAAATTAGGTTAAGGCCTTGCAGTGTTTGATGAAAAAAATATATTGTGACAAATTTAGAAATAAAGGAATTGATATGAGAAAGTTACAGCGATTGTTCGTATTCCAGGTATATATTTCACGAACTTCAATACATTTTGCAAGGCTCAATTACGCTTTTGAATTTAGAGTGTGGAAATGGTATCTTAAAGGGCAGGTTATCCATCACAGTTGGAAAAGCAACTCCTGGAATATCTAGAGCAATTTGTTACAAGCCTGTAGTATCTAGCATAGTGGAGGTAGGCAGGCAGATATAAAGGCAAGAAAACAGGGCTCAAACGGACAAAATGGCGCCTCAACGTTCATGCAGGAATAATTTAGTAGCAAAGAAAGAACTCAGTAACCACGATGATATGCTAAAGAATATGCATGGGATAATTGAACAGAACAGAAAATATGAATGGACCGAGATAAGTCTCATATATAAGCACTTAAAAAGAATGGGAGTTTGAAAGAAGAAGATGGAGGATATGCATACCATACACGCGTTGAATGATAAAAGGCATGGCTGAGGGCTTCAATGCAATACTAATTATAATATTAATAATTACAATAATATATAGTATTCAAGTATTCATACTACAGGTGTTTTTCCTCAAAAAGAACACGTGTCTGGCAAATCGAGAAAGTCTTGAGGATCTAGCATCAGAACCCTCAGTAGTGAAAGTAGTGCCAAACTTCCATTAGTTATGAACAATCCCTCATTTTTGTTGAACATCATTTCAAATTGATGAATCACCTTAACAAATAACCATTACCCTCCTTCCTCATTCAACAGAACCAACTGAAATAGGCGACACCGGTATGTACAAAAGTTTCTTCTGTAATATTTTCTAAATTCAAATTGATTTGGATCTGATAGGAACTCTATTAGCTGGATTAACTGTAGACTGGATATTGTACTTTTATACAGGAGCTTAAAACAAACGTATATCACTTCGACAGGCGATTTTAGTTCCACTGATCATACAACAGTCTCTTAAATTCGGTCAAAATTTGTACAAGCAAATGTGTAACCAGAATTCTGTTCATAATACTACAATGAGCTTTGAAAGATAATCACTAACTTGAAAGATAACTGCCATTCAAAAAAAAAGGCGTTATTTCTCTTTTTCTCCCATAGAGCATAGGGACGGAATTATGTGTACATAGTTACAATTTTACATTTGAGCAGAATATTTCGTCCTCCGGAAATGACCTGATGCAATGGCACGAATTACGAAATAGCCTCATAATACCCTTAATATTGACGTTTCTGCAAAAGGATCAAGGTTTCCAACATCATTTTAGGTTGGTGGCATGTATACAAATTCGATGTTAGAACGATCGGACGTTGCATAATCTAATTCATTCATAAGTATGTGTTGAAATACAACTTCAACTGGCATTTATCTTGCTGCCCTCATGTCATAGAAACTACCACACAGAGGACCCGAACATCAGGTTTGACCACGCCCACCACATCAAGCAGTGAGACTACCACCCTGTCTACAACTACTTCTGGCCAAACAACGCCAGGTAGGATTTTTTTTAAATTTTGTGTACACTTCCTTTGTGTCTTATATATCAATCTTTTAGGAAATCAAAGACAGGTGACTTTGCACCTCATCAACTTCATACAAAGAAATGTTCTGATCTCTATTTACAACGTAGGTACAAAGTGCTCCAATACTGAATTTCTGTCCAAGTGAGCGACAGGTATTCATTTTTAAAACCTCCATCTACATCCTATTCAAATCTAGGGTTCTGTAAATTCTTGGAATTTTGTTCTGCTCTGTTTTGCTTATTAATTACAAAATAGCACATGTTGTATTCTGCAAAGGGAAATGCGGGACAATGCAGAATCTTTACAGCGCCCCACTGTGCCTAATTGCTGCGTGTCTCTTTTCTTTTGTGTGACATTTGATGTCATATCAGGTGACTGCGCGGAAAACCTGAATGATGATAGTCAGCCGGATCCAGTGATCACCCTCCAGACATCCGACATGACTGACGTTACTCCAGATCAAACTGTCACACTTTCAAGTGGGACATCGTCAATCACCGTTCGATTCGGAAGTAGTGATACCGGATACAAGGTCCTGACCAGAGTGACAGCCGTCATCCTGAGTTTAGTCGATCCAACAACAGAAAGTCCGCCCATGATGATTCGTCTCGAAGGCGTCACTTTTTCAAACGGAACGACAGCTGAAGACATTGGTGAAATTAATTCAAGTGGCCCAACCACCGGAATGTTTAGACTTGGGGCACTCGGAGAAGAACCCGTGGATGCTTTGGTCTTTTCCGTGCCCGACATTCTGCCTCAAAACGCTTCTTCAGTAGACGTTGTCGTCCGATTTGATGGATGCATCAAAACAGGTGAATATGACTTACTTCATAATGATTGGCTTCCGTACGTAATTAGGCCACATGGGCAGTATCATTTCCCGTACATTCCGTCGAGTCTTGTACCAGGCAAAGCAAGCACTTGTGATTCTTGCCATGTATAACATGTTAACAATGTATGTAACTCATTAGAAGGGAAAATGAGAATGAAAGTCGATACTATTATCCTGTTTACTTTCTAGATGTACAAAAATTGCATCAGAATGAGCATTACCTCGGTTGAAATATGCATTCTTTTGAACACAAGACACGTATCGAAGCATTTCATTTTCTGGTATATGCACAATAGATCATTACTGCTTGTTCTTTCAAATGTGTGTTGCATACAGAGACCATAACTACTGTGGTGACTACGAGTGTTGCTACCACTACCACACCAGCAACCACTACAATTCCGGCTACCACTACAACAACAGAAAAGACAACTACAGCTATGACAACAGGAAGTACCACAACTGTCGAAGAGACAACCATGGTCATGACAACGACACCTGAAGTCACCACCACTGAAGCAACTACAACAATGGCAACAACAACTCCAGGTACTCATCCTTTTCAACTCAAAATAATCACTCATATTCCCAGAGTAAAACATTTCCAAAGATATTTCACCTTTTCTACTTGGCTTGAAATGGTATTATCATTAAAGTACCTAAATGCAGAAAGAAGCGTACGGTTTAGCAATGTTTGATGTAGCCTTGGCCACACAGAGATAACAGTTTTCAGAAATTCAGATGGAGCTGTTTATAACATGCTTCATTAATCGTGCTTGTTGTGCCCTGTTCTGCTTGTTGAATACAATATACACATGTTGTATTCTGCAAACGAAAAAGCGAGAAAATGCACATATTATACAGCGCCCTACTGTGCCTAATTATTGTGTGTTTCATTTCGTTTATGTGAATTTTGATATTGTTTTAGGTGACTGCGCGAAAAACCTGAATGATGATAGTCAGCCGGATCCGGTGATCACCCTCCAGACATCCGACATGACTGACGTTACTCCAGATCAAACTGTCACACTTTCCAGTGGGACATCGTCAATCACCGTTCGATTCGGAAGTAGTGATACCGGATACAAGGTCCTGACCAGAGTGACAGCCGTCATCCTGAGTCTTGTCGATCCAACAACAGAAAGTCCGCCCATGATGATTCGTCTCGAAGGCGTCACTTTTTCAAACGGAACGACAGCTGAAGACATTGGTGAAATTAATTCAAGTGGCCCAACCACCGGAATGTTTAGACTTGGGGCACTCGGAGAAGAACCCGTGGATGCTTTGGTCTTTTCCGTGCCCGACATTCTGCCTCAAAACGCTTCTTCAGTAGACGTTGTCGTCCGATTTGATGGATGCATCAAGACAGGTGAATATGACTTACTTCATAATGATTGGCTTCCGTACGTAATTAGGCCACATGGGCAGTATCATTTCCCGTACATTCTGTCGAGTCTTGTACCAGGCAAAGCAAGCACTTGTGATTCTTGCCATGTATAACATGTTAACAATGTATGTAACTCATTAGAAGGGGAAATGAGAATGAAAGTCGATACTGTTATCCTGTTTACTTTCTAAATGTTCAAAAATCGCATCAGAATTAGCATTACCTCAGTTGAAATATGCATTCTTTTGAACACAAGACACAGATCGAAGCATTTCATTTTCTGGTATATGCACAACAGATCATTACTGCTTGTTCTTCCAAATGTGTGTTGACATACAGAGACCATAACTACTGTGGTGACCACGAGTGTTGCTACCACTACCACACCAGCAACCACTACAACACCGGCTACCACTACCACGACAGAAATGGCGACTACAGTCATGACAACAGGAAGTACCACAGCTGTCGAAGAGACAACCACCGTCACGACAACAACACCTGAAGTCACCACTACTGAAACAACTACAACAATGACAACAACAACCCCAAGTATTTATCTTTATCAACTCCAAATAAGCAATTCAAATTACTAGTGTAAAACATGTACATGTGATCACACCCATATATTTGGCTAGAAAGGGTATAATCTTGAAGTATCTACTTCAAAAACACGGTGCATAGGTTTTGCAACGTATAATCAAGCTGCGGCCTCACAAAGATAACCATTTTCAGAACTTTAGATTCCACTATTTATATCCGTCATGGTTATTCGTGCCTCAAATTAGGTTAAGGCCTTGCAGTGTTTGATGAAAAAAATATATTGTGACAAATTTAGAAATAAAGGAATTGATATGAGAAAGTTACAGCGATTGTTCGTATTCCAGGTATATATTTCACGAACTTCAATACATTTTGCAAGGCTCAATTACGCTTTTGAATTTAGAGTGTGGAAATAGTATCTTAAAGGGCAGGTTATCCATCACAGTTGGAAAAGCAACTCCTGGAATATCTAGAGCAATTTGTTACAAGCCTGTAGTATCTAGCATAGTGGAGGTAGGCAGGCAGATATAAAGGCAAGAAAACAGGGCTCAAACGGACAAAATGGCGCCTCAACGTTCATGCAGGAATAATTTAGTAGCAAAGAAAGAACTCAGTAACCACGATGATATCCTAAAAAATATGCATGGGATAATTGAACAGAACAGAAAATATGAATGGACCGAGATAAGTCTCATATATTAGCACTTAAAAATAATGGGAGTTTGAAAGAAGAAGATGGGGGATATGCATACCATACACGCGTTGAATGATAAAAGGCATGGCTGAGGGCTTCAATGCAATACTAATTATAATATTAATAATTACAATAATATATAGTATTCAAGTATTCATACTACAGGTGTTTTTCCTCAAAAAGAACACGTGTCTGGCAAATCGAGAAAGTCTTGAGGATCTAGCATCAGAACCCTCAGTAGTGAAAGTAGTGCCAAACTTCCATTAGTTATGAACAATCCCTCATTTTTGTTGAACATCATTTCAAATTGATGAATCACCTTAACAAATAACCATTACCCTCCTTCCTCATTCAACAGAACCAACTGAAATAGGCGACACCGGTATGTACAAAAGTTTCTTCTGTAATGTTTTCTAAATTCAAATTGATTTGGATCTGATAGGAACTCTATTAGCTGGATTAACTGTAGACTGGATATTGTACTTTTATACAGGAGCTTAAAACAAACGTATATCACTTCGACAGGCGATTTTAGTTCCACTGATCATACAACAGTATCTTAAATTCGGTCAAAATTTGTACAAGCAAATGTGTAACCAGAATTCTGTTCATAATACTACAATGAGCTTTGAAAATTAATCACTAACTTGAAAGATAACTGCCATTCAAAAAAAAAAAGCGTTATTTCTCTTTTTCTCCCATAGAGCATTGGGACGGAATTATGTGTACATAGTTACAATTTTACATTTGAGCAGAATATTTCGTCCTCCGGAAATGACCTGATGCAATGGCACGAATTACGAAATAGCCTCATAATACCCTTAATATTGACGTTTCTGCAAAAATATCAAGGTTTCCAACATCATTTTAGGTTGGTGGCATGTATACAAATTCGATGTTAGAACGATCGGACGTTGCATAATCTAATTCATTCATAAGTATGTGTTGAAATACAACTTCAACTGGCATTTATCTTGCTGCCTTCATGTCATAGAAACTACCACACAGAAGACGCGAACATCAGGTTTGACCACGCCCACCACATCAAGCAGTGAGACTACCACCCTGTCTACAACTACTTCTGGCCAAACAACGCCAGGTAGGATTTTTGAATTTTGTGTACACTTCCTTTGTGTCTTATATATCAATCTTTTAGGAAATCAAAGTCAGGTGACTTTGCAACTCATCAACTTCATACAAAGAAATGTCCTGATCTCTATTTACAACGTAGGTACAAAGTGCTCCAATACCGGATTTCTGTCCAAGTGAGCGACAGGTATTCATTTTTAAAACCTCCATCTCCATCCTATTCAAATCAAGGGTTCTGTAAATTCTTGGAATTTTGTTCTGCTCTGTTTTGCTTATTAATTACAAAATAGCACATGTTTTATTCTGCAAAGGGAAATGCGGGACAATGCAGAATCTTTACAGCGCCCCACTGTGCCTAATTGCTGTGTGTCTCTTTTCTTTTGTGTGACATTTGATGTCGTGTCAGGTGACTGCGCGGAAAACCTGAATGATGATAGTCAGCCGGATCCAGTGATCAGCCTCCAGACATCCGACATGACTGACGTTACTCCAGATCAAACTGTCACACTTTCCAGTGGGACATCGTCAATCAGCGTTCGATTCGGAAGTAGTGATGCCGGATACAAGGTCCTGACCAGAGTGACAGCCGTCATCCTGAGTTTTGTCGATCCAACAACAGAAATTGCGCCCATGATGATTCGTCTCGAAGGCGTCACTTTTTCAAACGGAACGACAGCTGAAGACATTGGTGAAATTAATTCCAGTGGCCCAACCACCGGAATCTTTAGACTTGGGGCACTCGGAGAAGAACCCGTGGATGCTTTGGTCTTTTCCGTGCCCGACATTCTCCCTCAAGACGCTTCTTCAGTAGACGTTGTCGTCCGATTTGATGGATGCATCAAGACAGGTGAATATAACTTACTTCATAATAATTGGCTTCCATACGTAATTAGGCCACATGGGCAGTATCATTTCCCGTACATTCCGTCGAGTCTTGTACCAGGCAAAGCAAGCACTTGTGATTCTTGCCATGTATAACATGTTAACAATGTATGTAACTCATTAGAAGGGAAAATGATAATGAAAGTCGATACTATTATCCTGTTTACTTTCTAGATGTACAAAAATGGCATCAGAATGAGCATTACCTCGGTTGAAATATGCATTCTTTTGAACACAAGACACGTATCGAAGCATTTCATTTTCTGGTATATGCACAATAGATCATTACTGCTTGTTCTTCCAAATGTGTGTTGACATACAGAGACCATAACTACTGTGGTGACTACGAGTGTTGCTACCACTACCACACCAGCAACCACTACAACTCCGGCTACCACTACAACAACAGAAAAGACAACTGCAGCTATGACAACAGGAAGTACCACAACTGTCGAAGAGACAACCATGGTCATGACAACGACACCTGAAGTCACCACTACTGAAGCAACTACAACAATGGCAACAACAACTCCAGGTACTCATCCTTTTCACCTCAAAATAATCACTTTATATTCCCAGAGTAAAACATTTCCAAAGATATTTCACCTTTTCTACTTGGCTTGAAATGGTATTATCATTGAAGTACCTAAATGCAGAAAGAAGCGTACGGTTTAGCAATGTTTGATGTAGCCTTGGCCACACAGAGATAACAGTTTTCAGAAATTCAGATGGAGCTGTTTATAACATGCTTCACTATTCCTGCTTGTTGTGCCCTGTTCTGCTTGTTGAATACAATATAGCATATGTTGTATTCTGCAAACGAAAAAGCGAGAAAATGCAGATACTTTACAGCGCCCTACTCTGCCTAATTATTGTGTGTTTCATTTCGTTTATGTGAATTTTGATATCGTTTTAGGTGACTGCACGGAAAACCTGAATGATGATAGTCAGCCGGATCCGGTGATCACCCTTCAGACATCCGACATGACTGACGTTACTCCAGATCAAACTGTCACACTTTCCAGTGGGACATCGTCAATCACCGTTCGATTCGGAAGTAGTGATGCTGGATACAAGGTCCTGACAAGAGTGACAGCCGTCATCCTGAGTTTTGTCGATCCAACAACAGGAAGTCCGCCCACGATGATTCGTCTCGAAGGCGTCACTTTTTCAAACGGAACAACAGCTCAAGACATTGTTGAAATTAATTCAAGTGGCCCAACCACCGGAATCTTTAGACTTGGGGCACTCGGAGAAGAACCCGTGGATGCTTTGGTCTTTTCCGTGCCCGACATTCTCCCTCAAGACGCTTCTTCAGTAGACGTTGTCGTCCGATTTGATGGATGCATCAAGAAAGGTGAATATAAGTTACTTAATAATAATTGGTTTCCGTACGTAAATAGGCCACATGCGCAGTATCATTTCCCGCATATTCCGTCGAGTTTTGTACCAGGCAAAGCAAGCTCCTGTGATTCTTGCCATGTATAACATGTAAACAATGTATGTAACTCATTAGAAGGGAAAAATGAGAATGAAAGTCGATACAATTATCCTGTTTACTTTCTAGATGTACAAAAATCGCATCAGAATGAGCATTACCTCAGTTGAAATATGGATTCTTTTGAACACAAGACACGTATCGAAGCATTTCATTTTCTGGTATATGCACAATAAATCATTACTGCTTGTTCTTCCAAATGTGTGTTGACATACAGAGACCATAACTACTGTGGTGACCACGAGTGTTGCTACCACTACCGAACCAGCAACCACTACAACACCGGCTACCACTACCACGACAGAAATGGCGACTACAGTCATGACAACAGGAAGTACCACAGCTGTCGAAGAGACAACCACCGTCACGACAACGACACCTGAAGTCACCACTACTGAAACAACTACCACAATGACAACAACAACTCCAGGTATTTATCTTTTCCAAATCGAAATAAGCACTTCAAATTACTAGTGTAAGACAAGTTCAAAGGGATCACACCCATATATTGGGCTTGAAAGGGTATAATCTTGAAGTATCTACTTAAAAAAAGGGGTTATGGGTTTCGCAACGTATGATCAAGCTGCGGCCTCACAAAGATAACCATTTTCAGAACTTTAGATGCCACTATTTATATCCGCCATGGTTATTCGTGCCTAAAACTAGATTAAGGCTTTGCAGTGTTTGAAGAAAAAAGAATATTGTGACAAATTTAGAAATAAAGGAATTGATATGAGAAAGTTAAAGCGATTGTTCGTATTCCGAGGTTACTATTTCACGAACTTCAATACATTTTGCAAGGCTCAATTACGCTTTTGAATTTGGAGTATGGAAATGGTATCTTGAAGGGCAGATTATCCATCACAGTTGGAAAAGTAACTCCTGGAATATCTAGAGCAATTTGTTACAAGTCTGTAGTGTTGGCAGGCAGATATAAAGGCGAGATAACAGGGCTCAAACGGACAAAATTGCGCCTGAACGATCATGCAGAAATAATTTAGTAGAAAAGAAAGAACTCAGTAACCACGATGATATGCTAAAGCATATGCATGGGAAATTTGAACAGAAGATATGAATGGACCGAGATAAGTCTCATATAAGCAATTAAAAAGAATGGGAGTTTGAAAGAAGAAGATGGAGGATATGCATACCTTACACTCGTTGAACGATAAAAGGCATGGCTAAGGGCTTCAATGCAATACTAATTATAATATTCATAATAACAATAATATATAGCACTTATACTACAGGTGTTTTTCCTCAAAAAGAACACGTGTCTGGCAAATCGAGAAAGTCTTGAGGTTTTAGCATCAGAACCCTCAGTAGTGAAAGTAGTGCCAAACTTCTATTAGTTATGAACAATCCCTCATTTTTGTTGAACATCCTTTCAAATTGATGAATCACCTTAACGAATAACCATTACCCTCCTTCCTCATTCAACAGAACCAACTCAAAAGGGCGATACCGGTATGTACAAAAGTTTCTTTTGTAATATTTTCTTAATTCAAATTGATTTGGATCTGATAGGAACTCTATTAGCTGGATTAACTGTAGACTGGATATTGTACTTTTATACAGGAACTTAAAACAAACGTGTATTACTTCGACAGGCGATTTTAGCTCCACTGATCATACAACAGTCTCTTAAATTCGGTCAAAATTTGTACAAGCAAATGTGTAACCAGAATTCTGTTCATAACACTACAATGAGCTTTGAAAATTAATCACTAACTTGAAAGATAACGGCCATTCAAAAAAAAAGCGTTATTTCTCTTTTTCTCCCACAGAGCATTGGGACGGAATTATGTGTACATAGTTACAATTTTACATTTGAGCAGAATATTTCGTCCTCCGGAAATGACCTGATGCAATGGCACGAATTACGAAATAGCCTCATAATACCCTTAATATTGACGTTTCTGCAAAAGGATCAAGGTTTCCAACATCATTTTAGGTTGGTGGCATGTATACAAATTCGATGTTAGAACGATCGGACGTTGCATAATCTAATTCATTCATAAGTATGTGTTGAAATACAACTTCAACTGGCATTTCTCTTGCTGCCCTCATGTCATAGAAACTACCACAGAGAGGACGCGAACATCAGGTTTGACTACGCCCACCACATTAAGCAGTGAGACTACCACTCTGTCAACAACTACTTCTGGCCAAACAACGCCAGGTAGGATTTTTTAATTTTGTGTACACTTCCTTTGTGTCTTATATATCAATCTTTTAGGAAATCAAAGTCAGGTGACTTTGCACCTCATCAACTTCATACTAGGAAAGGTCCTGATCTCTATTTACAACGTAGGTACAAAGTGCTCCAATACTGGATTTCTGTCCAAGTCAGCGACAGGTATTCATTTTTAAAACCTCCATCTCCATCCTATTCAAATCAAGGGTTCTGTAAATTCTTGGAATTTTGTTCTGCTCTGTTTTGCTTATTAATTACAAAATAGCACATGTTGTATTCTGCAAAGGGAAATGCGGGACAATGCAGAATCTTTACAGCGCCCCACTGTGCCTAATTGCTGTGTGTCTCTTTTCTTTTGTGTGACATTTGATGTCGTGTCAGGTGACTGCGCGGAAAACCTGAATGATGATAGTCAGCCGGATCCAGTGATCACCCTCCAGACATCCGACATGACTGACGTTACTCCAGATCAAACTGTCACACTTTCCAGTGGGACATCGTCAATCACCGTTCGATTCGGAAGTAGTGATACCGGATACAAGGTCCTGACCAGAGTGACAGCCGTCATCCTGAGTTTAGTCGATCCAACAACAGAAAGTCCGCCCATGATGATTCGTCTCGAAGGCGTCACTTTTTCAAACGGAACGACAGCTGAAGACATTGGTGAAATTAATTCAAGTGGCCCAACCTCCGGAATGTTTAGACTTGGGGCACTCGGAGAAGAACCCGTGGATGCTTTGGTCTTTTCCGTGCCCGACATTCTCCCTCAAGACGCTTCTTCAGTAGACGTTGTCGTCCGATTTGATGGATGCATCAAGAAAGGTGAATATAACTTACTTCATAATAATTGGTTTCCGTAGGTTAATAGGCCACATGGGCAGTATCATTTCCCGTACATTCCGTCGAGTCCTGTACCAGGCAATGCAAGCACTTTGATTCTTGCCATGTATAACATGTAAACAATGTACGTAACTCATTAGAAGGAAAAAAAGAGAATGAAAGTCGATACTATTATCCTGTTTACTTTCTAGATGTACAAAAATCGCATCAGAATGAGCATTACCTCGGTTGAAATATGCATTCTTTTGATCACAAGACACAGATCGAAACATATAGTTTTCTGGTATATGCACAATAGATCATTACTGCTTGTTCTTCCAAATGTGTGTTGACATACAGAGACCATAACTACTGTGGTGACTACCAGTATTGCTACCACTACCACACCAGCAACCACTACAACTCCGGCTACCACTACAACAACAGAAAAGACAACTGCAGTTATGACAACCGGAAGTACCACAGCTGTCGAAGAGACAACCACCGTCACGACAACAACACCTGAAGTCACCACCACTGAAGCAATTACCACAATGGCAACAACAACTCCAGGTACTCATCCTTTTCACTTCAAAATAATCACCTTATATTCCCAGAGTAAAACATTTCCAAAGATATTTCACCTTTTCTACTTGGCTGGAAATGGTTTTATCATCGAAGTACCTAAAGGCAGAAAGAAGCGTACGGTTTAGCAATGTTTGATGTAGCCGTGGCCACAGAGAGATAACAATTTTCAGAAATTCAGATGGAGCTGTTTATAACATGATTCATTATTCGTGCTTGTTGTGCCCTGTTCTGCTTGTTGAATACAATATAGCACATGTTGTATTCTGCAAACGAAAAAAGCAAGAGAATGCAAATACTTTACAGCGCCCCACTGTGCCTAATTGCTGTGTGTCTCTTTTCTTTTGTGTGACATTTGATGTCGTGTCAGGTGACTGCGCGGAAAACCTGAATGATGATAGTCAGCCGGATCCAGTGATCACCCTCCAGACATCCGACATGACTGACGTTACTCCAGATCAAACTGTCACACTTTCCAGTGGGACATCGTCAATCACCGTTCGATTCGGAAGTAGTGATACCGGATACAAGGTTCTGACTAGAGTGACAGCCGTCATCCTGAGTTTTGTCGATCCAACAACAGAAAGTCCGCCCACGATGATTCGTCTCGAAGGCGTCACTTTTTCAAACGGAACGACAGCTGAAGACATTGGTGAAATTAATTCAAGTGGCCCAACCACTGGAATGTTTAGACTTGGGGCACTCGGAGAAGAACCCGTGGATGCTTTGGTCTTTTCCGTGCCCGACATTCTCCCTCAAGACGCTTCTTCAGTAGACGTTGTCGTCCGATTTGATGGATGCATCAAGAAAGGTGAATATAACTTACTTCATAATAATTGGCTTCCGTACGTAATTAGGCCACATGGGCAGTATCATTTCCCGTACATTCCGTCGAGTCCTGTACCAGGCAATGCAAGCACTTTGATTCTTGCCATGTATAACATGTAAACAATGTATGTAATTCATTAGAAGGAAAAAATGAGAATGAAAGTCGATACTATTATCCTGTTTACTTTCTAGATGTACAAAAATCGCATCAGAATGAGCATTACCTCAGTTGAAATATGCATTCTTTTGAACACAAGACACGTATCGAAGCATTTCATTTTTTGGCATATGCACAATAAATAATTACTGCTTGTTCTTCCAAATGTGTGTTGACATACAGAGACCATAACTACTGTGGTGACCACGAGTGTTGCTACCACTACCGAACCAGCAACCACTACAACACCGGCTACCACTACCACGACAGAAATGGCGACTACAGTCATGACTACAGGAAGTACCACAGCTGTCGAAGAGACAACCACCGTCACGACAACGACACCTGAAGTCACTACTACTGAAACAACTACCACAATGACAACAACAACTCCAGGTATTTATCTTTTCTAAATCGAAATAAGCACTTCAAATTTTTTTTATTTTAATTTTATTTATTCGTACGGGGTAGCCCATTCAACATCAGTTGGTCTCCCATGGGGCCCCTAAAAACATACATACATGAATGCAACACAATATGTTTAAATAAAATCATTCAAAATACATACACAATAATGCCAAGTAAATAGTTTAAAAAGAGAATGTAAAAACGTTGAAATATATCAAGGTGAATACTTGCAATATAGAATAATCAAATATTTAAAGTACAATACCGAGTATCAGAAAATAAAGATATTTAAGCAAATATGAAACAGACTATTGGTGAGTAACTAGGTGCCATGGAATCCCTTATACATCCAATGACTTGAGATACTGTTTAAGATAAAATTTGAAAGATACCAAGGAGGGCAACTCCCGTATGATAACCGGCAAATTATTCCACAAATTTGGACATAGGTAATATAAAGAGTGTTTGCAGTACTCAGTACGGCATTTGGGAACGACAAGATCGTGTCTGGCGGCTTGCCTCGTATTTTGATCATGTTTTCTACTTAACTCTTGGAAATAATTTGAGTAGTGATCTGGAGAGAGGCCTTGACAGCATTTATAAAATAATATATAACGGAAATAAGTTATGCGATATCTGAAAGGTATCCAGTTCAGACTTGAGAACATTTCCTTAGATGGCTACAAATATTACACCGAAGGATCAGACGGGCTGCCCTCTTTTGTAGTTTAGTAATTCGATCTACATGTATATTAAAACGATCTCCCCATATCTCACAGCAATAATCCATCTGTGATTGAATGAGGCATATATATAATAATTTTAGAGTATCATTTTCTACAAAAGGTCGAATTCTTTTTAACATCGCAAGACCGGCAAATATTTTTTTACATACAAAATCAACTTGTTCATGCCATAATAAATGTTTATCTATTATTATCCCGAGACATTTAAAACTTGCACATTGATTGATTTCAACCCCATCGTAAGTAATGTGGATGCTGTTATTACTACAGGTACTAAGTTTTTGTTTACTCCCTATGATCATAAACTTTGTTTTACCTGTATTTAAATACAACCTGTTGTTGCTTATCCATGTACCTATTGCATTCATTTCGTGTTGTAATTTATTTTCCAATTCACGGATCGAAGTTCCAGTGACATACAAAGTGGTATCATCTGCATACATTATGACTTTACCTTCCCTAAAGACATTGACCATATCGTCAATATAAATTAAAAATAGAAGGGGGCCAGTATCGAGCCTTGAGGAACTCCTATAGATAGGAACGTTCCTTTGACAAAGTTTATCTAATTGAGACTTGTTGTTTCCTATTTGTAAGGTAGGATTGAAACCATAATAAGGTATCATTATTTAATCCAATTTTGTGTAATTTGGCTAACATGATAGATGAGTCAACTGTATCGAACGCTCGTTTTAAATCTACAAAAAGAGCACCAATAATTTTGCCACTGTCAATAGCACGTACCCAAGTATCGGTTAGAGCACCAAGTGCTGAGGAGGTAGAGTGACCGGGTCTAAATCCAAATTGTGTATTGGAAAGCACATTATTAGAGACGAGATGATCATAGAGCTTCAAATTACTAGTGTAAGACAAGTACAAGGGGATCACACCCATATATTTGGCTTGAAAGGGTATAATCTTGAAGTATCTACTAAAAAAAAAGGGGTTATGGGTTTCGCAACGTATGATCAAGCTGCGGCCTCACAAAGATAACTATTTTCAGAACTTTAGATGCCACTATTTATATCCGCCATGGTTATTCGTGCCTAAAACTAGGTTAAGGCTTTGCAGTGTTTGAAGAAAAAATTTATTGTGACAAATTTAGAAATAAAGGAATTGATATGAGAAAGTTACAGCGATTGTTCGTATTCCGGGGTTACTATTTCACGAACTTCAATACATTTTGCAAGGCTCAATTACGCTTTTGAATTTGGAGTATGGAAATGGTATCTTGAAGGGCAGGTTATCCATCACAGTTGGAAAAGTAACTCCTGGAATATCTAGAGCAATTTGTTACAAGTCTGTAGTATCTAGCATAGTGGAGGTAGGCAGGCAGATATAAAGGCAAGAAAACAGGGCTCAAACGGACAAAATGGCGCCTGAACGATCATGCAGAAATAATTTAGTAGAAAAGAAAGAACTCATATAAGAAAAGAACTGATATGCTAAAGAATATGCATGGGAAATTTGAACAGAACAGAAAATAAGAATGGACCGAGATAAGTCTCATATATAAGCACTTAAAAAGAAGGGGAGTTTGAAAGAAGAAGGAGGATATGCATACCATACACGCGTTGAATGATAAAAGGCATGGCTAAGGGCTTCAATGCAATACTAATTATAATATTAATAATAACAATAATATATAGCACTCATACTACAGGTGTTTTTCCTCAAAGAGAACACGTGTCTGGCAAATCGAGAAAGTCTTGAGGTTCTAGCATCAGAACCCTCAGTAGTAAAAGTAGTGCCAAACTTCTATTAGTTATGAACAATCCCTCATTTTTGTTGAATATCATTTCAACTTGATAAATCACCTTAACGAATAACCATTACCCTCCTTCCTCATTCAACAGAACCAACTCAAAAGGGCGATACCGGTATGTACAAAAGTTTCTTTTGTAATATTTTCTTAATTCAAATTGATTTGGATCTGATAGGAACTCTATTAGCTGGATTAACTGTAGACTGGATATTGTACTTTTATACAGGAGCTTAAAACAAACGTATATCACTTCGACAGGCGATTTTAGTTCCACTGATCATACAACAGTCTCTTAAATTCGGTCAAAATTTGTACAAGCAAATGTGTAACCAGAGTTCTGTTCATAACACTACAATGAGCTTTGAAAATTAATCACTAACTTGAAAGATAACGGCCATTCCAAAAAATCGTTATTTCTCTTTTTCTCCCATAGAGCATTGGGACGGAATTATGTGTACATAGTTACAATTTTACATTTGAGCAGAATATTTCGTCCTCCGGAAATGACCTGATGCAATGGCACGAATTACGAAATAGCCTCATAATACCCTTAATATTGACGTTTCTGCAAAAGGATCAAGGTTTCTAACATCATTTTAGGTTGGTGGCATGTATACAAATTCGATGTTAGAACGATCGGACGTTGCATAATCTAATTCATTCATAAGTATGTGTTGAAATACAACTTCAACTGGCATTTCTCTTGCTGCCCTCATGTCATAGAAACTACCACAGAGAGGACCCGAACATCAGGTTTGACTACGCCCACCACATCAAGCAGTGAGACTACCACCCTGTCTACAACTACTTCTGGCCAAACAACGCCAGGTAGGATTTTTGAATTTTGTGTACACTTCCTTTGTGTCTTATATATCAATCTTTTAAGAAATCAAAGTCAGGTGACATTGCACCTCATCAACTTCATACAAATAAATGTCCTGATCTCTATTTACAACGTAGGTACAAAGTGCTCCAATACTGGATTTCTGTCCAAGTCAGCGACAGGTATTCATTTTTAAAACCTCCATCTCCATCCTATTCCAATCAAGGGTTCTGTAAATTCTTGGAATTTTGTTCTGCTCTGTTTTGCTTATTAATTACAAAATAGCACATGTTGTATTCTGCAAAGGGAAATGCGGGACAATGCAGAATCTTTACAGCGCCCCACTGTGCCTAATTGCTGTGTGTCTCTTTTCTTTTGTGTGACAATTGATGTCGTGTCAGGTGACTGCGCGGAAAACCTGAATGATGATAGTCAGCCGGATCCAGTGATCACCCTCCAGACATCCGAAATGACTGACGTTACTCCAGATCAAACTGTCACACTTTCCAGTGGGAAATCGTCAATCACCGTTCGATTCGGCAGTAGTGATACCGGATACAAGGTCCTGACCAGAGTGACAGCCGTCATCCTGAGTTTAGTCGATCCAACAACAGAAAGTCCGCCCATGATGATTCGTCTCGAAGGCGTCACTTTTTCAAACGGAACGACAGCTGAAGACATTGGTGAAATTAATTCAAGTGGCCCAACTACCGGAATGTTTAGACTTGGGGCACTCGGAGAAGAACCCGTGGATGCTTTGGTCTTTTCCGTGCCCGACATTCTCCCTCAAGACGCTTCTTCAGTAGACGTTGTCGTCCGATTTGATGGATGCATCAAGAAAGGTGAATATAACTTAATTCATAATAATTGGTTTCCGTACGTAAATAGGCCACATGCGCAGTATCATTTCCCGCATATTCCGTCGAGTCTCGTACCAGGCAATGCAAGCACTTGAAAAAAAGAGAATGAAAGTCGATACTATTATCCTGTTTACTTTCTAGATGTACAAAAATCGCATAAGAATGAGCATTACCTCGGTTGAAATATGCATTCTTTTGAACACAAGACACAGATCGAAACATATAGTTTTCTGGTATATGCACAATAGATCATTACTGCTTGTTCTTCCAAATGTGTGTTGACATACAGAGACCATAACTACTGTGGTGACTACGAGTATTGCTACCACTACCACACCAGCAACCACTACAACTCCGGCTACCACTACAACAACAGAAAAGACAACTGCAGTTATGACAACCGGAAGTACCACAGCTGTCGAAGAGACAACCACCGTCACGACAACGACACCTGAAGTCACCACCACTGAAGCAACTACCACAATGGCAACAACAACTCCAGGTACTCATCCTTTTCACCTCAAAATAATCACCTTATATTCCAAGAGTAAAACATTTCCAAAGATATTTCACATTTTCTACTTGGCTGGAAATGGTATTAACATCGAAGTACCTAAATGCAGAAAGAAGCGTACGGTTTAGCAATGTTTGATGTAGCCGTGGCAACACAGAGATAACAATTTTCAGAAATTCAGATGGAGCTGTTTATAACATACTTCATTATTCGTGCTTGTTGTGCCCTGTTCTGCTTGTTTAAAAAAATATAGCACATGTTGTATTCTGCAAACGAAAAAGCAAGAGAATGCAAATACTTTACAGCGCCCTACTGTGCCTAATTATTGTGTGTTTCATTTCTTTTACGTGAATTTTGATATCGTTTAAGGTGACTGCGCGGAAAACCTGAATGATGATAGTCAGCCGGATCCAGTGATCACCCTTCAGACATCCGACATGACTGACGTTACTCCAGATCAAACTGTCACACTTTCCAGTGGGACATCGTCAATCACCGTTCGATTCGGAAGTAGTGATACCGGATACAAGGTCCTGACCAGAGTGACAGCCGTCATCCTGAGTGTTGTCGATCCAACAACAGGAAGTCCGCCCACGATGATTCGTCTCGAAGGCGTCACTTTTTCAAACGGAACAACAGCTCAAGACATTGGTGAAATTAATTCAAGTGGCCCAACCACCGGAATGTTTAGACTTGGGGCACTCGGAGAAGAACCCGTGGATGCTTTGGTCTTTTCCGTGCCCGACATTCTCCCTCAAGACGCTTCTTCAGTAGACGTTGTCGTCCGATTTGATGGATGCATCAAGAAAGGTGAATATAACTTACTTCATAATAATTGGTTTCCGTACATAAATAGGCTACATGCGCAGTATCATTTCCCGCATATTCCGTCGAGTCTTGTACCAGGCAAAGCGAGCTCCTGTGATTTTTGCCATGTATAACATATAAACAGTGTATGTAACTCATTAGAAGGAAAAAATGAGAATGAAAGTCGATACTATTATCCTGTTTACTTTCTAGATGTACAAAAATCGCATCAGAATGAGCATTACCTCAGTTAAAATATGCATTCTTTTGAACACAAGACACGTATCGAAGCATTTCATTTTCTGGTATTATATGCACAATAGATCATTACTGCTTGTTCTTCCAAATGTGTGTTGACATACAGAGACCATAACTACTGTGGTGACCACGAGTGTTGCTACCACTACCGAACCAGCAACCACTACAACACCGGCTACCACTACCACGACAGAAATGGCGACTACAGTCATGACAACAGGAAGTACCACAGCTGTCGAAGAGACAACCACCGTCACGACAACGACACCTGAAGTCACCACTACTGAAACAACTACCACAATGACAACAACAACTCCAGGTATTTATCTTTTCCAAATCGAAATAAGCACTTCAAATTACTAGTGTAAGACAAGTACAAGGGGATCACACCCATATATTTGGCTTGAAAGGGTATAATCTTGAAGTATCTACTTAAAAAAGGGGGGGGGGGTATGGGTTTCGCAATGTATGATCAAGCTGCGGCCTCATAAAGATAACCATTTTCAGAACTTTAGATGCCACTATTTATTTCAGCCATGGTTATTCATGCCTAAAATTACATGTAGGTTAAGGCTTTGCAGTGTTTGAAGAAAAAAAAATATTGTGACAAATTTAGAAATAAAGGAATTGATATGAGAAAGTTATAGCGATTGTTCGTATTCCGGGGTTACTATTTCACGAACTTCAATACATTTTGCAAGGCTCAATTACGCTTTTGAATTTGGAGTATGGAAATGGTATCTTGAAGGGCAGGTTATCCATCACAGTTGGAAAAGTAACTCCTGGAATATCTAGAGCAATTTGTTACAAGTCTGTAGTATCTAGCATAGTGGAGGTAGGCAGGGAGATATAAAGGCGAGAAAACAGGGCTCAAACGGAAAAAATGGCGCCTGAACGATTATGCAGGAATATTTTAGTAGAAATGAAAGAATTCAGTAACCACGATGATATGCTAAAGAATATGCATGGGAAATTTGAACAGAACAGAAAATATGAATGGACCGAGATAAGTCTCATATATAAACACTTAAAAAAAAGTATGGGAGTTTGAAAGAAGAAGAAGGAGGATATGCATACCATACACACGTTGAATGATAAATGGCATGGCTGAGGGCTTCAATGCAATACTAATTATGATATTAATAATTATAATAATATATAGCATTCATACTACGGGTGTTTTTCCTCAAAAAGAACACATGTCTGGCAAATCCAGCCAGTCTTGAGGATCCAGCATCAGTACCCTCAGTAGTAAAAGTAGTGCCAAACTTGTATTATTTATGAACAATCCCTCATCTTTGTTAAACATCATTTCAAATTGATAAATAACCATAACGAATAACCATTACCCTCCTTCCTCATTCAACAGAACCAACTCAAAAGGGCGATACCGGTATGTACAAAAGTTTCTTTTGTAATATTTCCTAATTTCAAATTGATTTGGATCTGATAGGAACTCTATTAGCTGGATTAACTGTAGACCTGATATCGTTCTTTTATACAGGCGCTTAAAACAAACGTATACCACTTCGACAGGTGATTTTAGTTCCACTGATCATACAACAGTCTCTTAGATTCGGTCAAAATTTGTACAAGCAAATGTGTAACCAGAGTTCTGTTCATAACACTACAATGAGCTTTGAAAATCAATCACTAACTTGAAAGATAACGGCCATTCCAAAAAAGCGTTATTTCTCTTTTTCTCCCATAGAGCATTGGGACGGAATTATGTGTACATAGTTACAATTTTACATTTGAGCAGAATATTTCGTCCTCCGGAAATGACCTGATGCAATGGCACGAATTACGAAATAGCCTCATAATGCCCTTAATATTGACGTTTCTGCAAAAGGATCAAGGTTTCCAACATCATTTTAGGTTGGTGGCATGTATACAAATTCGATGTTAGAACGATCGGACGTTGCATAATCTAATTCATTCATAAGTATGTGTTGAAATACAACTTCAACTGGCATTTCTCTTGCTGCCCTCATGTCATAGAAACTACCACAGAGAGGACCCGAACATCAGGTTTGACTACGCCCACCACATCAAGCAGTGAGACTACCACCCTGTCTACAACTACTTCTGGCCAAACAACGCCAGGTAGGATTTTTGAATTTTGTGTACACTTCCTTTGTGTCTTATATATCAATCTTTTAGGAAATCAAAGTCAGGTGACTTTGCACCTCATCAGCTTCATACAAAGAAATGTCCTGATCTCTATTTACAACGTAGGTACAAAGTGCTCCAATACTGGATTTCTGTCCAAGTCAGCGACAGGTATTCATTTTTAAAACCTCCATCTCCATCCTATTCCAATCAAGGGTTCTGTAAATTCTTGGAATTTTGTTCTGCTCTGTTTTGCTTATTAATTACAAAATAGCACATGTTGTATTCTGCAAAGGGAAATGCGGGACAATGCAGAATCTTTACAGCGCCCCACTGTGCCTAATTGCTGTGTGTCTCTTTTCTTTTGTGTGACATTTGATGTCGTGTCAGGTGACTGCGCGGAAAACCTGAATGATGATAGTCAGCCGGATCCGGTGATCACCCTCCAGACATCCGACATGACTGACGTTACTCCAGATCAAACTGTCACACTTTCCAGTGGGACATCGTCAATCACCGTTCGATTCGGAAGTAGTGATACCGGATACAAGGTCCTGACCAGAGTGACAGCCGTCATCCTGAGTTTAGTCGATCCAACAACAGAAAGTCCGCCCATGATGATTCGTCTCGAAGGCGTCACTTTTTCAAACGGAACGACAGCTGAAGACATTGGTGAAATTAATTCAAGTGGCCCAACCACCGGAAGGTTTAGACTTGGGGCACTCGGAGAAGAACCCGTGGATGCTTTGGTCTTTTCCGTGCCCGACATTCTCCCTCAAGACGCTTCTTCAGTAGACGTTGTCGTCCGATTTGATGGATGCATCAAGATAGGTGAATATAACTTACTTCATAATAATTGGTTTACATACGTAAATAGGCCACATGCGCGTATCATTTCCCGCATATTCCGTCGAGTCTTGTACCAGGCAAAGCAAGCTTCTGTGATTCTTGCCATGTATAACATGTAAACAATGTATGTAACTCATTAGAAGGAAAAAAAGAGAATGAAAGTTGATACTATTATCCTGTTTACTTTCTAGATGTACAAAAATCGCATTAGAATGAGCATTACCTCGGTTGAAATATGCATTATTTTTAACACAAGACACAGATTGAAACATTTCATTTTCTGGTATATGCACAATATATCATTACTGCTCGTTCTTCCAAATGTGTGTTGACATACAGAGACCATAACTACTGTGGTGACTACGAGTGTTGCTACCACTACCACACCAGCAACCACTACAACTCCGGCTACCACTACAACAACAGAAAAGACGACTACAGTTGTTACAACAGAAAGTACCACAGCTGTCGAAGAGGCAACAACCGTCACGACAACGACACCTGAAGTCACCACCACTGAAACGACAACCACAGTGACAACTACAACTCCAGGTATTCATCCTATCCACGTCCAAATATTTCTTCAAATTACCATTATACAACAGTAACAATATAAAGCGATTACACGTTGCAAATGAAGTATCTACGAGCGACAGTAACCATTTTTTTAAAATTATCCTCTTTTTGCAACACTTTTATCTTCAAGTTTGTACTTTTTGGTGCCTATTTCATATCCATTTTCCGACCACGTGCTACAACCGGATATCTTTCCATTTCACTTGAATAGAACGCCTAGACGAATAAACTTTCCCCTTTCAGCAATAATAATTATGATATTGTACTACATGTACTAATAATGAATAGTATATTAACGAGAAATAATATCGTATTAAAACTATATACATGCATTGGCACCCGTAAATACTCAATGTAATTAAACGATCCCAAAATACAATGTGCCACGACACGCGACAGACACCTCGATATTATACGCGTATTGCTTTTCCTCATGCTCCGGCCTCGCCGTGGTACGAAAAAATAAGACGCGAGCCTACATGTTATTGCATACACAATCATATACAAAGTCTTGACGCATATTGTAGGATATAACACGGCGTGTAAAATTTCACGTCTGACAGATTTCCAAAGTCATCCATCGAGATGCCTTGCGCTTGGCCACCCCGAATATATTTGCAAATTTTCAGGATATAGAAAGATCGGAAAGGGCGTAATAAGCGGTCTGAAATTTGACTCTTACAACCAATACCTGTACAATTAGGCGGAAGCACCGTGCAGATTATACCACATAGGCGTGTTCAGGATTATGGGTGTCGATCCCGGGGGGATGGGGGGATATATCCCCCACCCCCCCCCCCAAATATTTCAGTTGGGGGGATGGCCTGTACAATCACCCCCCCCCCCAATAATTCACCACCACAAAAAAAAAATGAAGAGAAAAATTAATGATGAGAGCCCGATGAGAGGAGTTAATGGTTATTACCCGCATGATGACCATCCATATACACATTTTGCTATCTCATTTTCTTAATACCTATCAATAGAAAACGAAGTAAATGAGACAACCGCATATGAGACAAGAATAAATTGAATTCTCGCTCATACGGTTTTATCAGGAATTGATGGATTTATTCAATTTATTCAATCAACAGCATCATAGAAATGCAGTGCGCCAAATGCAAAGCCGCAGCGTTAAAAAGCAACGCGCTAAATGTTAAGCGCGAAGCGTAAAAGTGCAAAAAAAGTAGAGAGTGTGAGAGAGGGATAATGAGAGACAGAGAGGATACAGGCGCGAGCCAGGGGGCGGGGGCGGTCACCCCCAAAAAAAAAACGCAGCAAAAAAAAAAAAAAAAAGAGAGAGAGAAAGAAGAAAGGAAGAGGACGACGTAGGAAGAAAAATGATCAAGAGTCAAGAACGGTACAACGAATCGTCTTGTTTCTCTAATAATGTAATGAAACGTCAAAGCTTCCGCCCTACGCGCGGAGGAAGGGGAACTTGATTCAAACAAGGATTAAGAGTCGAGAACGGTACAATGAATCGTCTTCTTTCTTTAATGATTTAATAAAACGTCAAAAGGATTTAGACAAGGATTAAGGGTCGAAAACGGTACAAGGAATCGTCTTCTTTCTCTAATAATTTAATGAAACATCAAAGATTCCGCGCTTCGCGCGGGAGGGGAAAACTCTTCCTCCCTGCACCCACCCCCCCCCCCTAGGGAGCGCGCTTCGCGTGCTCACTACCGCCCCCTAAAATAAAATCCTGGCTACGCGCTTGAGAGGATAATAACCCAGGTAGCAAGCCCATGTCGGACCCACGTGGGTCCCATAATCTCTGAAATGTTATCTTTATTGAGGGTGACTTGAAAAAGTTAATAACTTGGAAGGGAGGGGTGCAGCCTGCCACACGCTTGTATCCTTGGTTGCTTTGATCCACTGCCGAAAAGATTTTGGCACCTATCATCCCCCCCCCCCCCCAACCACGGATACAAATCAGGATTTTGTGATGAGGGGTGACGAAACATAACGTTTTGGGTCCCAGTAGAGGGTAGCATATAACGGTTTGAAGTTCAGGGGGAGAGAGCCCCCGGAAGCTCCTTAGCTTCCTGTCTTTTAAATACCCCAAAACGCCTTTCCCGCATAATTTATTCTCCTACATTTCAGACAAGCTTTGCCTCAAATTTAGGTCGAAATAAGGCCATTTAGATGCACATTTCGGCAAAATTTCGAAGATCTAGGTATAGATATAGTTCACAAGTTGAGAACGAGTGTAACTGTTTCGCGATTTTCTTGAAAAACATAATGCTACAGAGCAAGGTAGATTTTGTTTTAATTAGCTGGAAAGGATATCTTGAAGTATCTAAATCCCACAACGGGATAACGGTTAACTAATATATGGAGGAAAATTGCCAAATTGAAAGTAGGTTTAAGAATATAATAAATGATTTTTCAAATGAAAAATGTAAAGGGTGCCCTCATTTGTATCCTTGTAAGTTTGCTTGTAGAGTAATCACTGTGAAAGGAGATGCATATCCATCGGAACAAAAAAAAACATGATAAAATTGATAGGAAACTCTGAGAGCACACAACAAGTTTGGCTCTCTTAAATTAAGGGTCACAAACTCATTGTATGATTGCATGGGGAAAGATAAATTATATTGATAATGATTCATGTTCTTGGGATTTTGTGCATTTTCCAGATTATAAAAACGTTTATTTATAAAATATTTAAGATATGATTTTTTTTTTAGTATTTTAAGCTCTTGAGACATTACAGAGAAAAATTATATACAGACAATCAAGTGTCTGGTTGAGCAACTCTTTGTGCCCTACGAAAGGTATTATAGAATAGCATGATTAGATTAAAAACATTAAATATAGTGATATATCGGTGCTAAAATCATCTGCAATCAATTATAAAATCAGTTGTATTAATATAGGCTATAACATATAGTGAATGACACAGTTTCTCCTTTGCGGAATAGCATCCTTGGGGTGGTCATGGTGAAGTATTTGATCACTCAGATTTTCTTTTACTTTTCGAATAATTTCCTTTTTATTCTTTTCTCAATTCAGAACTTGAGTCCACTGTTATCACAGATATTACCACCACTTCTCCTGCAACTACTACTATTGCGGCCACTACAACAACAGAAGTAATCGCAACTGCAGTTACAACTACATCGAGTACAACAACTGTTGAGGAAACAACCGCCCTCTCAACAACTAAAGCTGAAGTCACAACAACTGAAGCAACTACCATAATGACCACAGCAGCGTTAGGTAATCTTCCGTACGCTCTAAAAGAAATTGGGTCCAATTTTACCCAATGTTTTTTTTTTTTTTTTTTGGGGGGGGGGGAGAAATATGTGTGTTTGGGCCGATCCTGGGCATTAAACTTAACCCAATACTGGGTGAAATGTACTGACGATCGGCTAAAATTTACCCCATATTGTGTTAACTGTTACCTAACAAAAATCAATATTCCATTCTAATTATTCATATTGTTTCCACGCATTTTTCAAATCATTTTATTCACGTTCTTAAAAATTATTATGCATATGTATTTAAAACAAATATCCATGCAACATATAAATGACGTATACTAATAAATACATACCATCAAGACTAACCCAATATTGGATAAATATTACCCAACCTGTTTAGAGTTTACAAGCTTATGTACCTGGGGAAATGTATAGCTATCGCCTTGGTTTTTTTCTTCTTCATTACTTCATATATTTGCCCAACTTTTCTTTCACTTTAATTAATACAAAATTTGCTCTTCTTGTGCCAACAGGGTTATATGAAATAATGGGGAGATTGTGTTAATGATTACAAATGGATATGTAAATTTTTAACTCTCTTTCTACTTTATTCAACAGAACCAACTTCTAAGGGCGACACGGGTAAGGGTTATATTATGTTATTACTGTGTGCTATACCTGTCTGAATTATCAGCATGTTCAATAAGAAGGAATAATATGTAAAATGAAATTTTTGTAGGACAGTATCACAGAAATAATTCTTTTCAGAACTGTGTAAGAATACCCCCACTAGTACATTAACCCTTGACATGCCACAATATAGCCTACGTGTTCATCTTAAAATGTCAAGTTCATATGCGTTCACTATGATTGTAGACATGCTTATTTTGTGTATTGTAGGGGCATCGATGACAGTTTGACATGTGTTTCTTGAGTTACATCGGTGGTTTGGTGACATTTTATGTGCAGTTTTATTTCTAGTAATACTCCTTGCCATGGGGGTGTTTCACAAAGATCCTAAGTTGAACTTATCTCTAAGTTGGACTTAACATTTATGGAAAGCCGTTAGCATCTTTGAAAATATTTTGTAAAAGTTATTTTAAAAGGCAAGACAAGGTGATTCAAATCATTCATATTTTCTATTATCAAGGAGACTTCATGTTCTTGATGTGGAATTTATAAAAAGTCTAAAATACGTGAATTTTCGCTTTTGAATACATTTTATTTTAAGGCTACAAATGGCTCTCCATAATTTTTAAGTCCAACTTAGAGTCAAGTTCAACTTAGAATCTTTGTGAAACACCCTCCTGGTAGGCCTATGTGAAAAAACATGGTACTGTGGTACATCATACACCATTGCAAAATTAGCGATATGGATACAATGTGTAGTCATATGCTACCACACATATTTTGAAAATGATCGCATCCAATGAGGAATAAAGCAGGATAAAGATTAGCGATGATGATGATGATGTATTAAAGGGACTTGGTAACATTGTTCAGATGAGGGATAGTTGTGCTAAGGTAGTGACTTCAATGCCAGATGTACAACTGAAGATAATCTGAAAATTTGAATGAAAACGGACCATTATTCATGGTACAAATTGAGAAAAACTGATCTGATCGATTCCTTAATTCTCCCAACTATATTATTACAATTTAATTACATTTTAGATGAATGGAAATCGTCACAAAGCAATAAAATGGCTCTACATTCCATTCCAGACATTTAAGTGTTGACAGATTTTTTTTTAAAGCCTGTTTTATGTCTTTTTTTCATGGAAAAACGGTTGGGAAAATTCAAAAATGATTGGGATAATCTACAGTTAATCACTGTTAGAGGGTGTCATACATCGACTCCTTCAAAGAAAACCATAGATATCTTCGTGGTTTGAGAATTTGTTCAGGATTTTGTGCATGTCAGAGGACTAGTAGGCTACAGTAGAAGGAATATAGTAAGTAACATTTTATACAAAAATTAAGCAATTTTTTCATCAACCTTCAACAATGTTACCAAGTCACTTTAAGCTTAGAGGAGCGGCGCTGTATGGAAAACAATGTTTCACTGCATTGAGATGGACAATCGCATTATTTGAGATATATTTCTCGACCGCCTGAAAATCAGTTTAGAGCCCTGGTTTCTAGTTTGCACATTCTTATTCCAATGTCATATCAGAAACTACAACAAGTATGATCACCACATCAGCTACAACTACGCCGACAACATCAGCCACGACGACTACCACCTTGTCCACAACGACTTTGGGAGAAACAACTGGTACGATTACTAATTAAAGGCACACTGTCCTACTTGTAGCTACTTGCTCCCTCTATATAGAAAACTTCCCTAATCGGTGCCTGTTGGTCCCCCATGATCCTCGTTTTATTATGTTAAATGAGAGCTGAGTTAATGAGATAGCCATCTGTCACAGTGACCTCGCTGGCTCGCTGGGTGGTCTAATCCCTTCTGGCTGAAGTAGTAAAGCCTGCCTTTAATGTCCCTTTCTTTTTGCAAAAGTTTTTTTTTTACGTTAACGATGTAATTTTCGATCGATTAAGAAAGGCTTATCGGAATTCATGTGCGATGTAGAGTTTCCCCTATAGCTCCCATTTGACTGCTTGCCCTTCTACAATCTCACACAATTTTAAAGCGGAGAAGCGCATTATTTTACTGCATATTTTTGTGACACAGATTAAGAAATGTCATCACAATTTAGGGTCAATTTCTTGGACAAGCTAAAACTTCCCAAAGACAATTCTTCATAAAGTATAATTTTGCCATATACTGGTGTGTTCTATTGTGGCTTTACATCAGTAACTTGTTTTTCATTTTGCAGTGTTAACTAGTGAAATGACTGCTGTCACCACAGAAGCACCGGATGTCACCACCACTGAAACAACTACCACAGTGACTACAACCCCAGGTATTCAAATACAGATGTATTCATTTACCTTACAAGGAACTACGTGTACAACAATGAACACAACAACCCTGTTGTTTTTATTATCATTATTATTATATAAATATATATGCAGGTTAAAAACCAATTTAGTCATATCCTTACCATTTTTTTAGTATATGGAAAATCAGTATGTCCCAAATTATGTTTCTTTATAATGTGGCATATCAAAGCTTACATATAAAAGTATTCAACTAGACCCTCATTCAACCATTCCACTTTTCATTCTTGAGTTTTAAGAAAAACACCACATGAAACGTCATATTTCCAAGGCGTATAATAATTATGTTGTTAAGTGTATATAAACAACCCCCTCTCTCTGTTCCATTCTCTTTTCGACAGAACCAACCCAAAGGGGCGACACAGGTATGTTCACGATTTCACTCTCTTATTATGTTGTTGTCCAACATACCAAACGTGCATGGGCAAAAGAAACTGACAAATAACAGTACTAGGAAATGATAATTGTATGACTTTGACACTGAGTGTCACTTGTAGATGAATTTCATAAGGAAGATTTATGGTTCATATGGAAGATTGAAGCAGACGCGTTTGACTTAATGAATGCGTGAAGGGCAATGCGGAGCGGTTTAAGATTCATTGACATGACAGATCCAGATTTTAATTTATAATTGCATTTTTACATTTTGCCTCATTTGTGCAACCAGAAACTACAACAGAACGATCGCGATCACCAGGAGAAACAACGAGGGGTAAGTCAAAATGCAGTATGCATTAAAAAAAAATCTGTTAAATTCCTACAAATGGAGTCGAAAATCCTGGATCTTTAGATAGGACTATTTTTATTATGAACTTATTTACGTTGCTCTCATTTCCAAAAAAAAATGTATGCACTTAATTATCTCTGACTAGACCTTCGGTTGTCAACGAAAATTGAACAAAGAATTGTACATGGGCTGTACTAAAAATGGTTTTGCTGAAATATATCATTGCAATAAAAATAACTACTGATCAGGTCATAGTCATAATGATTCAAATCTGAAGCCACTTAGTCCATGAAAATGACGCTTGTAAATCCTACTATCTCATTGCCATTGCAAAACACCTTTGATATGTTTGGTCTTTATTCTACAGAGACTATGACTACCACTACAGCAACTACCACTACTCCTGCTACAACAACTACTCCGGCTACTACAACAACAGAAACAGTCACTACTAAAGCCACAACTACTGAAGGTACTACAACAGTCGAAGAAACAACAACTGTCACAACAGAAGCACCAGAAGTGACCACAACTGAAACAACTACCACAGTGACTACAACAACTCCAGGTATTCAAATATAGATGTATTCATTTACCGTAAAGGAACTATGTGTACAACAATGAACATAACAACCCTGTTGTTATTGTTATCATTATTATTATATATATATAGGCAGGTTAAAAACCAAATTAGTCATATCCTTACCATTTTTTTTTAGTATATGGAAAATACGTTTTTTCCAAATTAATTTTGTTCATAATGTGGCATATCAAAGCTAATACATCTAAAAGTATTCAACTAGACCCTCATTCAACCATTCCACTTTTCATTCTTGAGTTTTAAGAAAAACACCACATGAAACGTCATATTTCAAAGGCGTATAATAATTATGTTGTTAAGTGTATATAAACAACCCCCTCCCTCTCTCTCTTCCATTCTCTTTTCGACAGAACCAACCGAAAGGAGCGACGGAGGTACGTACACGATTTCACTCTCTTATTATGTTGTTGTCCAACATACCAAACGTGCATGGGCAAAAGAAACTGACAAATAACAGTACTAGGAAATGATAATTGTATGACTTTGACACTGAGTGTCACTTGTAGATGAATTTCATAAGGAAGATTTATGGTTCATATGGAAGATTGAAGCAGACGCGTTTGACTTAATGAATGCGTGAAGGGCAATGCGGAGCGGTTTAAGATTCATTGACATGACAGATCCAGATTTGAATTTATAATTGCATTTTTACATTTTGCCTCATTTGTGCAACCAGAAACTACAACAGAACGATCGCGATCACCAGGAGAAACAACGGCGGGTAAGTCAAAATGCTGTATGCATAAAAAAAAAATCTGTTAAATTCCTACAAATGGAGTCGAAAATCCTGGATCTTTAGATAGGACTATTTTTATTATGAACTTATTTACGTTGCTCTCATTTCCAAAAAAAATGTATGCACTTAATTATCTCTGACTAGACCTTCGGTTGTCAACGAAAATTGAACAAAGAATTGTACATGGGCTGTACTAAAAATGGTTTTGCTGAAATATATCATTGCAATAAAAATAACTACTGATCAGGTCATAGGCATAATGATTCAAATCTGAAGCCACTAAGTCCATGAAAATGACGCTTGTAAATCCTACTATCTCATTGCCATTGCAAAACACCTTTGATATGTTTGGTCTTTATTCTACAGAGACTATGACTACCACTACAGCAACTACCACTACTCCTGCTACAACAACTACTCCGGCTACTACAACAACAGAAACAGTCACTACTAAAGCCACAACTACTGAAGGTACTACAACAGTCGAAGAAACAACAACTGTCACAACAGAAGCACCAGAAGTGACCACAACTGAAACAACTACCACAGTGACTACAACAACTCCAGGTATTCAAATATAGATGTATTCATTTACCGTAAAGGAACTATGTGTACAACAATGAACATAACAACCCTGTTGTTATTGTTATCATTATTATTATATATATATAGGCAGGTTAAAAACCAAATTAGTCATATCCTTACCATTTTTTTTTTAGTATATGGAAAATCCGTTTTTTCCAAATTAATTTTGTTCATAATGTGGCATATCAAAGCTAATACATCTAAAAGTATTCAACTAGACCCTCGTTCAACCATTCCACTTTTCATTCTTGAGTTTTAAGAAAAACACCACATGAAACGTCATATTTCAAAGGCGTATAATAATTATGTTGTTAAGTGTATATAAACAACCCCCTCCCTCTCTCTCTTCCATTCTCTTTTCGACAGAACCAACCGGGAGCGACGGAGGTACGTACACGATTTCACTCTCTTATTATGTTGTTGTCTAACATACCAAACGTGCATGGGCAAAAGAACCTGACAAATAACAGTATTAGGAAATGGTAATTGTATGACTTTGACACTGAGTGTCACTTGTAGATGAATTTCATTAGGAAGATTTATGGTTCATATGGAAGATTGGGGCAGATGCATTTGACTTAGTGAATGCGTGAAGGGCAATGCAGAGCGGTTTTAGATTCATTGACATCACAGATACAATTTTAATTAATTATTGCATTTTTACCCTTTGCCTCATCTTGTGCAACCAGAAACTACAACAGGACGAACGCGATCACCAGGAACAACAACGGGTAAGTCGAAATGATGTATGCATACAAAATATATGCAATTCTTACAAATGGAGTCAAAAAGTCTGGATCTTTAGATAGGACTATGTTTAATCCGAACTTATTTACGTTGCTCTCATTTCCAAAAAAATGTATGCACTTAATGTGATTTTCATTTCTATTTCATCTCTGAAATACTAGACCTTCGGTTGTCAACGAAAATTGAACAAAGAATTGTGCATGGGCTGTACAAAAATCGTTTTGCTGAAATATATCATTGCAATAAAAATAACTACTGATCAGGTCATAGTCATAATGATTCAAATCTGAAGCCACTAAGTCCATGAAAATTACGTTTGCAAATCCTGCTATCACATTGCTATTGCAAAACACCTTTGATATGTTTGGTCTTTATTCTACAGAGACTATGACTACCACTACAGCAACTACCACTACTCCTGCTACAACAACTACTCCGGCATATCAAAGCTAATACATCTAAAAGTATTCAACTAGACCCTCATTCAACCATTCCACTTTTCATTCTTGAGTTTTAAGAAAAACACCACATGAAACGTCATATTTCAAAGGCGTATAATAATTATGTTGTTAAGTGTATATAAACAACCCCTCCCTCTCTCTCTTCCATTCTCTTTTCGACAGAACCATCCGAATGGAGCGACGGAGGTACGTACACGATTTCACTCTCTTATTATGTTGTTGTCTAACATACCAAACGTGCATGGGCAAAAGAACCTGACAAATAACAGTATTAGGAAATGGTAATTGTATGACTTTGACACTGAGTGTCACTTGTAGATGAATTTCATTGGGAAGATTTATGGTTCATATGGAAGATTGGGGCAGATGCATTTGACTTAGTGAATGCGTGAAGGGCAATGCAGAGCGGTTTTAGATTCATTGACATCACAGATACAATTTTAATTAATTATTGCATTTTTACCCTTTGCCTCATCTTGTGCAACCAGAAACTACAACAGGACGAACGCGATCACCAGGAACAACAACGGGTAAGTCGAAATGATGTATGCATACAAAATATATGCAATTCTTACAAATGGAGTCAAAAAGTCTGGATCTTTAGATAGGACTATGTTTAATCCGAACTTATTTACGTTGCTCTCATTTCCAAAAAAATGTATGCACTTAATGTGATTTTCATTTCTATTTCATCTCTGAAATACTAGACCTTCGGTTGTCAACGAAAATTGAACAAAGAATTGTACATGGGCTGTACAAAAATCGTTTTGCTGAAATATATCATTGCAATAAAAATAACTACTGATCAGGTCATAGTCATAATGATTCAAATCTGAAGCCACTAAGTCCATGAAAATTACGTTTGCAAATCCTGCTATCACATTGCTATTGCAAAACACCTTTGATATGTTTGGTCTTTATTCTACAGAGACTATGACTACCACTACAGCAACTACCACTACTCCTGCTACAACAACTACTCCGGCTACTACAACAACAGAAACAGTCACTACTAAAGCCACAACTACTGAAGGTACTACAACAGTCGAAGAGACAACAACTGTCACCACAGAGACACCAGAGGTTACCACTACCAAGGCTACCACTACAGCTGTTGTCTCCACCACCCCAGCGGAAGGTATAGTTCTAAAAAAAAATTGGCAAACAAGTTTTATTTGTGAGACACGCCCCCATCATGTGGTGCCTTGGAGTGGCACTATTTTACGCTCAAAATAAAAAAACACTAGAGTAAATAAATAGATAAATAAATCATTCGTATTCGAGACATTTCTAGACTCTAAAATCTATTAAACGCTTTGTATTTTATGAGTTGTACTTTCATTTCCTTTTTTCTCTTTAACTAGTAATAAACAAATGTATAAATACTTCATTATGATATGACGAGATGAAAAATGACATTCCAATTTAAAAAAAAACTCAACCCGAATGTATCTTTTTCTTCTATTTATCGTGACTCTTTTTTTTTCTCTCCACCTTATGAACTCAAAACAGAAACAACGACACCATTCCTCACAGGTACGTGATTGACATTTCTTCATACATTAGAATGTGTTAGGGTTAGAAACAGTCTGCCGCAAAATATATACTACTAACAGGGGCGGATCTAGGGGGGGGGGGGGGGACAAAATTTTTTTTTTTTAATTTAGTGCTCATTACCCCCCCCCCCCCACACACACACACACACACACACACACATACACACACACACTGAGCGAAATATGATCGGTGCGTTTTCAAATTCCGGGGGAGCAAATTAAAATTTAGCAAACACTTACAGGGTTGCAAGTCCAGGGGAGCGTTTCACAAAGGCTAAGATCGACTTTAAGTTGGACTTAGCTATGGCAGGCCGTTCATGCCACTAGTTCCTCTAACCATTCCTGGCATTGGTTGAACACGGGACGTACAAATTATGGTCACAAATCTAGACATTTTACTTACTGGGAAGATGACAGTTTGGAAACTTCAATTTAGGCTGCATCATGTATGCTTCAATTCCAACTGCAATCATACATTCAATGAATTTGGGGGATATTTCACTTAGAGCTTCTTCATGTTGAATGACAGTAATAATGTACTATTCTTTGTACCAAGGTCATAGTTAGGCTGGGAGGGGTCTCGGAGTTCGAACCCCAGACAGGCCCCCGCTTGTTTGATTCTTAGCTTCAAAATACCCACATTTATATTATTTAGTCACCTACTCACCTACATAACGAATCAGACAAATCGTTTGAAATAACTACAAAACTAAACGATTAATTACCTTAAAATCAGTGTATTCACTCCGTTGATAAGCACTAACAACCCCAACAAACATTAATAAAAAATTAAACTTTGTTGTATAGTCACATGACTGAAAGACAAATAACATTGGAAGGTATACTATGCATCAACTTATGGTGGGGTTCTAAGAATTGAGTATTTCTTTTTTGCAGAGACTACCACTGCCAAGATTCGACAGAGTACTACGGAGAATGCCACTACCACAGGTGATTATATTCAACTTCATTATTTCTCTAAGGATAGGATGTTCAAGTACTGAAGCGATCTCATGTAGTTCATCACAACAATTGGCATCGATGTTATTGTTCTGTTATTGTTAAATTGTTCTAATAAAATGTAATGTCTCTGAAAGCAATATACTTTGAGAGGATTTTTGTCAAAACGTTTAAAAAGAAATTTACCTTGATTGAAAAAAACTATGATTGATATTTACTCAATGTTTTACCAATTTAGGGATTTTTAAAGTTTATTATAATCATTAATATTTTTGTTAAACTCTTGGCAACGAACACGATATGGTCATGTAAGAGGAAATCGGCGCAGTGTGAGCAAGATTGGCACTTTTACTCATTTGGTTAAGATTTTAGAGCTCTGAATTAAACGTTAATTAGCCAGACCCCAAAACCCCCGACTTGAAAGGTTTAAGGCAAAGTTGCTTTGAATGAAACAAAAAAAGTAAGAAAATCAATCCAAGAGAAGGAAATTCGATGTTTATGTTGGTGCCCCTGAATATGTGGCCGTGGTTGTTATAATTGTCATACATGTACATACGTGTGTGTATGTACATCTTTAGGCGACAGTTTACAGTTTTCATTGTCATGTATAAACCTTCATGAAGTTCATATTCCCGGAAGAAATCTTTCACGTACGCCTATAGTAAATGCATATCGTGATCGATAGCAAAAGTCTACGAGAATTCTGACTTTAACAGGTGGTCCGTTATTGGTTTATGATGCTCATACTTGCCGGAGATGTGGAACAGAGTCTCAATATCAATGACAAATTACCAGAAAGTTCCAGCATCATGGAAAACATGATCAGGTCAAGTTTTACTACCTAGTCTCATATACCAATCTATCTATATATTTGCCCAGGTCCTACTGTACAATCAACCACCACGTCAGAATTAACTTCTGTGACAACGAGTTCGCCAACAACAGAAGGTTAGTTCAGACACTCATAAAAATTTAATTTATCGTCACAACTCGCCGTGTTGTTGTTTTTGTTGACTTGCTGTAAGTTGCTGTTATACTAATTATAATTATTATAGTTCTTGTCATATTACTATTTCCATTGCCATTATTATGACATTATCATTATCATTGTTACTAATAATATTATCATTACCATGTACTTTAGCTGCTGCTGTTATTGATACTAACATAAACTTTATTATCATTAATCATTTCATAAACATGTTTCATTCTTTAGCCAAGATTTCCACGACGTTGATCCAGACTACAACAACAACACCGGAAACTACAGAGCAGACGACCACAAGAATAGAAACAACTACTACAGAAGGAGTGACCATCGAAAAGGTGACCACTACCACACCAGAGGCCGTCGTCACCGAGTTGATCACGACAGAAGGTTCAACCATTACCACAACGACCACCACTAGACCAATTATCGCCTCTACCACACCTGCAACTACCATGCTCATGACCACACCCAAACCAGGGAATGAAACTGGTAGGTTTGTTTTGTTCTATCTACCTCTGTATACAAGTCAATTATTACCTCACTTACGTTCTTAAAACCCATTTATAACTATGGCCATTTTTTCTTTTGGACTCATAGAATTCATCTACTTTTGATGTGTGTACGTGGAGTTAGGATATGTGTGTCTGAGAGAGTGTGTGGAATTTGTTGAAAACATCTGCATTGATGTCTCTATGTTTGAATAACTAATTGGCTAAACCTTATGTCCTTGAAACCTATATAATTATGAACACAACTACTTTTCTTTTGATTTTTTAGAATTCATTTGATCTTTCAAATATGACGGTTTTAAATGTGCGTGTGTCTGTGCGAGAGAGTAGCTTGATTTTGTCGACTCTATCAGCATTAAGCTCTTTACAAGCGACTAATTGGTCATTTCATCCGCGAAACCCATCTATAAATATGACTTCTTTGCTTTGGAACTTTTGAATGGGTGCTTGAAAAAGATAATTCTGTTTAGTTCATCTGCACCGATACCTCCATAATAATTATACAAGTGACTACTTGTCTATTTCTTTGGTCCTTTAAAATCATTTTTCCCTTTTGAATTGATAAGATTCATGTTTTTAATGTGTGTGAGAGATTTGGATGTCTGTGTGTGTGCGTTTGATTATGATGTTACTGCAGAATACGAGTACTCATTTGTACATTTGTTTTGTTATTCGTTTTACCACAGGATGTCTCAAGGACGGCGTTCGATATGAAGTGAGTATACAATACATCATTTCAATTCATTTATTTCACATTCGATGGTACAATACATGAATACAATGAGAAATACAGTAGAAACATTGAACGAAAAAGCCAAATCATATAGGAGATGATTGTTCTGTAAATCGACTGTAATGAAGTTGATCTGAGGGCGTAGTTCAGGCCATGTCAAATGATTCTAACAAGTTTTAAGAATCTTGAAGTCTTTGGTATAAATATCCCATAATAAATACACTGCTTAATAAATACAATACGTATGCGGTATATAAAAGGTTCAAAGAAAACTAGAAAATGCATGGCTATGTTAAATTAATCCTTACATTCTAAAATGTTCATATAAAAAGAGACGACAATATGTTGCAGGATATTAAAAGCATGTATTTGGTGAATCATCGCAACTTAAACACGGAAGACTCAAGCTTTCATTGACACTTCGTATTGTTGATTATCTTTCTTTTTAATTGATATCTCCAAAATAAACAATTTTGGTCCATTAGGATGTTACGTATTTGATCGGTCTCGTGTTGCTCTGATGTCTGTCTTCTTTGTGTGGTTGAGAAACACGCATTATTATGTTTATCTTGTCCTGTTCTGTGGATCAAATCTAATTTGTTTTTGTCTCTCTTGTCTTTCCTTCCCGTTCACAGTGGGAGGAGGTGATCCTTTCCAGTGACCCATGTACAAAGATGATCTGTAAGAAGGATGTCGGTATCATGTCAATAACGCAGCAATGCCAAGACCTTGTGTGTGAGGTACGTCTTCTGTCAGGACAAGCATTCCACATTGTGTTGTTTGATTCAGAGCCCTAAAATATACCAGGGGGTGTTTCACAAAGATCCTAGGTTGAACTTATCTCTAAGTTGGACTTCAAAGTTATGGAAAGCCATTAACCTCTTTGAAAATATTTTGTTAAAATTTATTTTAAAAGGCATAAAATGTTGATTCAAATCATTCGTATTTTTCTATTATAAAGGAGATTTCATGTTCTTGATGTGTAATTTTTGAAATGTCTAAAATTCTTGAATTTTTGCTTTTTAATATGTTTTATTTGAAGGCTACAAATGGCTCTCCATAATGTTTTAGTCCAACTTAGAGTTAAGTTCAACTTAGGATCTTTGTGAAACACCCCCTTGGTGCATGTAAAGAGAAGGCAAAAATGTCTGCACATATCGTGTCCATTGTTGTCATATGACCACGTTGCGTTTGACATCAAGAATTTTTAAAAGCAGAGTAATCCTTAAATTTGCTTAAATAAACAACATATTGGGAATCGTTGTTTTTGATGAAAATTAGCAATCTGTTCAACATTTCTACAAATGTCATACCCATTTTATATTGGTTTCAAGAAATGCTGAATTTATAGTACAATAAAGCATTTTACCAATATTTTGTTCCTCCATATTTGTATTAGTATGTATCCTTTGAGAGTAGTCATACTATCAAGCTTTGCTTACCTTGTCAACCCTCCTGTTTGATGTTTTCGATTAGTTACAGCCAGCCTCACTTTATTCTATATATGTTCTTTTGTCATGTGTAAATTTGCAATATTTGTTTGTTATATATTTGTAAAAATGCAAAAGAAAAAGAAAATCAAACAGAAATAGATCAAATCAAATCAAATCAAAAGAAAAATGTTGTTGCCACCTTGAAGAGCCGTCATTTAGCCCTTTAAAAATCCCTGTCCTCATGTGGTGTGAGTCAATACAAAAATAAACCCATATTCACCATGCATATTTATATCTTAAACACCCAACTGAAATTATTGAAATATATATTTGTATGGTGGTTCGTAGTGTCTTCTTTAAAATGCTTACCAAAATGTAATGTAAGAAATTAAAATTACTACAACAAAGTCCGAGACCAATTTAGGTATGCAATAAACAAACATAAAATACCCCTTTTAGATTGCTCGGTGCTTCCAAGAAAGTAAACTCCTTCGGAACTTATTAAAAACTCAAATCTGACCATTCTGCCAAAATATGCATCTCTGTTGAGATCTAATTGAAAATTTTATTTTTTATTTTTCAATGTACGCTCAACCCTAAAAAGGCCGGACTATTTGAGGTCTTAATACGGCCGGGGTGCCATCATGCCCCCCCCCCCCCCCCTAAGATCTCGGCCTAGGAAGGTCTAATTAATGTGAAAATTAGCATGATGATAGATTGAAATATATTGCATAAGAAGGCACTGTTTATTTTTTGTTATGTTTATTTATTTTTGTAAATTAATATTTCTATGACAATATGCATTTTTTGGGGGGGAAGTATACTTACACACGCACATTTGTGAGAATTACATATTTTGATAGACATGTGATGATACTTTGTCACCTAACATCCGAGCCATAGGTCCGCCCATAACAAATTTGGTATCAAAATGTGCGGGAGACACGAGGAAAAAAACTCATTAAAATTTCAACGCCAAGGTTCAGGGGGTCAGGGGTATTGATACAGCGGCAAAAATTTGACCGGGGGGCATTATGCCCCCCCCCCCCCCGGCCTTATTAGGGTTAACCGGCATGATGGAGCACCATTATCTCAATCAAAGTTCTATTTTAAAAAAAAATTGTATTGATAATCATTATCATGTTATATTCTCTTGCAGGGTAAACTTGTGAGAAGGGACGGAGAATGCTGCCCGATATGCGGTAAGAATAGATTTATTTTTATACAATTATTAAATGCTTTCTTTAGAATCCCGTTTATGAATCTCATCATTATCTTGAAACGCACACAGATATTCTTGGCAGAGAAAGGAAGGATTTTTCTATCTTCTGACTTCTTTGCATACTGAATTACAAATGGACTCCTTGATCAGGTTTCACTGTTAAGCCCGGCGCACACTATATTATCTGACAATGTTCCGATTTCGGAATAGTTTGTGATAGCATTTTATATGAACATTCACACATGAAAAACTTAGTGACCAAGGATCTGGATAGTCATATAATAATAATAGTAATAATTGAATTGAATTGAAATTTATTGTCCCTTTCAGGAAATTCCTTTTTCACTGGTTTTACAGACTTTGTACATATATACAAGAAGAATACATAATACAATATTATCAAATGTATATCGTTAAAAACGTGATTACATGCTGAAAATGATTGTTGCAATGGAAACGGAACAAAAAATACATTGATTGCAGTATAAACATAAACATAATAGGCAATTATATAGTGCCGTCTATCTAGACAATTTTATTTCGAGGCAGGCCAGGGGCACTAATCATTTATCACCATGGCTTTAGTCTTGCTGCCATTACAGCGCTCTAGCAATTCAAGGAATTAATTCCTGCCAGTTTCCCATTTACTTCACCTGGGTCAAGTGTGGCAAATGTAGACTAATGCCTTGCCAAAGAACATTAGTGCCGTGTCAGGGATCGAACCACGCCCTTCGAATTTCAAGCCAAGTGCTTAAACCACTCGACTACGACACTTTCACTTCATATGATTGATAATCTCTAAATTGCAAGGGATCTCATACTTCCTTGGAGAGGAAAAATGCTAAGTCGGCTTAGAATCGTAGTGACATCAGACCAAAAGTGAGATGGTCAAGATTTGAAGCCAATCCGGCTTTTATTCTATCTAGAAGAATTAAATGCAATAAAATTCTGGTTGTTAATATGTTTATCATCATTTAAATCCTAAATCAGGAGGAAAGTGGAAGTTAATATTTTCATATCTAATATAACCGCCCTTTCTGCGCAAATATAATCGCAGGAGGGTCGTGTAGTGTGCGCCCGGCTTTACATGAAGGCCGGGGAACTAAACCTTGATATGAACTTAGAGTCACTAAAAGCGGAAAAGCGGAAAAGTGGAGAGAAAAAATACTCATCAACGTCTGTACTCTGGGAAATGAATGGAAATAATTATTTCATACTCACGACCGATGAGAAAGTAGCAGCCATGTCATGCGGTATCCACGTTCTTTTAAAAGTTGTGTTTTCTTTTAGAAAAATATGGAATATTCAGTTATTTTGATTTCCTATTCTAAATAGAGGCGATGCATGATCCATTGGTACTTTGATGTAACACTATGGAGGCAATTAATCCCTGGCGCAGGTGTTTTCTTTTGTTATTTATTTGTGTGGTCCATTTTTCTCTTCACCAATTATTCTACAGAGAAACCAATGCCAACGTGCCAACCACGAACAGAGAAGCGAGAGGCCCTGACGATCGGAGACTGTGTGTCCACAAGCCCTGTCCTCTTGTCATATTGCTCAGGTCTGTGTGAATCCAATGTAACAGCTATGATGAACACCGCCTTCAATGGCGCGCCGTACCTTGATATCAACTGCAACTGTTGCAAGCCAACCGAGATGTACGAAAATATGGCAACGTTCTTGTGCGAAGATGGCACAACCATTGAGAAGGCATACTATGTTATCGAGCAATGCGACTGTAGGGGCTGCGAGTACGATCCCATAACGATGGGCGCTCTAAACCCAGTCCCAGCAGTGACAGTGCCGCCTGTCGTACAATAGAAGGAAACACAAGGACTATCATCCTTGAGATCCTTAAAAAAAGTTAACAAAGAATTATGTTTTCTCTAGCTAGATTCAGCTGTCGTTCTTAGTTTCTTTTCTTAATCATTTTCATAATTAACTCTTTTTTTGCTGAGGATTTGCCTAACTAACTGAAGCATTGTTTGGAGTATCGCTTCTTACACGCTTCGTACAGTGGAAGTCCATTGTTTATTCCATTTGTCAACCAAGGCAGGCAAAGAGTTAAATGGTATGTTGGTTGTATTTTTATGATTTCTTTTCAGACATGTATTAAATTAATTATGAAGAAATTTCACACACAATTTTATGTTGTTATAAAGAAGACATTGGACTGACAGAAGTTATGTTTGTTTGAGTGTTAAAAGGATAAAATCATTTGAAAAATACAAGTTATTTAATGGAGTGAAGGTCTCATGGTTGATGAGAAACATTTCCCTTTTATTAATGCTGTAAGTGGTTACAGTGGAATATCAGAATAGTTCACTACCCTTAGCCATTTTATTGAAATCATTAGAAAGTAACTGGTAACAGTGCTAATTTAAGCTGTAGGAAAATCGTTCGTTCTATGTTAGCTTTACAATTTGCAGAAATGTTATCAGATTTACAAATACTTTATGCTCAAGTAATAAATCTCAAACTGATTTCTTATACGAAATCTGTATTCCAGTGCAAGATATTCATTTTGTCAAAAAGCAAGACATTATTCAGTGCCTTGAAAAGTGATTCAAAATGTTTGAGCCAGAACATGGTTGGAAAAATGTGATGGAAAGTATTTTAAAACTCTAAAGTAATATCTACTATCTAACCTGTGCAATATAATCATAATAGTTTTTCTTCGACAAAATCTGTATTCCAGTGAAAGATATTCATTTTGTCAAAAAGCAAGACATTATTCAGTGCCTTGAAAAGTGATTCAAAATGTTTGAGCCAGAACATAGCTGGAAAAATGTGATGGAAAGTATTTTAAAACTCTAAAGTAATATCTACTATCTAGCCTGTGCAATATAATTATAAAAGTTTTTCCTCTATTTTTGTTTTAAGTTACAGTAATGAAGTTACGTACAGGTATTCATATTTTGTGTAAGATGTTCTTTGTCTTTAATTTCTCTCCCTCACTTATTATATGTAGATGGCAGCTGAATAATAAAAAAAAAAACATATGAAGAATGAAATACAAAACTGTTTGGTCTTTGTTATTACCTTGGTAGAGGTTGGGCATACATTCATCATTTCAAGTAATGCCTCAGTCACAAATGCCATTACAAACTGCTACGAACGCCGTACGAACGATTTTCAGACAATGGAAATTCGGGAAGACAATGAAAAAACAGGGAGACTCATACGGAATTATTGATTGTACGAACCTTTGTGACCGTAGCATTGACCGTAGCATTATACATAGCATCAAAAATAAACAATCATATGTATTTATATATATATACACATACATATACTCATTCACCACCTCCCCCCCTCCCACACACACACACACACACACACACAAACACACCACAACACTTGATGAAGATGTATAGTTTGTATTTTCACTGTGCTAACTCAAAGAATATTTATTTCAATCCAATTCAGATTTACAGTAAAGTTTCAAAATAAACTCATTTACACTACGAACAAAAGTGGAAATTCCAAATGTTTAAGATACACATGCTGTTGGACTGAAAAGGGCACTTTTGAGTCATTAAAGACTGGAAGGGTCATGCTTTTCCTCCCAGGTACATGTATGGTATCATTTTATTCACAAAGATTAACACTTTTCTGCAAACACTGGAAATTTTAGTTGTTTGTTTGTTTGTTGTGGGTTGTTGTGATGATAGAGCGTTGATGTCTAGAAATTGTTTTGTTATTGGGTGAATCCCTTAACAGATATCATCTTCAAAATCAGTTCTTTCATATATGGATAGCCAACAGACTAACTGTCTGACAAAATTCGTTCTCCCTTTTTTCAGGTACCCGGTACTTGACTTTTTTTAAGTATTCAAAAGTGGAGAAATAAATGAAACTAGTCTTAACACTTCCATGAAAAAAACAAATTTTCCATCCTTCCACACTTCCTAAAATGCAACTTATCTGGTATAATCATCTTTGGAGGGAGGGGGATGCTAATAGTCCAGTCCCACGATATACAGTTGGCAACAGAATTATTCATACCGCTTGTAAATTTGATGTTTATTGGGTGTTTTCCATATATAACTTAAGAATGAAATGTGGACGGGCTGAATCAGGGCTTTGTTGAATACTTTTAGATGTAAGCTTTAATATGCAACATTCTCAGGAAAAATACATTGGGACAAATACATTTTTCACAACCTTCCAATATTTGAAGATTTGGTAAGGGTATGAATAATTTAGTTGCTAACTGTATATGTACAAAAACTGTGTGTGTGTGTGCATGTGCGTGCGTGTGTGAGTGTGTGTGTGTGTGTGTGAACTTGTGTGTGTGTGTGAGTGTGTGGGTGAATTTGTATGTGTGTGTGTGCGTACGTGTGTTGGTTAGTGGGTGTTTGTCTGTTTTTATTACTGAAGATTTATCATATCATTATCTTCAATATTTTTTAACATCTATTTTTTTACACTGACTATTGATTTTAATCAACCATAATCATATCATATCATTATCTTCAATATTGTTTTTACATCTATTCTATTACACTGACTATTGATTTTAATCAACCAAAGTCATATGCAGATGTGCTTGGAAAACTTTTTCTTATTCTCACTTTTCTAAAAATGACACTTCAATTAAAATTACACATAAAAAACCAGGTTCTGTACTAGATATTTTATTACCTTGCATGATATCACAATTGTCAATATAAGAAAGCTAATGTCATGGGATAGATTGCTTAAAGTATAACAATCACCCGACAATGATTTCAGTACTGTTGGAATTGATAAAATCAAACTCAAATAATTTTACCTGGCATTCTATGATTAAGATTAATAAGGAGTATGAAGTAAATAATAGAAAACATAACAAAATCATAGACGGAATCCAAGTCGGACTTGCATTTACATGGTTTCCCTGTTATATGCAAGCCTATACAATACATCAACTAGATGGCACACAATTCACTTTGGTAATGGTAATGGTAATGGTTTTATTAAAAATTCATTTGCAGCCAGATGGCTGAATTGCAGAATTTTGTACAATGTAAAACATAAATATTTATACAAACGTAAATCGTATTAAGACATATTAATGAATTTTCTTAATAAATTAGTGTACACATATATATATATATATATATATACAAATTAATAAAATTCATAAAATTCGCTTAGCAGCTAACAGTTGCTTAATTTCATTCCACAATCATCATAGGGCTGGAGGGAAATATAGAAGAGAGGTAGGGGGATATAGTGCAGACAGCACAGGAGATCCAGGAAAAGTGTGAGATTTATAGAGAAAGACAGAGGGAGAGAAAGAGAGAGAGGGGGAGAGAAAGAGAGACAAAGCGAGAGATAGAGAAAGATAATGCTGAGGATGAGAGTGTATATCAGACATAATAAGGTAAAAAGTACAATTTCGACAGACAATACTGGTTGCAAAAATTAATAAATTACATTTTACATTTTTATTGGTGAGTTATGGATAACATAATTATATTGTTAATTGATAGGTAGGTATGCAATGAGATGAAAGACATGAAATATGAAATATGGTAATTTTGAGATTTTTCTTGTAATAAGTATGTTTAACAAGAGCGTATGTCAACTCACTATTTATAATAGTAATATTTGAAGGTCCTATTTCTGAAATAGTATAGAGACATAGACATCTGGCATATGGTGCAAAGTGGGGATGACTGGTACATTATAAGAATGTACACTTTGCTGAAAGTCCTACATTTTGAGATCAGCTGCTAAAAAAAGAGCGACTCTTTCCTTACATCCTGTTTGTCAGGTACCAAACAAAAGCTTGAGGTACTTGGCTTCTAAGTTCCTCCAGCTATACTTTGTCAAGTCACCCTGTATTTAAAAGATATAAAGTTAGAATTAATGTATTATTGAAAAGATTGATGCATATCCCTTATCAATTTCATAAGAACTAAATAAATAAACGGCTAGTCAGGCCTTACTGATAACGGTGATGACAACTGTATCGCTAAATCATTCGCAATCGCTCCCCTCGTTTAAAGAACATATCCAAAATGAATAATGAATTGGAAGAATTACATATCAACAGAAAGCTTATGAGCCTGATAATACAATAATATCAATTATATGCCGTTTTATTGTATGTCGGAGGAGTATCAGCTCTCTGAAAACTCAAAATCCAAAGCTTTTAAAATCGGAAGTTGTCGACCTCAAAATTTGCTATCGACTTGATGACATAATATTATATGGAGTATGCATATTCACAATGACTTTGCATTAATTATCACGGTTCACCGCCTCAGCTATACAGATGAATCAATGGGGTCCACATGTTATGTCGTCACTGTAACTTCAGCAATTTGACCCAGTCAAATGAACTATTTACATCACTGCGTGAAGTCGAAATTTCTAAAGTTACCTGGTGACCTAATTGAAGTCATAATTTCTAAAGTTACCTAGTGACCTAATTGAAGTCATAATTTCTAAAGTTACCTAGTGACCTAATTGAAGTCATAATTTCTGAAGTTACCTAGTGACCTAATTGAAGTCATAATTTCTAAAGTTACCCAGTGACCTAGTTGCAAGTAATGTACTCAAAACAATCAGATAATTTCTAAAGTAAATAATATCTGCTTACTTGAAATTCATAGCATCTGATAAGCTGTGGGTTTCTGCAAAATCGTCTCAGTTTTTTAAGGAGCTGAGTGGGGGTTCTGTACAGATGTTCAGCTTTGGCGCAAAAAGAAAACGATCAAGAATGCATTTAATACTGAAATCAGATTTGATTAACTAAACAAAATTTAAACCAGGAACAAATAAAAGAAGCTTTGAGTTCAAACGAAGTGATAGCCCAGCTGAAAGAAATCAGTGATCAGAGAAGGTATTGTACACAAAGTGTCACAAAATGTCTACCAAGCCCTGTCACTTGACATCGCCCGAACACAAAATGAGCATGGACTCCTTACCGAAAAGGTAAACAACATGAGTATAGAGGTCAAGGCAATAGAACATGCAATGGAGGAACAGGAACAGTATTCTCGAAGAAAGTGCCTCAGGTTTTATGGCATACCCGAGGAAAGCTACAAGGACACTGATGCTGTCATCATCAGAACAGTGAAAAAACATCTTGACATCACACTACAGCTTAGAAATGTTGCTTGCAGTCACAGGATTACCTTCAAAGCAAAACCGGATCAACAAAGGCAACACGCCACTTCGAAGGCCATTATTGCTCATTTAACCACTCCTGGATTTACTGGTGTGCTAATTAATTCATAAGCAACAAAACTTTCTATAAAAGAGTAAATCAATGCTCTAAACTAATTAAAAAACTTAGAAAACAAAACAAAAAGGATGACAGTCTTGAAAATGTTATACAACAGTCCATTCATACGCATACTGAGTACAGGTGTAGTCATCTTCTTTTCTGCGTTTCCTGAACTGTGTTTATATGGTGACTGTAGACATGTTATGGTCACGTGGATAAATCTCCAGACTGTGAGCATGAAGTGCAGGATTCGATTCCCTGTTGCAGCACTAATGTCCTTTGGCACAACATTAATCTATACTTGCCACACTCTACATAGGTAAGGTAAATGAATACCTTGCAGGAGTAAATTCCGTTAAATGCTGGAGCGCTGTAATGGCAGCCATGCTAATTAAATCAAGGGTAAAAATAGCCCAATGGAGTGCCAGGAGTGGCAATTATGTGCCAGACACAAGCCCTATAAAACACTCCGCTTTTATTACTATTATTACTGTTTTAAAAAATGACTAGATGGGCCAAGGTTGAGGTTACTGATCGGGTAAATTTCTTGATAGGCCATTCGCTAACGATTCCTTCATTGAGTCACTTCCTTTCGTCAGTGGCCAAATAAATAAATTTTTCATTCATTGGGTAAACAAATGGATGAAAGAAATATGTTTTACGAGACACATTGCACAGGATCGCAAAACAAGAAGATATTGTACAGTAGGCTTGCGGGTGTACCATGTGAGAGAGGGAGAGAATTGAGGAGTCCTGAAAAGGACTCTAACTCAGTAATCTTTCTTGGGGGTGTGTAGTCCTGAAAAGGACTGTTTGTTATCTTTCTTAGCTTATAGTTCTAAGGAGAACTATAGCGCTTGGAGAGGATAAGTGGCTCGACGTTTCGAACAGATTGATTATCCGTCGTCAGGAGTTGGTAGAATATTTTAGCCGCAACTGTACATGTAAGTCCAGTTTCAAAAATATGAGTCAAAGACTCTGGAACTGAGGCATCATTTAATCAGTTGTACGTTTCTTTAAAAATAGTCACTAAATCAACCCTGGCCCAAACTCGTACCCTAACTCTAACCCTATCTGATGCACAAGGGGCTGTATGCAAAACATGGTATGCAAATTAGCTACCTTAGCTACATCATTTAGTGGCTACTTTTAGAAACAGACCTCTAATGGCCTAATTATTGAAGAAAAAACATTACAAATTATGGAAACCATGTGAATTCTGGAATTTTCATTAGTGACATCAGTGATCACTTGCCAATATTTACCATTTTGACTTCATTCTATATTCAGGAAAATCTTTTACAACCATCTACTTTTCACAAACGTTATATAAATGAGTGTAACTTGCATTTATTTTCTTCAAGATTAAGTGAATTACCATGGAATATTTATCATCATGACGATGTTAATCAGACATATAATTTTATTGCGATATTTATGAAAGTGTATAACGAGTTATTCCCTAATAATTCTGTTCGGAAGAGAACTTGTGATAACAAACAGTGGATCGCTCAAGATTTACTTAAATTATGTCGTAAAATATCGAAGTTATATAAAAAATACCTTATAAAACCTTCAAATTCACATGAAAAAAATATAAACAATATCGTAATTTTGTAACATCTAAACTATGGCAAGCTAAGAGAGAATTTTATGATAAAAAGTTCACTGAAAGCTTTGAAACGAGTGCAGGAGATGACTTAACTAATATCAAAGTTATCAAACATGTGATATTTTTAATCGGTGAACCATTACGTACATTTTTCAAAGTCTTTCAAGTGGAACAGTACCAAATGATATGTAAGCTGCAAGAATAACTCCAATTCATAAGTAAGATAGAACTGATCATATGTATAAGGGTTATTTAAGCAGAACAAAAAGAAATTTTCATTTATTATGTAGAATGTAAAACTCAAGTTTTAACTTCCTTCTTCTTGTCTTCTCTTTCCCCTTATTTTCTTTAACTGTCTGTCAAAATGCGCAAGCTATAAAGGCTAGTGAACCGCAATCAGGTATTTAGGAAAAGGAATGCGATACGTTTGCGCCACGTAGGCAGAGCGCTATATAAGTCTGTGTAGAGTAAGGACTGAGTGAGAGGAGTGAGCTAGTACATAGGGCGTGGTCTGAGCTTGGTGAAAGAGTGTCAGGCTAATGGATATTTGGGCTTAGAATTCATCTTAATATCCTTTATAAGCCACAAGGGACAACCAAGCGTCTACAGGACCACGCCATGCCGCTCTGGAGTCTTTGGACCATGTACAGAGGAGATAGACATAAGTTTAAACATCTGTTTGTTCTTTACTATATTTATTTCAGTATAAATGTCTATGTGTGTTGACGAAGTTTTGACTAAAGTAATCATTTTGAAGTTCTTAGAGTTTGAAGAAGAGAAGGTTAAAATAAATCAATAAATCGATAGTTTACCTTATTTTACCATAGATGCAAGGTACATTCATATCTCATGAATTTAAATATTGAAAGGGATCATTGAATATGTTGTGTAACTATAAATGCGTACGCATCAGTAAAATAAGTGTTAAGTACCACATATTATTGTTATGTAATTAGAGAGCCGCAAGCTGAGGCTTATTTATGTTGAAGACAAATTTTAAATGGAATGACTATCGGAAGATTTGGGAACAAGGCAATGGTTATGAAGACATTTATCTACTCTTATGTGTATTTGTAATCTCTATTATGGCTTAGGTTTTCTAGATTTAAAGTTGGGTAACAGAAAGAGTAAATCTTTTTTTACTGTCGTACCTTTGGGCTTTGCCCTTGACACCAGGCAGCTATTTACCCAAACTGGATTTTCGCTAGCCGGGGTAGCATTTGACGGCTGGACTAGAAGGTCACATGAAGGTCACTCAGCATCTCGGCAAGCTAACTCGACAGTACCAAGGCACGGTGGACATCGATGTCATGTGAGACTTCAGTTATAACATTAACCAGCAGGCCATATTCAGTTCATGTGAATATTCACGACGCTTCATCTCAACTGAACTGTTCAATTATTTTCCTTTATGTATCAGAATCCTTCGATCTAGTTCATTCCTGACTATATTACTATAATTAATCTGCATAAATAAATAAAGAGGTTTAGTATTTGTTAATTTTATAATCATACACAATTTGTGCAGATGCTGTTATTTTGCGTGTATGTGTTTAGTGGAGACTGGTGGTGACACTTTCTTTACCTTATTTTATCCTTATCTTTCCTCTGTCTTCTGTCCTCTAGCTGTTGTTGAGAATGCATGTACGATGTGTTTTTTTAGAAAAAAAATAAGTTTGCATGTTGATTATGCTATGTATTTATTTAGGGATCATTCTCATCAAGCCAATTTTGCCTTTCATGATTCCCACTTCCATTTATCTTATGTTGATAACGAACAAATATGTACATACTTTTGATGTTTTGTATTAAAAGAGAGTGAAATAAATGAAATGAAGTGAAGAATGTAATGCCTAGCTGAAGACTGTGCTTACCTGGAAAGATCTCTGGGTAAACAAGACGTTCCGGGCAGAGAGGATAGCACTGATAATGAGTCGCTTCTAACCTATCAAATAAGACCAAGTAATAATTGTGTGATTGCCAATGTTGCCACTTCAAACTATGCCTCAAAAGTTAACTTTTTCAGAAAAAATGTGGAAATGATGACTCAATGATGGGGGGAGCCTGTGCATTTGAATGTTTTTTTAAACAGAAATATGTAACTATGTGAAAACTGCAAATCATCAGCATCATATTACTCCATTATAAACTGATTATGAATAATATAGTCTTCAAATGGCAATTCAACTTGTGTATCACTTTATTATAGTGTAAAATAACATGGAAACTGATTGGTGAACGTTTGAAGCAAAATAGAGAGTCCAGTCAGGGAGCGACAAGGGGGGGGGGGGGGGGTAAGCGGGTCCTTAAGTGTTCAAGCTAGAGAACTAATTACTTATTAAATAAAATAAAAGGTGTAATGATCATGAATGAGGATACATATGGTATGTACATTTGACAGAATCCTGTGCCAGAAGATATGTGTACCTACATAGCGACTCCAAAGAATTCATGATTTGCCGTGGATACTACGACATCAGCCTCCGAAAGTACCTGGTAGTAGCGCTCCTTACTTGGTACAAAGCCCCAGTTGACAATGTGATCTTTCAGTTTAAACTCTGCTTCTTCAAAGATAGCTGCATATAAAAAAAAACATTAGACATTGTTGAAGGTCTCTGTTCTCTCTTGGCACTTCATAGAGAGCTCCAGTATTGAGATACATCTATATACTGCTTTTAGGGAGAATGGTTAAAGCAAGATTTCGGGAAAAACTAGTACACAACTATAACAGTGTCGTCAAGTGTCGTCAAGTGTCGTCAAGTAACAGAGTTGGTTGACTATTCAATATATGAAAATCTTGATTATAATAAACCGCCTAGGATTCAAATTATCAATGAAAAAATACATTACAACTTTATTTTTCACGACTCCAATTTCGACCAAATCAGATGGCTGGATTTCTAAAGTGAGGTATATAATATCTACTGTATTGTGCCTCAAACTCACATGGGATTTGCAAATAGTTTTCACCCAGCACTGAGAGACGGAAGTTGCAGTCTTGATCACGCAGCTGAAACAAGGTGGAGAAGAACTGCTCTGGATTCTTGTCGTGCTCCCTAAACATGTGAGGTGAGGAAGAAACAAAGAGTTGATGGAGAAGCAAACCCTTAAAGGACAATCTAACCTTTGTAATCATTTCATTTGTATGAAAACATAGAAATTAGAGAACCAAATGGCAAAGGTTCTGAATAAATTGGAACAATTATAAGAAAGCTATGACTGCTTTAAATATGACATCACTACATCTACCGGTATGCAAATTTCGAACTGGCAATTTGGTCGGTGAATTCTGACGTATTCAGGGACAACTCTCCCGTTCGTCATGTAGAAAAAATACCATTCATTTCTGTTTTTCTTGTCCCTTGGGTAATACTCAAAATAAATTATGGATAGTTTGTTGTTGCAGGTTTTCTTTAAAAAAAGGATGATCCTCCCAATAACCTGAGCCATACATTTTAGTTAGATTTTAGTATTTTTTGGTGTTGACGGGCCAGGCTAGACTGGGACTTTTGTTAGAGGGCTACAGCATTACGTTGTGAGTTTGTGACCAATGATACTCAGTCTTACCATCTATGGGGCCAAAGAATATGCAGTGGTCTAGTACGGCTTCCAATGTCTTTTCCATCCTTGTCTCCGCAATCATCAGCTCGTCTGTGACATGTGCTACCATGGCAACAGCTACCTCCATCCCCCTGAGGATTAACTAAACTTGGGGTTACTTTTGCTATCCTTTGACAAACACTGGCATTTTGTTCCACAAATGTCCTTGAAAGCGGTAATGTATCACTGATAATACTTTTATTACCATGTTCCTCCTCTACAAAATTAGCAGGATCTTCAGTATTCATTTTGTGTACTCTTGACGCAAGTTCCATTTCCTTTGAATCCTGTGATGATCTTCCTCCTTCTGAAACTTCCACAGAGTGTAGAGATGAAACACGATTGTCCTGCTGGTCATTCAGTGAAATCCCTTCTACTTTAGTCACCAATCTTTCATTTAATTCCCTGTCCTCTATATGACTACTTTCTGCTGAGATTATCCTGGGTCCTGACTGAACCGAGCTATGCCTATCTTCTACAAAAGTTGCGTTGTCTGCTGAGCTTGACAGGCCGACGTGGCCCTGACAGTAGTGATCTGGTGACTTTGTGCTCCGGGCAGGGGTGTGACCTGCAGAATATCTCTGGTGGGCATTATGGCTAGGGGTCATCTCAGAGGATTGCCCTAAGGGAGCAGTCCTGTCAGGTTCAGGTGAAGCATTGTGCAGAGTGGGAGGGAAATCAATGGGAAAGTACAAGACTTGGCACTTTGGACGAATCCTCTCTGCAAGGTTTTTTGGTCGATTTGGCATGAGTTTCAAGAAGGATTCAATGGATTTCAGGAAACTCTCTTGGTTGTAACTCGAATTGAACACAACAGCATCGGCAACTAAGCTGTCATTTAAAGAAAAGAACGAAAATAAGTGAATATTACTACACTTCTGCAATTAATATCATTATCGTTATCATTACAAATAATAATTATTCAATATTATTATTATTATTATTGTTGTTATCATCATCATCATCATCATCACCATCACCATCACCATCATCATCACCATCATCATCACCATCATCATCATCACCATCACCATCATCATCACCATCATCATCACCATCATTACCATCATCGTCATCCTCATCATCCTCATCCTCCTCATCATCATCATCACCATCACCGCCATCATCATCATCATCATCATCACCACCACCACCACCAACACCACCACCACCACCACCACTTACCCTACCACCCCCACCCCCACCACCACCACCACCATCATCATCATCATCATCATCAACATCATTATTACATCATTACCATGATAGGATTTGGTTATAGCCGTACTGGAAGTCCCTCTCCTGTTGCTTCTGGACTGGGTATACTAGCTGGTTCTCATGGAAGTACAGGACCTTTCTGAAACCAGCCAGATCAGGTCTCAGGGCCACAAGCTCTGCAAGGTTCAGGACAGAGCTAGCAAACAAAACACTAGGTACAAAGAAGAGAAAGACAAAATTGTTATTTTTAGAAACAGGTGCATTGAAACTAACATGCCATTGAAGCTCACTTAAAAATGCAGTGCAGCTGTATTGGCACTGCAGGCTCATTGTTATTCATATTAAAGATGCATACACACAATGCAAGTGTGTGCAAGGGTCTTCTGTTCTCTACACAGTTTGATGCACATGTAATAAGCACATGAATAATGAGTCGTTAATTACTACCAAAGCGACCACACATGCTTCTGCAGGCTCCATTTTGTTATCTCTTTAGCCCAATAGTTATTAGTTTCAAACCCACAACAACAAAAACCAGTGATAGTGCAATAAGTATTTCTTTTTTTCAACTTGGAAGATAATAGTGATTTGAAACTTAGAAGGCCTTTGTCTCCTCTTTTAAAGCCCCACTGTACTGCTCCCTCTATATAGCAAACAATGTCTAATCGCTGACCATTGGTCCCCCATGGTCCTCTTTTTCTTATGTTAACTGAGAGCTGATTTGATGAGATAACCACCTGTCCAGTGACCTTGCAAACAGGACACTGAATATTAATTGATGAAAGAAATATGTAACTAACCAATGATGGTGATGTTAATTATGATTATAAACTTTTTCCTTTTTTTCAGTGAGATTAGGATTGTCAATAAATTTCAATACAATTCACATATATAAATCCCCCCCCCCCCCCCAACCAGAGAGTCATGGATCCACCAATGAGAGTATGTAGAGGTGTTGTGGTCGAGTGGATATGTCACAGGACTGTGGATCACAAGGTCCGCGGTTCAAGTCCTGCCGCGGCACTAATATCCTTTGGCAAGACGTTGATCTACATTTACCACCATGAGTAAATCTACAATGAGATGAAATCAATACGTACCTGAAGCTGTGATCATAGGGTATTTGGCAGGAGAAGTAGAGGGCGGAAGTCCTGGCTCTCCAATGCCACTTAGAAGCAGGCAAGGTGAACAGGGTGCATTCTGGTATACTCTTGTGTAGGAGATCAATGAGCTGGCGATGAGAGCCACCATAGAATGGTTCCAAGAGCAATACTCCTCGACAAGCAGGTCCTTCTGATACCTCTGACATACCTGTTCAAATTAAATATGACCTTTCAAATGGGAATACTGATAACGACAAAGAGAAAAACAAAGATCAGAAAATATTAGAGATGGTGTAAATAATAATCACCTCCAATATATCTTCAAAAATACATGTTCAACTACAAGATTATTTGAAAAATATGCCCATGATTTGGTATTGGCCTCCCCAAATCCCTTTTGCCAGAAATACTCCTTTTTCCCCCAAGAACTGGAAGCGCGTAGAACGCTCTTGACCATGCAGCAGTCTGTCTCATCCCCAACTGTTTAAAATAAAGCACTATCAAGATAACAACTTAATCATGAAAATTGTCTGCAATGAGCTGTCATTTATCGGTCCATCTCATCATCCAATAGTTGTCCTCTGCCTCCTCAATATTGTTAACTTCATTTTCTTTTATGCTCGATCTACATTTGAAATCAAAAGAAGTTTGGTTGCTCTGCATCTGCACAATAATGTAGTTTCGACATCTGCAGTGTACTGCGCTTCATTTCAGAATCCGATTCCGAAGTGTATAGAGCTATAAAAAGACTGCGGATATCGAAAGACTTCCGAATTCTGAGTTTGACCCAACCAACTATGGGATTCCGGGAAAAGTCCAGCACTTAAGTCGGTTAGTGGGACAACGTATACAGACGATAAAGCTGGTGTAGTGGCTACGCCACCTTTAAAACAATAAAACTGTAAATTGATCATTAAAGAGAGATCTAAAAATTGATAAATTTACGTTTTTCTCTATTCTGAAAACATGTGACGATTAATTTACTGGATCAATTAAGTTGTTTACAAATTCTTACCGTCGATATAATATTTCTCTCTTCAGTACTTTTCTTGAGCAGCAGCCGATAAAATAATTCCTGACACTAGACGGCGCTATAACAAAGACACCGCACAAAAAATGAAGATATGTTTATATTGTAAAAATTGTTTGTTTTTGTATAATTTGTTGTATCCGAAAATATTATTATGAAGTATTACCTTCACCTTTTGCTGTTTAATATTTTCTCCCAAATTGCAGAATTATATCGCAATGTGTATACTTGATTGAATATGTACTAGTTTGGAAATATTGGTAATATGTCTGTGTTTATGTATGAGACAATGTACTATGTTTACGCTGTAAGAACAGTTATGTTCCTCTATATCATTTTGTATAATTATGAAAATCTAAATAATAAGCAAATATTAATCGACTACGAGGGTATTTGGTGCAAACTATCATCGCCGAGGTGATCTCGGGGCTACTATCATCCCGAGCCGCAAGGCGAGGGATGATGGTAGCCCCGAGATTACCGAGGCGACTATAATTTGTATCCATTGCCCGAGTAAAGGAGGTTAATATTTGTTTTATATCCCACATCGGCAATAAGGTCTATTTAAAGTGAATTTTACATAATAATATGAACTGATTCTGCAGACAGTTTAGATTCAGCTAGATTTTACAAAGCGCAACATGCATACATGTAATACTGTCGATGCGCGCTCATTTGACATTGACATTGACTTTGACATCATGGGCATGGGTGGGCAAGTGGGGTAGCAGCAAAAAATTACTTTACAAAAGTACTATCTCAGGTAGATAGTACTTATCCAGGGCTTGGATTAATCCAAGGCCACCAAGGCCATGGCCGTGGATGCCCCTTTGATTCGCCTCAATGCCCCTCTCACTGGCCTTGGAGATTTGTTGTGCCCTTTCCAATTCTTCCTATTTGTTCTGTAATATAGGAATGTGCCCTACAGAAAAGTGGCCTTGCCCTAAAAATATTGAAATTTAAGGCCTGCTTATCTATATTTTATCATGTGACCTCGTTTATACCAATCAGATTGCAAGATTCTTAGTATGCGGGATATAAAGACAAAATAGTTGTGTTTTTGTAAAGATCTAAAAGCATTACAGGATCTCTAAATGCATGAATTCGAGATTTTCTGATTTGATCCGCGGCCTAAACCAAAAACAATGACTAGTAACTTGAGGAATTCATGAATTGGCAGCCGTCTGAGAAAAGTTTAACTGGGGATCATATTGATTCCATCATCAGGGGCGACGATTGAGGATGCCCCGCCCACCCCCTGTTTAAATTTTATTTTCCTTTTCCCTATTAATTTTTGTTGATTAATATCTTCGTTTGTCTTAGTCAATATTATCAAATAAGCATTTTATTTGACTTGTATCACCACTATATTCCTCAGTTTTCTTGCCAGGAGATCGAAAGGAAACTGAAAACTGCTTGGGATTAAAACGGATTCGCTCGCCGCTGCAAATACCGTCATTTCTAATATTGCTCCTCGATTGTGGAATTCCCTCCCATCATCTTTTAGCGAAGTTGACAAGCTAGACCACTTCAAAGCTTCACTCAAAACTCACATCTTCCTTCAGACATTTAAATGTTAATTTTATTGGAGGAGCTCGCGCCTTTGAATGTTTTCTGAAACAGATATATGGCGCCATACAAATGCTGTTCATCATCATCATCATATCAGATGTAAACCTACTTGGTTTTTTAATTTTTTAGGACGGCTGTAAATTTTCCCGTTTTATTACCTCTATGGCCATTTTTGTGATGGAAACAAAAACAGCAACAATTTTTTTCACTTCGATATGGCAAGTGATGTCGCAAAATGTCTCTTAACCTGCAGTGAGACAATGTGCCAGTAAATCAAAGGACACTTGAGAGAAAAATAATGAGTTGAGAGAAAGTACAGAAGAAAAAGAAAAATACAGTGTGTACAATAATGGGATACACTGAGAAAAATGGACGATTACCGGCAAAGAATTACATCACACAACTGTCTAAAGAGAAGGGAAAAATACGGGGTTGAAATTGTATACCGCTTAAATTCATAGAGAGACGAAAAATGTTTGACCTATGATATAAGAAAACAGAAAATCATTTCCAAAAAAAAATGATCAAAGAGAGAAAATAAAAGATGAGAAAAGAAATTAATGGCAAAATCTATTAAGTGGAAAAATGAAAACCACAAAGAGAAGACGATGTAAAATCATTTTTTATCTCAGGAAACAATAGGCCTACATACAGGGAAATTGACGGGAGAAGCATACATACATGCAGAGACCTAAATAAAAAGTGAGAAAATAAAAATTATAGTGGGAGAAATATAAGAAGTCAAAATAAGTTTTACAAAGTGATATGTAATGAAGGATAGAAAGAGCTATGATGATAGGTTGGACATTGAAATACCTCAAGAAAGGTAAGAAAGAGTAGACATAGAATTTTTAAAAAATGGGCACAAAGGGAAAAACAACCAAACAAACAAGTAAACAAGTAAAAGTACAAAATTAAAAAGCAACTAAAGTCTTATAAACCTACAATTCAATTTAGTGATGATTCAGTTAGGTTATAATGCCTATTTCCAGTTCAAATCCATCGTATACTTTTTTTTAATTGTTGCAATTTTAATTTATACACAAGTGCTGTAGATTTCCCTTTGAAATTCATGATTCTGACCCCCTGTATCAAAGGCTTGATCAGACATCGTTTCCCATATTGTTCTGGTCCAAGAACTCATGTTGGCTACAGCGAACTTTCTAAAGCTGGTTTTCTGAAGTCGACCAAAGATCAAAATAACTCGTATTGCATCACGTGCATAAAATATATCATACTAGGTCGAATCATTATATTCGATCCAACTTCGATCTTGTTACTGACGTACATGATTATAATACAAGAAATAGACGATTCAACTTTAACTTATCAGAAAGAGTAGGTAGTATTGGAAATTCGTTTTATTACAATGCCATAAAACATTGGAATTCCCTTCCCAATGGTGTAAAATAAATAGGAAACTATGATCATTTTAAGAGGAAATTAAAGGAATACCTACTTGACAGTCAGAGAAGAGAAGTGAATGACATGTTTTATGATTGAAATTTTTATTCTTCTGTCGGTTCATACTTTTTCATGTTGTATATACTTAAGTTTTCGTACGTTATAGAAATTCTACAAATTCATCATTATTTTACTCTTCTTCTTTCTCCTCTTTTTCTTCTTCTCCTTCTTCTTTTTCTTCTTGTACTTAATATCATTTCTATCAGTTTAATGTTGTTATTATTATTATCTTTAATAAGTAGTTCTTTTTAATTTCCTTATCTGTCTGTAAATATTACTATTTTAACTTATTAATTTTATACATGTCTGTCAGGGACCCCACTGGAAATAAGCTCTCGAGCTTTCGTGGGTTATCCTGTTCAAGCTGACTTATTTTTGATCTGTTATTATTGCATATTGTTGTATGTTGGAAGCTTGTCGAATAAAAATCAATCAGTCAATCATTCATACTTTGTTTCCATGCGTGGTATAATATAGAGCAAAATGAGCATTCAGTGCAACAACCCTTCATAATGTATGAATTAAGATTCAGAATAAATGTAACTACATGTAGGTACTTCTTTTCTATATAACATCTTTAAATATCTTGGTCATTTAAAGCTTATCTGCCGTAGTTTACAGGAGGGATTAGAGCACCCTGCAAGGTCACTGGACAGGTGGTTATCTCATCAACTCAGCTCTCAGTTAACATAAGAAAAAGAGGATCATGGGGGACTAATGGTCACCGATTAGGCATTGTTTGTTATAAAGAGGGCGCAAGTAGCTACAAGTAGTGCAGTGGGCCTTTAATGTCTAAAGCTGTTTAAAATTATTTGCCTATACTATAGTTATATTTATTTCCAGTTCTTACTCATACATCAAACCCAGGTTGGAGATGTTTATTTTGCTCTATACTGTACATTGCATTAAAACCAACCCCGAGTCTACGTACGAATAGACAGAAAGACATTAGCAAATAAAAAAATGCAAAGGTATAAGATGAAATACAAATACAACATATTAGGTAATAATTATGAACAAAGAAGAGGCAAGAAAGGAAAAGATTTTTGAAAATACATATAGCAGAAGGAGGAAAAAACAAAATGGGAGAAGAAAACGTATATTAAACAATACATTTTTTTTAAAGATTGTCAGTAATTAATCGCGATAAACAAGGAGAAAAAAGGGAATACAAGGTTTTGACACAGCCTCAAGATTAATTACATCTGTGACGGCTGGCGACACTGCATTCGACAGGGACACGAGATTGACATTTCATGAGACCAATACATGAATAGTCCAAGTGACCGAAAATGTAGTCACTTTCCAAAAATAATAATAATAATAATATCTAATTTTTATATAGCGCTTAATACAAATGTCTCTAAGCGCTTTACAAAATATAACCCCGGTCATTGGATTCAGTGCTTGCCCGCACACACTGTGTGCACAATCTCCACTCCCTGGGGAGCATTCCAGCCGGGCGTTACTTGACGCTCACAAGCTGTTTGACCAACAATGACGGTCGCATCCTACCGGGTACCCATTTAACACCTGGGTGGAGAGTAGCAAGTGCAGGTTAATATCTTGCCAAAGGATATTAGTGCCGTGTCGGGATTCGAACCCTCGACCTTCGCATCTCCAGTCAAGCGTCTTAAACCACTCGATCACGACACTCCCAAAGGGTTCAATGATCTGAGAGCTGGACGGCAGAAGACGTTCCATTTTCTTACTTCCCTGACCTGTTTCTTTGATTCGTCGGCCTCGTTGCCATCGATTTCGTGCCCTCTTGGAACTGTTATTTTAATAATATTTTCTTGTCGGTCTCATGTGCCGTCGGCCGAATATTCCTCTTTTTTCTTTTTTAAATAAAAATGCATTTCTTTGTTTTCAGTCTATTTTAATAACGCCTAACCCCCTATAGCCGAAATGGTCACAATAAATTTAAATTGTTTTGAATATAATGCAATAATGGATGATGATGTGCAAAGGAAATATGTTTGAGATATGAAAAACAAAAAGAATGTTTCAAGATGCAAAAATGTGGCTTTACTTTAGAATATCCCACCATAAGGGTTATGTATTAATGAACGGCCAACACCTATACGGCGTCACATCCATGTAAGTTAGGGTTAGGGTTAGATTTATAGCATGGGTGACGATCCCGGGGGGGGTGGGGGATATATCCCCCCCCCCCAATATTTCAGGTGTGGGGGGGGGGAGGTGGCCTGAACAATCATCCCCCCCAATAATTCACCATCACAAAAAAAATGAAGAGAAAAATTAATGATGAGAGCCCGATAAGAGTAGTTAATAGTTATTACTCGCAAGATGACCATCCATTATACACATTTTGCTATCTCATTTTCATAATACATGCATATATAAATAGAAAACGAAGTAAATGAAATAGGGCTTCATCAGGATGGATTTGTTCAATTTATTCAATCAACAGCGCTCATAGAAATGCGTTAAAAAGCAACGAGCTAAATGTTAAGCGCGAAGCGCAAAAAAGAAGTAGAGAGTGGGAGAAAGAGATAATGAGGGACTGAGAGGGTACAGGCGCGTAGCCAAAAAAAAAACGTCAGCCCACAAAAAAAAGAGAGAGAGAAAGAAAAAAGAAAGGAAGAGGATGTAGGAAGAAAAAGGATTTAGAGTCGAGAACGGTACAACGAATCGTTTTCTTTCTCTAATAATTTAATGAAACGTCAAAGCTTCCGCGCTACGCGCGGAGGAAGGGGAGCTTGATTCAAACAAAGAATAAGAGTCGAGAATGGTACAACGAATCGTCATCTTTCTCTAATAATATAATGAAACGTCAAAGCTTCCGCGCTTCGCGCGAGAGGGGGGGGGGGACTGAATTCAGACAAGGATTAAGAGTCGAGAATGGTACAACGAATCGTTTTCTTGCTCTAATAATTTAATGAAACGTCAAAGCTTTCGCGCTTTGCGCAGGGGAGGGGGGGGGGGGGGGGGACGTGCCCACTACCGCCCCCTAAAATAAAATCCTGGCTACGCGCTTGAGAGGATAATAACCCAGGTAGCAAGCCCATGTGGGACCTACATGGGTCCCATATTCTCTGAAATGTTATTTTTATTGAGGGTGACTTGAAAAGTTAATAACTTGGAAGGGAGGGGTGCAACCTGCCACACGCTTCTACCTCTTGGTTGCTTTGATCCATTGCCGAAAATATTTTGGCACCTATCATCCCCCCCCCCCCCCCCCCCCCCCAACCACGGATACAAATCGACACCCCTGATTTATAGGGTTAGATTTAGGGTCAGGAATTTAGGATTAAGGTTAGTACGGTTACCTAAGAAACTTAAGTCTTTAGAAATATAAGCTTCATTGGTGAAGCATTGGTTATCAAAGTATCAAACCAATGGACGTCTGGTCAACCTTTATGGTGGGGTATAATTTATTTAGTTTTTTTTCTTCAAAGAAAAGAAGAGACAAAAAAAATTGAAGGCGCCATCTAACGACGGCTTATGGATATCAATTATCATTGTTACGGTGTTTCGAGGGACGCAGAAAGAAATTACTGACGTTGGAATGCATTATCTACCTCTGTTTCACAACCTTTTCTTCGTTTCGTGAGTCTGGGTAAGTTGTTCTGACATTAATTAATGTTCATGAGTATCGATCTGGAATGTTTCTCGTATTTTTGTTGTTGAACGATTCAATATATTTGAAATAAAAGATACGATCATCAGATTCAGCAAAATAGGACGGGGAAGAGCGGCCACAACCATACGGTACGGTAACCCCAGGGCCAGCGAGCGGCGTCGACGTCGGAGCTGCAGAGCCCGCATAGGAAAACGATTCAAACAGCGGGTTGGGTCACAATTTTTCGAAATGTCAAGAGGTAGATCTAGTAGATCTAATCATAATTTGACTTGCAATATTTTTCGACTCCTCTGGGCATCCGTCCAATCACTTGAAATTATAATTTAAAGAAGTCTTCGATGGGAAAAAGGGTGATTCCTCGACCTCGTCCTAACCTGATCGTTTTGATGATTCATCCATATCGTTGTATTGCGGTGCGCATTGTGACCATAGTTTTCGTGTGACCTGAGTTCGCCAACCCCAAAAATTGGTAAGATTTCAAAAATCTGATATGACCGATGGAAAGAGGAACATAAAATTACTTATAGATCTACATCAAGAACAGTGCCATGTGGAAGTTGGAATAAAATCAGGCTTTTCTTATGCCAGTATCCTCTCACTTGCACATTTTGATTTGCTCATCGCCATTTAGCAACTTCTGCCTCAGGTTTCATGAATTTTCATGAATTCTTACTAAATGTCATTAGGCCATTAAAAAAAATAAACATAAGTGTCCCAGCCCGCTTCCTTTTTTCGGGCCGCCTCCTATTTTTATATATTTTTTTTTCTTCAATTAATTAAAACTTGAAAAAGATACTGCTAAAATGATCTAGATCTAGTCTAGATCTACATGTATTTCTGATTTTAAAAAAATAAATAAATACCGGCGGCCATCTTGAAAAATAGCCTGACTGTCAGGAAAAATGTAACCTCCCGTTACGTTGAGCGTGTTAGCCATTCCTCTGATTGGTCTAGCCTTAAGGGCTCTCTCGAAATGTTTTTTTAATGATATTATTCGAGAGAGCCTTAAACGGCTCCCATACCCCTGCACGGAGAGGCATGTAAACAAAACTCAAAAGTGGTCCAAAATCACACTTTCGCGCACCCGACCAATATTGGACAGTGGCTTTGATAAATTTTGTCGTAGTTTTGGTCTTAATTAGCGCTTTAATTTCAAAATCGGATCTGAAAATAACAAAATAAGAGCAATTTTCTTACCAGACCGATACAGCTCAGCTCCCTTTTCACGTGTACCGTGTGAATTCACGATGTCTACACAATGGTGATGACCTCTGACTAGCACTTCGTAAATTGTGCTGCTTCCGTATAATGCGCTGTATGAGTGTTATTCAGCGCATTATACGGAAGCAGCACATTTACGAAGTGCTAGTCAGAGGTCATCACCATTGTGTAGACATCGTGAATTCACACGGTACACGTGAAAAGGGAGCTGAGCTGTATCGGTCTGGTAAGAAAATTGCTCTTATTTTGTTATTTTTAGATCCGATTTTGAAATTAAAGCGCTAATTAAGACCAAAACTACGACAAAATTTATCAAAGCCACTGTCCAATATTGGTCGGGTGCGCGAAAGTGTGATTTTGGACCACTTTTGAGTTTTGTTTACATGCCTCTCCGTGCAGGGGTATGGGAGCCGTTTAAGGCTCTCTCGAATAATATCATTAAAAAAACATTTCGAGAGAGCCCTTAAGGCTAGATTGGTCCGTTAAGGAAGGTCGTTGTACGTGTGGTGCGACAGCCGTGTTGCCATTTTCATGTTATATTTCCAATATACCAGTATGAGACAGCCGTGTTGCCATTTCCATGTTATATTTCCCATGTTATATTTCCCATATACCAGTATGAGACAGCCGTGTTGCCATTTCCATGTTATATTTCCCATATACCAGTATGAGACGGCCGTGTTGCCATTTTCATGTTATATTTTCCATATGAGACAGCCGTGTTGTCATTTTCATGTTATATTTCCAATATATCAGACTCGGAGTCTCGGCAATTTCATCTTGTGCTTGTTCATACATATTTTATTTCAACAGACTTTATTTAGTTGAATTTCATCGGTACATGCGATCTGGTACGGCATTACTCGCACCACACGTACAACGACCTTCCTTAACGGACCGATCAGAGGAATGGCTAACACGCTCAACGTAACGGGAAGTAAAATGTACCGAGCGGCCATTTTGAAGAAGAAAAAAAAAGGTCCTCCCTATTTTTTAAAAAGGCAGGACGCTAAACATGTTTTTTTTTAATTATTTGGCCTTACTTTATAGTAACATGTATGTTTTCATGCACATATTTACTATTTTAAACGGTTTGAATGAAATTAAGCTCTTGGTAATTCAGGATAAAATCTGATGGATTGTGACAAAGAATATTTTATAAGCAGAATTTGTGGCTTATCATGGTTTTTCATGAAATGGGTTGTCCACTTCGTGACACCTCCATTGGTGGCAGACAAAGATATGACTGCCATGGAGTTAGTTTCATAAAAACAACCACCTGGGTCGCTTTTATCGAAACCAACAAGAAGACTACTACTAGGTCGAGCGTACTCGCACTGATTTGACAAGCTCTTTCCATTCAGTTCTATTCTCCATGATCTTTGGGAGCTCCTGTCTTGGTAGACAGGTGTCTTTTTCTAACTGGTCAATGTAAGTCATTGCTGGGCGCCCTCTGGTGCGTTTGTCCCTTGAGGGCTCCCAGAAGAGCATTTGTGAAATGATTTCACTCTTGCTCCTCCAGCAGTGCCCACTGAAACGGAGGTGACGGTCTCTCAGTCTGGCTTAGATCGGTGTAATGTTCCTATACAGTTCAATATTGGTCATATGGTCACTACAGTTGACATTTAGTGCTGCTCTCAAGAGTCTTGTATACGACCATCCAGTTGTTTTGCCAGGCTACTCGTCAATGTTTAGGCTTCTGATCCATAGAGCAGTACAGTTACCACTGAAGCCCTAAAGAAACGGGCTTTCAGTTTTCTACCGAGGTTTGATTTCCAAATGGCTGTTAGCTTGTTCAAAGCCGTCCAGGCTTTCGCCTTTCGGATATTCAGGTCTTGTTTTGACTGATCAACCCAATGACAAGACAGTCCTAAATTTATCAGCCATCTACGGAGATGTCTCTGATCCTCCTATTCCTAAAAGGCTCAAACATATCACAAAGAGCTTACTATCTTTTGAAATTGATAAAATTAATAGCTATACCGGTAGTCACCATTCTACCGAGTTTAAAATAAAACTAATCTTTTGGAAAACTGCAATTATCTAAATGAATTACACTGTAGCATTAAAAAAAAGATTCAAAATTTGAGTAGATTATACCATAAACCTACTTGTAAAATACAATCAAGATTATTTAATTTCATGACCAGTAAATCAGTTTTGTTGTAAGATGGGAAACCCCAGATACTAAAATACACCCTTATATTATTCTTAGCAAAAATATGATGCTATGAAAGTTTTTTCCGATATTTTAGGCTTTAACAAAATATTAAAATAACAAAATTTCTACATTCCAGACAATTAAACACATATTATACCGGTATGTAAGCTACAACACATGTATTAAGTTTACACATTTGGAGATAAATTTATCTAAAAATAAATACGAGTCCCAAAAAAATAGAGAATACTCTTCTGACTATGGCTTGCCTGGCGTGGCAGACCATCCCTGCAAGGAGTTTACAATGTGGAAATAAAGATGTATACCGAGAGTCAGTGGAAAAGCCCTTAGATAAACATGGCATATTTTCATAAAATGTTCAAATTAAACAAAGGATAACTCCCTGTTTATTAAAAATTAAATGTGTAGAAAGAATACTGGTATGGAAACCAACCCTTCATAGCATCAGCTCCTGCTCTGTTGAATGTTCTACCTTTTCAAAATGATAAAGAATATTTTTAGGGTATTTTTTTTAGAAATCCCTGAAAACCCATCTTTCTTGCAGTACATGTAGTGTCACATTTTTCTGTATTACGATTATGTTTTCCAGTTCTATAATGATACAGTATAGCAGAGATGCTAGTCTTCAGGCTTTTGCCTGATTTCAGGCCCTGACAACTTTCTATTTCAGGCTTTTTCAGGCTTTATATTGCACAGTACATATGGGGCTGTAACATGTTCTGGCTTCTTCTCAGTACATGTGAGTAGAACTGACTGGCATCCCTGAGTATAGGGATTCAAATTGTTATTATCATGCACTACAAATTCAAAGTGACTCTTCTTATTAAGTAGCAAGAAGAAAGGAGAAAAGGGAGAGAAAGGGTGGGGGGGGGGGGTACTATCAAAGTACCCCCTCCCCCCCAAGAAGAATGAAAATTACACAATTTGTGTCTTCTTACTGACTGACTGAAACTCTTCAGGTTATTGCTTATTAATAAATACCTGTACATGAAAATGTGAAAACGTAATCAGCACTTGATTTTTGTAAAGTAGAATCTCCTATTGTGTATTGTAATTAATGGCTTTTTTACTGTACATGCTATTAAAGGCTAATGTACATAGCGACACAGTGTGAACCGGGAGCAGGGTTTCAAAATACACATTGCATGGTTGCCAAAGAGACACATGTAAACATTCTGGCATCCTGAGTGGTTAAAAGCTAGTCAAGGATGAGGTACAATTAGTGGCATGAACCCATATTGGCTGGTAAAAGCATTTGAAATTATTCATCCTTCAGAAAATATTAATTAGGTACAGCATCTTAATACATGTCTGTACATGTACATTGTACAGTACATGTATGTAATTGGGTTATAAATAAAATGTGTATAAAACTAAACATGTCTCCTTAATTTGTTTACCTTGTACATGAATCTTTCCTTTCTTTTCCTCTCATTGTCATTCTGTCCATCTCTTCCTTCTTTCTCTAGATCTCTCTCCCTCTCTTTGACTCTCTCTCTCCTCTCTCTCTCTTATTCTTTGTCTTTCTCTATATTTTGCCTTTTGTCTTTATTTCTCTCTCTTTCTCTCTCTGTCTTTATGTCTGTCTTTGCCCCCCCCCCTTCTCTCTCTCTAGAGCTCTCTCTATCTATCTATCTATCTATCTATCTCTCTCTTTCTTGTTGCCAACATAAAACCTTTACCTTTGATCTCTCTAGCTATCTCTGTTCTTGCAGAGCTATATTTCTTTCTCTCCCGCTCTGCAAACATACATGTACATGTACATGTACACTGTATATGATGCTTTGGATCAACAAACATATTTGTCATTATCATTTCAGTCGCAATTCTTCCTTTCTTTCCTTTAAAAAAATGATATATACATGTATATTTTTTTATTTATTATGCAAAATGTACATCATAAATGTGTACGTGATGTGTTTCCAAATAAAGTAATATGACTCCATGCAGTTTGGAGGATGTAATGTGCACTTTTGCCAAAGTCCAAATCTATCTTAAAGATATCCTGGAAACTTTCCATCATTTGTCACCCACAAAGCATAACATCATTACATTTATAGCATTACAAATGACCTTTACTATTTGTTCACTCAAGCTTGATACAAACTGCGCACTTGTGTACGTACGCTTGGCTCCGTGCCTGTTATTTGTGCCAGACATTAGATGGCCTACTATTATCTGCGAGTGAATATGTTTTATTGATTGCTTTGATGCCTCAGCAAACGAGCTGTGGAGGGATTGCGTAATTCTATAAATAGACCTAGGTGTAATATTGTGAATGCTCCAGATACAAATTTTTCCACTGCCTGGTAGTAAAACTGATATTTGTAAAACCAAAAACATGTACAATATTTTTCCGCTGCCTCATAATGTATCTTGGAAATTTAACAAAGCACGCAAAGCACTATTCAACATTAGAATCTTCTACAGAATACACATAAACAAGCAGTATTACAGAATAATTAATACAGCTTTACTTCTAAAGCTCAGGTATCGGACAGACGTGGCTTACAAACAAGAGGCGGTTTGAGTGTTGTTTTGCGTGAGGAGCAGGAGACAGAATTAATTTTTTGTTGAAGAAGAGGATGATCAGAGATTGTGAGAAATTTCGGCATTAATTGTAAGATGTTGGAAAAATGTTGGATTTCAAGAGCGAGAAGTATGTTGTTCATCTACATACATGTACATGTACCTGTACTTGTTCTGGAGACCAGTGGATTATATCAAGAATGGATTTGAAATGGTCTTGCGATTTTGCTCTAACAATTTATAATGCTACATTTTTTTAAATGTATGTTTGAGGGAGCATGTGCAACCCTTTCCAGTGTTAATGCATTTAACGCAGGTATGAAAGATAAGACTGCAATATACTGTAGATACATGTATGTAACATTGAATTTAGGCTTTGCATCTTTAGTTGTTCATGCCAGATGCTGACAGATTCAGGCTACCGTATGCTCAAGTTGAAATTTTGATACAAAGTATGTTTTAATTCGGTCTGTGTCTGGAGAGTAGAGAGTCAACACTAGATCAAAGATACATGTACCGGTATGTAACCCTTGCCAGTCCTTATGCGTACCGTTATTACAGGGTCTGAATGAGAAGGCTATGCACTGTATCTTTAGCTGCTCCTGACAGAGACAACAAAGTTAGGCCTTGCTCAAAATGAAATATACATGTTTTAATTATTAATGTTTGTGTGTGAGGACTAGATAAAAGACACTGGGTGGTACCAGCATCATGCAACTCTCACTTTGCCTTATTAATCATTTTATGCATCAACTGTTGCCTTGTACTTCTTTCCAATTTTTTTAAGCTTAACAAATTTAGAGAGTGAGCATCTCCCTTGCATTGTTTCCATACATGTACATACCTGTATGTACCTGTTTTTGATATGTATTTTTTTTCTTATTTTTTATGTTTTAATACTTTTCATCACATACCCGAAGTTGCACCTTATCAAATCATGTACATATGTACATGTAGGATTAATGGAAATGCTGACTGCTTGTAAATCTTCTAGCTACTTTTGCTTATTTCTTAAATCTGTTTTTTGTTGTTTCTCTGTCCATAGGTAACTACAGCTTTGTAATTGTTGGTTCCCCATGCCACTGAAAACGAGCTTCTGAAGTAGAACCTAGGATCAAGGGGTGAGAGAATTATGGCTAGAGGGGTCTGTATTGTTAGGCATCTGAAAGAACAGTAAACTGAAGTGCAAATATTGCCTTTTGGAAGTTCAGCACAGGTACAGTAAGATGTCTCAGTCTCTCATATCTTTAATAAAAGTTAACCGAAAAATATATAATGTATGGTGTTGTATATCTGTTCAATGCGCCAAAATGTTACGCTTTCTGCTTCTCTCTCAATGCTCACTTAACAGATTTGATTTCTATCTCTCCCTTCCTCCCTCCCTCTTTCTTTCTTTCTTTCTTTCTAATCTCTATACCCCTTCTCTCTCTCTCTCTCCTTATCTATTTGGGATATCCTTTGTGTAGTATATATTCTATCAATGTTTCAATTTGTAATCCTTTAGAACCTACGATAGATCGGTAAAGGAGTAAATGAACAAGTAAAATTCAGGTACACATCTGCCCCCAAGAGTTATGTTAAAATTGAACTTTTCTTATCTGAACATTTCTCTGTCTCTATCTCTCTCTCTCTCTCTCTCTCTCTCTATCTCTCTCCCTCCCTCTATCTCTCTCCTGATTGCTTGTTGTCTACAAAAGAGTTACTAATATGTAAATCTGATATTTACAATCGTCTCTTTTTTTCCTCATTTGAAATCACTTCCAGGATGGGTAGATCAGAAGAAGTGAGTGATCGATGAGAGAATGAATGAGGATGTGAAGATCACAGATCTGCCAGCGCTGACCCACTCCAAGCTACACATAGGACACAGCTTTGTGTGGACTCACCTCTTCCCTGAAACTGCACAGGTATGCTTCTCCATAAGCTGCATTTTCATTGAAAGCAAAGACTATTGTTTTTTCTGGCATTCCAGGAGTTTTTTGGATGTTGGTGGGCAACAAACCCATTTAAACACAACCAATTTGTTTTCTTTCTTTTTTTCTCTCAAATCCACTGCTGGAGCATTTTTTTTTGTTAATGCCGACCGAAACTCCACCGGTTTGTGCAGTGTAAACACTTGCGCTCAAGACACCGATGAATTCATCTAGTTTGTGGTCATGTGTCTCTCTGTGTTTCCATGCTAACGCATGGCACAACTCACTGAAACCCAGAATAGCAAACACCAACTGTTTTTATGGGTTTTTCTAGTAGTGTAAACAGTAGTATAAAAAAAAACAATGGTGGTGTTTCACATTGGTTTTCTGCAATGTAAATGGGCCTTACAGTTCGTGTAAAAAAGTGTGTATAAACAAAAGTGTACTGAACTTTGGTAGCTCCTGATTAATAAGTCATAACCAATATGACTTTGAAATTGATTTCATGATGAAGAGTAACTTATTTTCTGTCCAATGATAATCTAGTCATAATATCTCTGCCACGGATGAATGATCGTGCACCAGGATCTTTCAAAAAGTGTTGTCAAAATCGCCTTGTATCAAGTTTGGTACGAATGTGTGTCAGGTCAAATGCAAGTACGTGCTTTGGTCTTAAATCCTTTTAAAAAGTTTAATCATGCTTCGTGCTTCAGTGCTTCATTGTGATGCTTTTGTATAGGCTTTCACAGACCTTATTGTGATCCACAGGATAACCTTTAATTATTTTGAACAGCCTAGCAAATAACTTCTTGTCTCATGGTATCTATGTTCTCTCTGCTCACATGCCAGCTGCGCCATTTCACACGCGTAAGGAGCAAAAGGTGCTTATCTTGAATAGCGAATGAAAGCTCAAAGGTTACTACACCCAAATGCAAGAAAGGACACATATGATAAATGTCAAAGAAATGGACAGCAGACTTTCATTAAGAAGAGATAACATCCCAAATAAACTTTTTTCATTTTGTATCACTCAATGAGAAGGGTTACCTTAAACAAGGGATACAAATAAATTTAAGATTAAGAATTTATTCAATTTGAAACCCAATAGTCCTTTTCAGGCCTACCCACATGGTGTAACCGCAAACTTCCCATTTTATACATACCAACAATTTACTTGAGGAGGCGCGATAGCTCACGTTGGTAGAGCAGTGGTCTCTTAATTCGGCGACCCGGGTTCGAAACCAAAGCGATGCACCAGTGCCCTTTGGTAAGGCATTAATCCTCATTACGAAGTCTCTTAGAGAGGACCTAAAACCATCGGTCCTCTGGTCGCTTACTAACAAGCATTTATGCTTTCTCAGCAGTCAGGTAAAAGTAACCACCACTACACCCCTCATTTATTTTTTTAAATTGATATCAGGTTCCTAAAACTCGTAGCAAGCATGCCACCTGCCATCACAATGGGGCTATCTACCTGTACGGCGGGGTGTGTGGTAACGTCTCCCTCAAGGACATGTGGAGGTTTGAACCCAGCTCAAGCCTCTGGACCAAGCTAGAGTGCCGTGGGGACACCCCTCCCCTCCTACAGGAACACACTATGGTTGGATATAAGGTATTTATATGACTTCTTCTTATATTAAAGGCAATCCCAGGCAATTCTGTTTGTTTAAAGTGATGCTTGCATTTCCATAATTTGATTTAAAAAGTTTGTACAACAAGCAGAATTGACAAAAGACTTAACTCCGTTTCATTGACAATCAGCCATGCATGAAGTCTTTCATCTATGTCTGATCGTCAACGAAACAGAGTTAAGTCTTTTGTCAATTCTGTTTATTGCTACGGCAGGCAGCCAGTGAAAACAAATTTGTTTAATCAAATTTTGGAAATGCAAGCATCACTTTAAAGCCCCACTGTCCTACTTGTAGCTACTTGCTCCCTCTATATAGAAAACTTCCCCAATCGGTGCCTGTTGGTCCCCCATGATCCTCTTTTTCTTATGTTAGTTGAGAGCTGAGTTAATGAGATAGCCACATGTCAGTGACCTCGCTGTGTGGTCTAATCCCTTCTGGCCCAGTAGTATTGACGGTCTTTAAACAAACAGAACTTTGTTATTCCTGGCTCATTTTTCCTGATTGAGGTGTCATATGAAAGAGCAGAAACTGAACTTTCTAGAAATGTGAATTTTTATTCGAAATTCAGATACCGTTGCCAAATGACGTTTTGGTTTCCTTCGTTCAAATTGCTTTTAATCACTCATGCATGAAATATGCATCATACAGTGCATCAAATGAAAGAGGAGGATCTAAGCTTTACAAATATGTGTCATTTATAAATTGTAATTGGGTCACACTCAAAACACATTATGGATAGCATATATAATGTTAATAGTTCATATGCTGAGGTCAAAGGTCATGTTAGATGAAAAGTAAGTTTTTACTTGTATACGTTGTTCCAAGTGCAACCCAACTTTATAGATCAGGGATATCCTGTGGCAGTGTTCATGTAATTTAGTCACAGGTGGGCAAGACACAATATGGCTATTGATTTCCTTGTATTATAAATTGTATTATAAGTCTGGAGACTAACCTTATCATATTTTACAGTAAAATTTGAAGAAAAAAATAGATTCTTGAATTGACCTTCGACCCGCACACCACCGTCTCTCTCACATGCAGGAATCCATCTTCATCTTCGGTGGTCTGTGCGGGTTTGACAACCCCGGAGAGACCTCTCTCTGGATCCTCGACCTCACAAAGTTCACCTGGCAGAAGCAGGTCATCACCTCGGAGGTCATGACCCCTACCAGTCGCAGAGGTCACTCGGTGGTGTGTCACAACGGAGGGATGCACCTCTATGGAGGTCATGTGGACCTCAAGGGATCCTGTAATGAACTCTGGACCTTGGATTTCGGTGAGCACTTTCACAAGTCTTGCAGATCGTTATTACACAGTACGCCCCAGAAGAAAAGCCCTGATAAAGGTTATTGGGGCTCTTTTGCAAAGACGACGGGAGAATTACGACGCTCTTCCTTAGTGTTTAGGGATGAACGCTATCATGGCGGTGTAGGATCGTGAAAATCAACAAGACTTAAATGCACATTTTGTTTTTTCGCTCGCGTTACCGTCTTTGCCTTCCATCTTTGCGAAAGTGCCCTATTGTGAGCAAAATACATTGTATGAGCTCTACAATCATAATTCCTTGCTTTTCAAAAGAATTAATATGCTTTTAAATGATGTATACTTCAATGGCATTAATCCATTTAGGCTTCACTGAGCAGCATTCTTTTGAAAATGCCATATCAAAAAAAAATTGTGCTAGATTTTGGTAAAACCGTGAAAACTTCAATATTTCATGCTAGCATGACATAAGGGAAAATGTAAGCTTCAAAGAATGATTATGCAAAATTGTGATCGTATGATGATGTGCATTTAAATAAGAAGTTACAAACAATAGGTGCACATACTGATTCCCTCTCTCTCAATAGAAACCTTGTACTGGCACACCATGGTGTATAATAACCAGGACCCTAGCCCGCCTCCCAGACACGGTCACTCAGCTGTCATCCATGATAACGCCATGTACATCTACGGTGGTAGCAAGAATCTTCAGCGACTTCAAGACATGTGGAAGTGGGACTTTGGTGAGTTTTGAAACATTGGCCAGGGGGGCGTTTCACAGAACTTGTCATCAGTGACAAATGACAGTCACTGATTTTGGTCATTTGTCATTGAAAAAATGCTTTGTGAAACGAGCCCCAGGGGGGTGTTTCACAAAGACTAAGATTGACTTAAAGCTGGACTTAACTATGGCAGGCCATTCATGCCACTGGTTGCTCTCACTATTGGTCTCTCAGTTATGATCTTTAGATAATATTTTTTCCTTCAATAATGAACCATCACAAAATGTAAATTCTGCATTTTTGTGATCACGATTTATACGTCATTTGAGAAACTAATGCCTGGGATGGTTAGAGGAACTAGTGGCATGAACGGCCTGCCGTAGTTAAGTCCAACTTAAAGACAATCTTAGTCTTTTTAAAACACTCCCCTGGCATAAGGCTGAGATCTGGTTGTTTCAAAAGCATATTGATTGAGCTATGCATGTTCATGTAATTGGCTGTTACTGCACCTGTGACTACTTTAAAGAGACTAGGTAACATTTTTTCAGCTGAGAGATAATGGTGCGAAGGTAGTGACTTCAATGCTAGATGTACAATTAAAGATAATCTGAAAGTTTGAGTTTGAGAACATTATTAATGATACAAATTGGGGAAAACTGATCTGATCAATTCCTTAATTCTCCCAACTATAAGCAATGAATTGGCTCTACATGTACATGTATATGTATATACCATTCCGGACATATATATATATATATATATATATATATATAATTCCTGCAAAGCTCTCCTGAATTTGATGTTGGCTGCAAGAGGGACATAGTATCTTTAATATACAGTAGGCTTGCGGATGCTCCATGTGAGAGAGAGGGAGGATTGAGGAGTTCTGAAAAGGACTCTCGGTAATCTTTCTTGAGGGTTTTCTTGAGGGTTCTCAAGATTACAGAGAGTCCTTTTCAGAACTCCTCAATCCTCCCTCTCTCACATGGTGCACCCGCAAGCCTACTGTATATCTACATCACCATGCAAGCCGACACTAATACAAGCAGTATCTTTAATGTTTAATTATATTTGTATCGCTTTGATATATGCAATGCATGATTTTTGATATATCCACAATTCTAATGACAGGGAGTCGTCAGTGGACAAAGGTCCGTTATTGGCAGGGCCCACCAGCCCTTCATGGCCACTCTGCGCTCTCACTCGGGGACTCTATGATGATCTACGGTGGGGAAGACAAGGACGGGGGATTCAGAAGCGACCTCTGGATATTCAGTTACAGTAAGTATGACTGCTTCACTAGTTTGTAACAAGTACAGGGGGGTGTTTCACAAAGATCCTAATTTGGACTTTAAAATTATGGAAAGCCGTTAGCATCTTTGAAAATATTTTTTTTAAGTTATCATAAAAGGCATTAAATGTGCTCTATTATCAAGGAGATTTCATGTTGTTGATGTGGAATTTATGAAAAGTCTAAAATACTTGAATTTATATAGAGGGCACAAGTAGCTACAAGTAGTGCAGTGGGCCTTTAAGTCCAACTTAGAGCTAAGTTCTACTTAGGATCTTTGTGAAACACCCCCTGATTGGCTCAAGTCCATATGAACACTGTTGCCCATAAAATTGGGATGATTTTTTTCTTACCTCTCTTCGATCATGAAATGCTTGTAACAATATAACACTTTAAGTGGGCTTAAAGAGAAGGTTGAGTTCTGGGAAGAGGTGAAAAATAATTTGTGAGCGTTATCATTGTTATTATGCAAGTGTGGAAGAACATCAGATTAAAAATGTTTCCTGAAAAGCATGGCTCTTCAAATGCCATAATATTCTAAATATGGCATATAACAGCATAAAAATTGGGACAGATTTTTCCGCTACATGTTTGTGTAGTCCCATATACATCTTTCTCTGTACTGTGCTTGTAACTTTACCGAGACTGCCCTGGCCCAAATTTATTATCATTTTGATGATTCCAGAACCTTGCAGTACACACCAATACTTATATGCTATAGATGATCAACTTTTTTTTTATTCAACACTGTTTCTTTCACAATGCAATCGCATGACCAGAACTCAACTTTATCTTTAAGTCCGCGATATAAACTTTTTATGACCAACTTTAGGGAGAACTTGCAGTAGTATTTGATATGAACATTTGAACATGTAAAATTCTAATGATCAAGGTTCAAAATAGTCATGTGATAATGAAATAATCATTTTGAGAGACTACATGCTTCCTTGAAATCAGGGGAAATCTGGAAATTGAGTTCCATTTTTAACTCAGGGAATAAGATAAAATTGCTTATATACAGTTGAACCTGTCTATAGGGAGTGCCCCTGGGAAACAAAAAAAAAGTGGTCTTTGTAGACAGGTTCCTTTAGTACATGTTTCAATGAGATACCATTTTCAAGGGAAACAAAAAATGAGGTCTTTTTAGACAGGTGGTCACTAAAGCAGGTTTGACTGTATTAGGAGAAAGTCACGAAATATCATATTTATCAGTATTTCATAGGCCCATGATCGGGGCTTGACACATTGATGCCCACAATCCAAGCCTGGTCCCCCAATATTTTGTAATTTTCACATAAGGCTCACGCATGCAGACCATAAAAAAATAACTGGGCCCTGCTTCATAAAACTTGATATCAATAACAAGTTACAAGCTACTGAAATCATGGCATCTGATTGGCTGAGAGCAAATTTGTCATAGAAATTTAGCAGTTGTTATAGACAAGTAACATAAGTAATATAACAAGTTTAATGAAACGGGCCCCTGGACCCCCTTCCCAAAAAGTTAGTGTGGAGCCGTGCCATAGTCAAGCTCTTATTTTTATCTTGCGTCCAAAGAGTGTATCCCCTTGATGATTGGCAGTGGTTTTGTAGCGTGTATAATGTTTCCTTTAATTAATGGTCCTTGAATTTTGAAATTTCGTCAGGGATAAATCAGAATTGTCGTGAAATACTTGGAACCCTGAATTCATGTAAGTCAATGAAAGTTTCAAGACTTTGGAGGAAAAAGAGATTGAGCTTTTGTTTTCATGATCATTCTCTTCCCTAGGCTCTGAGAGTTGGACCAAGGTGCCTTACAAGGGTAGTATCATCCCCTCACCCACCATCCACCAAACCTTCGAAATGGACATCCCACAGTCCGCCTCCCTCTACCCACCACAAGATGAACGTTCCCTCTCCGCCCCCTTCCTGCAGCGACCCAGCATGTCATCCCTCCACGTCAGACCCCATCAACGACCCCATTCCTCCCCTCCTTACTCCATCGAGACCGCCAAGAGTGGCATGAAGGAGAGGGTCTTCAGGAACAAAGTCCACCCCAATAGCGGCCAGACTACACCCGTTGATGAGGGTAACCATGGTGATACAGTGATGATGTTGCGCAGGGATGCAGATGATGATGATGTTCACGGCGATGACAGTGGTACTGAGGATGATATTGATGAGGAGGAAGATATTTACAACTCAAGGATTTTCATTCCCGCCAATGAGCTGACAACCTCCAGCAGGGAGAACTTGCTGGAAGACGAAGCAAGTCAGAATACTGATACAACCATCAGGACTTTCAGGAAAACGAAAGTGAGACCGGTAGGGATGGATGCTATGAGCCCATCGGATGAAGAAAGAATTGAAGAAAAGACTCTAACATCTGCTTTTGGAGATTTACTGTTGACAGACCTTGATCGATTGAATCACAATGATATGACTGCCTCAAGAAACGCGAAAATCCCAAGCATACCTCGGGTTAGTATTGAGGACTACGATAAAAGTAAAACTGAAAAACCCCAAACAGTAATCAGTAGGTCGCATGGATTTGGAAATGAAATGTCTGTCGGGAATGCTGAGTGCAATAATCTTGCAAAGTTCAACAAGAGACCACAAATTATCCAGGTGCTGCCAAAATCCAAATCGGATGAAATCCCCCTGTTGAGCTGTTCCATCGATGACATGAACTTGAAAAACAAGTGGCTGTCAAGCGAGCAATTCGCATTTGTGAACGATGGTTTTACCATTGGCGATGACACTTCGAAGCCTCCGTGCCGTCCTCGATCAAATAGTTTAACAGAGCAGAAGTTGATTGTCGAAACCCTGCGTGATGAGCGCCATCTCTCTCTCAATGATTTGCCAAACATGGCGACGCTAATTCTTCAGCAGCATAACAGGACGTCCACGCACAAAATCCATGAATATCATAAAGAACCTACCAAACGTGGAGAGAAACGTCCCGTGCTGAAGAAACGATCTCAAACCGACCACGCCCTCTATGCAAAGACCATGCAATATAAGACCGAAGGTTTCAATGGGAATGTTCCCATTGGCAAGGGGCGCCACCATTTACCCGTACCTGTACACCTCTATGTGTTTGGTGGTCAGGAACATAATGTTAGCAGTGTGCACAAGTACCAGACCAGGCTGCCAGTCTTCAGGTGTACCATTGTACCAGGTGAGTCCTCTTCTTGGTTTTAAGCCTCTCTGCACTAGTTTGGCATGGAGGGATAAGACCTCCCTGCAAAATTGCTGGCAGGTGGTTATCTCATCAACTCAGCTCTCAATTAACATAAGAAAAAGGGCATCATGGGAAATCAACGAGTACCGCTTAGGTATTGTTGGCTGTATAGAGGGCGCAAGTAGCTATAAGTAGTGCAGTGGGGCTTGAAGGCTTACCCAAACAGTACATGGGCTTTTAAGGTGAAATGAGTTGAAGGTACTATTCAGGAAGATAAAGATGAGAACATTCTTACACTTTAAGAAGGATGTTTCCTGTTTGTTTAGTTTTTTCTGTGACAACAAAAGGAAATCGTTCGGGTGGGGAGAGAGGAGGAGGTGTGGGGTAGAAGGGAAGAACAAAGTAATTTCTATCAATACCTTACAGAGGCACCACTAGTTGCAATATGTACTATTTTATTATAATGTGTACTAACTTTATGTTATATTGCTTTTATATTATTTAATTCACAGGGAAGCTGTCACCTAGTCAAATCCAGGCACTACTTCACTGACAAGAGTTCTGACCTTTGACCTCCCATATCTTCATCGTAGCAAGAAGAGTGGAGATAGTCACGTAACCGGAAGTTGGACTCCTTCACTGACAACAAGAGTTCTGACCTTTGACCTCCCATATCTTCATTGTAGCAAGAAGAGTGGAGATAGTCACGTAACTGGAAGTTGCACTCCTTCACTGACAACAAGAGTTCTGACCTTTGACCTCCCATATCTTCATTGTAGCAAGAAGAGTGGAGATAGTCACGTAACCGGAAGTTGCACTCCTTCACTGACAACAAGAGTTCTGACCTTTGACCTCCCATATCTTCATTGTAGCAAGAAGAGTGGAGATAGCCACATAACCGGAAGTTGCACTCCTTCACTGACAACAAGAGTTCTGACCTTTGACCTCCCATATCTTCATCGTAGCAAGAAGATTGGAGATAGTCACGTAACCGGAAGTTGCACTCCTTCACTGACATCAAGAGTTCTGACCTTTGACCTCCCATATCTTCATCGTAGCAAGAAGAGTGGAGATAGTCACGTAACCGGAAGTTGCACTCCTTAACTGACATCAAGAGTTGGGACCTTTGACCTCCCATATCTTCATCGTAGCAAGAAGAGTGGAGATAGTCACGTAACCGGAAGTTGCACTCCTTCACTGACATCAAGAGTTGGGACCTTTGACCTCCCACATCTTCATCGTAGCAAGAAGTACTGTGTACTGCTCATATTATCAGACGAGGGGTAGCGAAAAGTAATCATCTACAAAAGCATATTTCCCTTTGAAAGTGGCCTGTTAGTTTGCAGCTAGGCAGGAAACTTTTGTCTACGTATCTGCAAGGAAGATCCAGTTAAGCACATGCCTGACATATTTTCTCCTGGCAGCATCAAGATGGTACAAAGGGAATGAGCTAGATAGGACTTCATCTCTTAAATCTTGAGTAAAGTGCTCATTATCACCTCTGTCTACATCATAACAAGAATTGTGGGAGTTTTGTTGTGCAAAACAAGACAGTGATGCGTGTGTTCATTCATCCATTACAGGATCTATCTACTCTTGTTAAGGCTGTTAATTCACCTATCATACACTGATCACCCTGAGAGCTTCTCAAGATAGATGAAGTCAATTGGCAGGCATCAACAATTTAAGAGTATAATAACTTTCATTATCAAAACAGACTCATTATTCATCTGAATCTCCATGTTCGCCTCTAAATCTGAGCTTTATAGTGCTCAGCAACGTGCCAATTCCTTATCAAAATTATGTTATATTTTGTTTGCATATTTGTATGTAGAAAATTGGATATTATATCTAACATGTGTGCTAATGCAATAGATACCTGGGCCCTGTCTTACAAAGAGTTGATATCAATCGCAACTATGTACATAAGAGATAGGAGACTGCAAACTTGCGATTGTTAAGAGGACTTGTGATTGATTTGGATCAATCGCAACTCTTTGTGAGACGGGGCTCTGGTATTTTGTTGTTGTCCAATCATCCATACTCTATATTTTTTTTCTCTCTCTCTCTCTTTCTCTCTCTCTCTCTCTCTCTCTCTCTCTCTCCTGTTTCTTTTGCTCTCCCTTTTATTCTATGACTCCTCATGTATTCTAGCTTCAATTTGTTATCTTGTACTACAGTCAAACCTGTCTACCTGTTCACTCAAGGCAAGGCAAACGGTGGCCTTTCTAAACAGGTTCTGCAACACACATATTTTTTTTCTTGAAGGAGACAAAATGCATGGACACTGTAGAAGGGTGGCCTTTATAGAGAGGTGGCCACTAAGACAGGTTTGACTGTATATTTATTAAATTATGAGTATGAGAATGGAAAAACAGGGCCTTCTGCATCAATCTTCAGATTTAAACCCCTCAAACAAAAGTTTGGAAACTCAAGTATTATCGATTATAATTCTCTTGACTTGGCATAATCAACACTATGTTTAGTATCATTAGAAAATGGGTTTATTATTCCTTTTCAGTCATGGAATGTGCAGTAGATCAAAATGAGGAGTAAGGTCAATAGTGAAAATTTGCAAATGCACAGCTCTTGTTCGACTGTGCATTCAAATTGCCCTAGTGTCTGGGCCGTTTCAACAGTTGTTAGCCTCAGCATGATGCTTCCCAAAGTTGATGACCAAACAGTAGCGAATCTTGCCTGACATATCACCACATTCCATGAATTGCAATGTCAGATTCTTAAAAGTTTGGCATTCATGGATGACCAGTTGGGAATAAAAGCCCCACTGTCATTTACAAAATCACACTCTTTTATGTCAAACAAAGGAGAGAGTGCTCTGCATATTACAATACCATTGCTTACCAAATCATTTTGCAACTTTTCACAATTCGACCCTGCCCCTTATTCTGATGTTCTAATCACTTCCTGGCCACAAAATCATAACAAATACAGAATTATTTTAATGATCATAATCATCCCTATGATAATGCCATGAGCTATAATTGATCCAACTTAAGTTTCCGAACTTGGTTTGATGGGTTTAGATAGTTACATCTTCAATAAACCTATTTTATTATAAAATTTATTTATTTATGCTTCACATTGTTTTGTACACATAACTTGATATGATGTTGTTTTATATTGAATAAGCATACATGTGTGTGAGTTTCAGTAAAGTTAAAATTTGCATTATTATTTAATCCTCACTTAGCTAGAGAACAGTACAGGACAATCTAGAGTATTATCTTCTATTTCCGAATATGTATTTATATACAAAGTACAACATAGTTTTGTATTTTTATACAAAGAGTTTATCTAGTAATAGTATAGGGCTGATTTATGTAGAAGCGGTAGCTTGGATTCACAGTGTCCTCTTCTCGTAGGTTTTTACCTTTGTGTGAAGGCTGAAGGAAAAATGTGAATTCTTTCAACGAGTCTACTTATGAGTGCGAGGATGCCCGGCCAAGTACCGATTTATACCTTTTGCTGATTTGGAGTCGTACAGGGTCCCGTCTCATAAAGAATTGTGGTTAATTCAAATTGACTGCAACTTTAATTGCAACTCTTTATATGAGAGATATCAACTTCAACACTGTATATAAGAAAGAGAGTAGATTGTATCTTTTCGATTGATTGGAGGATTTGCAGTGGATTGAGTTGCATCACAAGTTTTATGACATTCCCCTCATATCATGAACACTGAAATGTGATTTCAATTAAGTTTCAGGTCTTGTACACTTAACAAATGTGTAGAAAGTAAACAATAAAGGGGCTGTTTTCTTTCTATTTGTTGCAAAATTGAATAATATTGTTTATTTTGATCCCTTTTATTAGTTATGATCTGGGACAGATTGGAGGTGTGTTTGGGTTTACATTTTTAAGGGTGCTATGGGAATTTTGAGGGCAAAAAGATGATACAAACATATTAGGAAAGGGGAAGACCACCCTTGCAATAAAAGCAAATATGTGAAATGGGTCGTTGAAAGTTCTTGGAAAAATTAGGTTAAAAGTTAGATATGTCTGAGTTAAAATGTTATGTGTTAAAATGTAATGTTGTATTTGTATCTCTCCTCATGCTTTGGTAATTTTTTTCCCAGTCCCTTTTGTTTTCTTGCCAGGAATATATAACGTGTCATCTCTCAAATTGCCATTTTAAAATCAATCCATCCATCCCTCCTGTTGGTGCATGTGTCTTTTGCCAAAAGTAATCTGGATTTCTATTAACTTCTAAGACTAAAATCTCCCTCAGATATGATGAGGTAGACCGCAGCTTTTTTTTGTTGTCTTTTCAATGATGCGAGCATAACATTTTTTGTATTATACATGTATAAATCAAAGCTATTAGTAAGTGAATATGCATAGGACTGAAATGTCCTTTTGTATGTAATGTAATAATGTAATAATACGGCATTATCTGTTCCATATGGAACTCTTTGTTTGCTACGGGTCAAAATGGAGGACGGACACAGTATTACCGGTGCAAGTAGTCTATGTATGTTTGGATGGATGTTACAAGATGGTACATTGTCCATGTGAAGAAAATAAGTCAACTACCGTAAATCTACCGTGTATAAGACGCACCTGTGTATAAGACCAAAAACGAACAAAAACTCTCTTCCCTTCCAGTATGTAATTTATGCCGAGACACATGCAGAGACGGTCAAACACCACTAAAAAGTAGCATTTATGAGGACTCAAAATATCCTGAACCTGCCTTAGTTAAGACGCACACCCAACTTTCGATATTTTTTTTCCGGCGAAAAAAAGTGCGGCTTATACACGGAGACTTACCGTTTGCTGTCAAGTGTTTTTTTTTCCATTAGTTGGAATAGAGTTTATCTCGAGTGGTGTTAAGAAAGCAAAAGCCACTAAAAATTTGAATTCATTTTTTGTTGCAATGATTAAAGCATTCAAGCAGCGCATGAAAGATTTAAAGGAAATTATCTTTAAATTAACAACATATTAAGTAATGTAAAACCAACCCTGCAATTTGCATGTAGGGTTAGCCGAGTTTGTTTTATTTTATCATTATCATTGACAGGTCAAGTGAGAGTGATACTTCAAAATACATATGAGAATGTTCTCATTGTTTATTGCTGTTCTTTTGTAGAAAGCCTATAGCTTGTTATATGCCAAAGATATTCTACTTTGATAATATTATGCAAGTGCACTTTGCAGTTTAAGAGCATATTTGTGTTTGCTTGCTATTGATATGTGTACAGATTTGGGAGCTATTCGTTACAAAATTGTATGCTTATATTTAGAGAGATATATATTCCTGCCTTCGAATAGAAGTTTGAGTTCTAGGAAAGGTGAAAAAACAATTTACAAGTTTCTCATAATCTCCTCGTGAATTTGTACGAAATTGTTATCACCTGAAAAGGATTGTTCTTCAAACGCCCTCATATTCCAAATATGACAAGAAATAGATTTGGACCAAACTGTATATGCCACATGTGTAGTTCCAAGTGGGTCCCATGTACCCATTTCTGTGTGCCTCCAAACCGTTTTTTTTTCTTTTCTAGTTCTAGGAAAGGTGAAAAAACAATTTACAAGTTTCTCATAATCTCCTCGTGAATTTGTACGAAATTGTTATCACCTGAAAAGGATTGTTCTTCAAACGCCCTCATATTCCAAATATGACAAGAAATAGATTTGGACCAAACTGTATATGCCACATGTGTAGTTCCAAGTGGGTCCCATGTACCCATTTCTGTGTGCCTCCAAACCGTTTTTTTTTCTTTCTTATTGCTTGACCAGAATTAAACATTATATATATGGGCCGGCTCAAATGGTGAAACTTAAATGTATCTAGAATATTTCATATTGTTTTGCAAATTCATGATTTTGAGAAGCCTATTAGAACAAATGTACCAGAACATATTTTTATGAGAGAAGTGCTTTTTTATGTAAATGATTTGCATACATATGCACAAAAATCATTATATTTGGTGGTATTCACTTGAATGTACACATTATATAGTTATATATATATTTATATACACAATTTGTTGTGTTTGTGATAAGATTATGCTTTGAAATGTGTTACCTCTAGTAAATTGCATTTTGAATGGAGCATGTAGTTTTGTATTATTTCAATTGAAGACAAACTTATATGTATATCTTGAATTTGATGATCATATTTTTCTGTCAATGGAGTTGCTTATAAAATCACATTTTACATTAAAATGAGTAATTTTTCACGTTTCATATCAAATGAACAAATTAAAATTCCAAACATTTAGTTGATTGTGTCAGACTTACTTTGTTTATTGTTTGTTTTATTTTCAAATATCTTGAACATGGATAGGAATGTTCAAATCTTAAATATAAACTTGGCACCCCCCCCCTCTCCCTTCCCCCCCCCCCCCCCCCCCCCCCCCTCCCTTCCCCTTCCCCTTCCGGCCCCTTCCCTTCATTTCCCTTACCCTTCCTTTAGCACTAATTCCCTTTCCACTTCTCCGCTCACAATATTGACAACGTGGTTATAAGACTTCGGCATAGTCTCACAATCCTTCCAGCCTTGCTAACGCAGACAGCGGGCGGAGCTTCATTTCAGCTCGCTTGAGAGAGTAACGATGTCCTTTCCACGGCGACCAATTGACGCCCTGCGATGTCGCCTCGTGGGGCCCCGCAAGATAAAGACCATTGAGGGAGGTCGCATGGCATGCGTAGTACCACCAGCCCCCGAAGAACGTCGCCGCGCAGTTCCCTTCATGCGCGTCGTTGTCGCGGTCTTTCGTCGTGAAGGGTCGGTTGCTGTGCGACGTCAGACCATTGCCTTGATAATGATAGAGAGAGGGAGCGGGACAGGAAGAGAAAGGAGAAGAAAGTACACTTGATATCGATGAGATAATGAAAGAGTAGAGAAAAGAGAGACGAGCGAAAAGGTAATCATTTTACAATCTTGTGATCGAGGAGAACACAAACAGGCCCAGTGACATTAATATAGCTCACTCAAAACAAAAGAACGAAATCACGACATGATGTTATCTTTCTTTTCTTTTGTTGAGTCGAAGCAATCCTTATGCTACGTTTACACTATGTTCCCGGCGGCCACGGCAACCACGTTTCAGGCCACCGTGGACGAAACGGGATTGACGTGACACAACGCGGGGGACCGTATGGGCAAACGTGATAGGCCGTGATTGCCGTGGATACCGTGTCAGATTTTTAAACTGTCAAAAAATTTGCCACGGCAGTCACGGTGCGGATGAGAAACCTAGTAGGACGTGATAAACCGGGGTGAACGTAACAAAACGTGACAGTCCGTAATAGGCCGTAACAAAACTTGGGGGTGGTCCGTAGTGGGACGGTTTAAGCGCCCGGCACGCTACGGCGCGTTGCGTTCTACTACGGTCTGACACAACGCGAGGTCTCAGAATACCATGATTGCTATTGCTTGGGAGACCTTCTTTTTATACCGCCGGCACAAACGGGCTCCAAAGGTGCCCTGCGTCCACGTTTCATCCGTACAAAGCCTTGACATCAGAACGTGAAAAACGTGTCAGACCTTGATCAGAACGTGGGAAACGTGAGGGACCCCATCAGAACGTAACGGGCCGGGAGGGAACGTTCTGGCATCCGTGGTAGAACGCGGGCCGAACCGTAGTGCGCCTTGGAGCCTCCGGGACTCAGCATCCCCTTCCCCCTACGGCCCGTCACGGATACCGTGGTAGACCGTGAGAAAACTTGGCAAGACGTAACAAAACTTGAATCCAGAGATAAAATTGGTCTAAATCCCACGGCGCACTACGTTTCGGGCAAACGTGGCTGCCGTGGCCGCCGGGAACATAGTGTAAACGTAGCATGATTTATCTTCCACATGATCTTCCCCTCTAAAACATACCTGCATCCCCGGTGTAATGGCCCACCCTCAGCACGTAGTTGGTGTTTTCGTCGGAGAGGCGAAAGGTTCGATACTCGGCGTACCTCGTCTCCCGCTCGAAGTCCTCCAAATCTATGCGGAGTTGATAGAGCTTTTGACTGGCGATGCGACGAATTCTCTCGTTCCCAAGCCAGTGCTCGCCCGTCACCGAGCCGAAGCCATGTTTGTAAGCCGACCAGTCCCGGTCGAAATCAACACCGCCATCCAGACGCTTCTGAAACACCTGCGGAAGAATGATTGACTTATCTTTAGAAAGGTTCACTGTCTTTAAAAACGTGTTCTTTTTCCCTTCTTTTCCCCTTTTTTGTTTCTTTCTTCTTCTTCTTCCTCTTCTCTTTATTATCATGTTTGAATCATAGCTGCATGTAGCTCATTAAAGGTTCTTAAGAGGACTTGGGGCCTCTACCCCCTCTACAAAAACAAAATAAAAAATGATTAGGAATTAATTTATTAAAGCGAGACACATGGAGAAAATGAACCCAAGAAAATATATTCATCTGTAAAATAAAATCTTATTTTCCCTTTTAGCTTACTTTATACTTATTTGTTTCTTGAAGATGTCTTTGTACTTTCCCAAATTTTTCTTTTTTAAATCATGTCAGAAAAGAATGAGAGACCACGCCCTTAAAACTGCCAGGAAAAGTAGCGCACATGCATGTAAATGGCAAAAATTGCGCTGAATTAGTGCTGTATTGGTCTATTGCTTTCATATTTTTGATTAATATTGCAATCAAAATGACGCTTTGTATTCAAAGAGCACGTATACGTCTCTTTAGCCAGTTGCACATTAGGCGCCATTTTGAATGCGTTATTCCACGCGCTAATATAGCGCCCATTGAAAAACAAAAATGGTGCACATCCATTTATTATTCGATGCAAAGTTCGCATTGTTTATGTTGCAGTCACCCTGTGTACGATATCAGTCACACAAGGTACGTCTAAGACCGTCAGTCAGTCAGTCACTGACGCAGTGTTACGTCAGTGAAATAACGCAGTGTTGCGTCAGCGAAATAACGCCTCGTGTGCAATTGGCCTTACCGTCCATCCTCCTCTATCTGTCTCCATATCACAGTACACGAAGAAAGGGTCGTCGCAGTCGTCAGGATAGATGGCGTAGCGACCACTTACGTTACGACCTGACTCTTGGATATCTGCGCAGTCACGTGGTTTCCACTCGGCACTGGATATCACTACATAATGATATCAAGGGATGGATGAAAAATATAGTTAAATGGTAGAATTGTAACAAATAATTATTTTTATCACACGGGCACCTCTTTTCAATCGATATTTAATAATGCACCCGAAAGAATATTAAGAGAGAGAGAGGGAGAGAGAGAGAGAGAGAGAGAGAGAGAGAGAAAAAGAAAGAACCATAAATTGATAATATAAATAATATAAATGAATTAAATAATTACATCAATAAGGAAATAAATACATAGGGAGAAATAAAAGTGAGAAAAAAGGAAACGTAAGAAGAAATTAATCTTCCTAGATCCCCCTCCCCGCTTTTTTGTTCGTCCTAGTTAGACCCCTTCTACTTTCCATGACTGAACCCCTACTGATCTTTACAATCATTTCTTTAATGACCTAGTAACGCTGTGCCTATATATTCCATGTATAATCATATTGATTCATCTTAGTATCACTTAAATGCTTCCTAAATAACTCTCTCGACATCACGCAGTCAGTAGACATACCATAATCTCTTCTTACTTTGAAATAGGAAATAACTTTTTTTTTCAAGTATGATATTAATAAAGATAAACGATAATGATTAAGGTAGTGATAATTGATTGGGTGGGCAGATTACGATGGTGATCATGTTGAGATGGAATAGAAGAGAGGAAAGATAGGATGGAGGAAATGGCAAAATGGTTGTTACAACTAATTTCTTACCCCTCTCACCTATTCTCTCGAGCAATTCTTGTGACGTCATCATACTTCTTCGAGCTGCTGTAATCAAACTTTCTACCCCTTGAATCGTTAGACTATCTCCTTGTAAAGATCGCATCATCTGCAAGAGAATAATAAATGAGAATAGGGCTCCGTATATTAAAAAGAGTTGCAATTGATCCAACAACATGGTGGCCTGTACTTCAACAGAAGAGAAGAAGAAGAAGAAGAAGAAGAAGAAGAAGAAGAAGAAGAAGAAGAAGAAGAAGAAGAAGAAATCAATCGCAAGTCCTCTAATCAATCGCAAGTTTGCAGTCTCCTATCTCTTATAAAGGCCTACATAGTTGCGATCGATACCAATCCTTAATAAGTTGCGAATGATATCAACTCTTTGAAAGACGGGGCACAGGTCAAATTTCGTTTGGCATTTAACCGACGGTGCCTATAATGTTTGCTTCCGATATAATTTATAACTGGTCCGGCACTTTTTATCATTATAATCTGTTCTTATAAAGCGCCTAACCAATTACAACGCAAACGGCCGAGGCGCTTTTTAAGTATGACATATGTACCCCGGTCACTGGATTAAATTCTGCACTTTAGAGTGCACTCTTGTCGTCTTACCACACAATAACGGAGTTTACAGATACAATCTGCGCATGGGCAGATAAAGGTCATTTGTACCAAAGTGGTAAAACCCACAGAGATGAATACTGGATATGCGCTCATGAATGTTATGTAACATTATTCATTTATGCACTAACGGTACATTCTATGATACGCAGGTGGAAGTATTCTTTTCAAGAGGTCAAACAAAAGGAATTCATGAAGCACATCTAGGACTTTGGCAGTTTTTATTCTAAGATGCTCAAAGTGGAACTTTTCCATGTGTAAAAGATCTGTGGATATTTGGGGTCATATTTTGTACCATGTGCTATCTGTAAACTCCCTTATTGGGGAGCATTTCAGCCAGTCGCCTTTTATTTTTAGAGGCGCGTACTATAATCCAATCACACTGACTTTCCCATCCTACCATCGAGCACCTGGGTGGAGAGGAGCAAGAAAGTTAAAATGCCTTACATAAAGGACATAATACGTAACGTACCGATGCTCTTACCCATGACCTTTGCGTCCCCAGCCAAAGCGATTTGCTTCTGTGACATTTGGTTCCAAGCTGTATTTCCGGATATATAGGGTACCGGTAATGATTGCAAATTAAGTTTAGATTTGGTAAAAGGCGTACTGATGAATCTCGGGTTGGCGTTAGGACTACTCTAAAAAGACATTGTCTCCTGCTTATCTCTCATAAACCTCTACAAAAATATTGTTCAAGTAAAAATAGATAAGCTTATTAATAAAGGGGCCTCGTTACACCTTCTGATTTGGGTACTGAACTTAAGCCCTTAACAATTTATCAGAAAAAAATACAAAAATTGACTTGGGGTGGGCTATATTTTACATGGGAATTTATCAATTCCACATTGTCCACGACAGAGCAGACCGAATTCTGATTCCCTCAGGTTGTGATGTTGTTATTGTATGTTATACCTCAGAAATACTGTGACAGTGAAGCCGAGCAGCATCTTAATCAAGGAGGAATCTACCCCCCAATTATTGTTATCATTAAAATTATTATATTATAGAAAAAGGGTATCTAATGACAACAATGAAGTTTATTGAAGGAATTCGAATGACACAAAATAGTCTCATACGATATACGTTGTTGACATCATTGTTTAAAAAATTATAATGGGCCTGTTTACTTTAGGTTTATGCTAACTTCTTGAGAGAAAAAAATCCTCTTAACTCAAATGCTTTATAAAAGCTTGTCATAAACAGCGACAACTACAGAATGAGCGGTAAATTCCATCTATAGAGTAGTGTTCATGCAAAGCAAATGAATCGTTTTCACCAGCGGTTTTGGAGAGAATTAAAAGCATGCACAAACTTAAATATTTAGCGTGGAGGTGTTGTGGTATAGTGGTCTATTAAACTGACCCTCAATCCTAGGGTTGAGGGTTTGAATCTGAGCTCGGCATTTACGTCCTTCCATTAATCCACATTTGCAACTCTCCACCCAGGTGTAAATGGGTACCTTGCAATTGCTGGGGTAATAATAATTGCAGAATCTTCAGGATTAACAATACTGGTACTGATGAGGCTTCCCTATGTTAACAAAAATTTAAAACATGTCTTTACCAGTTATTCCACTATTCCAGAGTCAAAAAATAATATAAAGCTTACCTGGCTGCCAGCATTGGTCCTAGCGGCCGCCATATTTAGTGTACTCTCTGCAGCGACCGCTCTCAAAAACACAAAGGCGACGTACAACATCCGACTTAAAGCAATTTCGATGCATTTCCAGTTGCAGTTCATTATTTGAGGATACCGATAAATACCAACTAGTGTCAAGAAAGTTCAGCTTGCATTAATAAACCATTCAAGCAAAAATAAGCTTTGTCACTTTAACTTAGGAGGTATTGGATCACATGCAGTTTTCACGAGTTTTACGAGTTCGTGTGAAGAAGAAGGAAAAAAATCGCTTAAAGTTTTGTTTTCATGAAGTGTATAGTTTTGGAACTTCAATATTATTAGTCATGGATGAGTATGTCAATATAATTTTGAAGTGTGAACTCGAAGTGAAAGTGTAAACGAGGGTTTAGTACTACCATGGGTATTGCACGTATTGGAAGTGGTTTGTATTATGCATAAGTACTTGAGGGAAAACTGTTTGACTGTATTCACAGGATATCTATTTTATATCTCCGACGCTCCCTAAAACACTTTTTATCTTTTTTAAAACGTTCCTTCCATCCTCTATCTTATTAATTTATCTCCAACTTTTCAATACGATGATCTATTCAAATGAATTGTTATTGTGTTATTTCCTTCCTTCTTTCATCCCTATCTTATTTATTTCTTTTCCACCTTTTTTTTCTTCTTCATAATTCACTTTAACCTTATATTGGATTGAAGATTGGCATTTTTGTTACATAGAATGCGGACGCTGGTTAAGAATTGGTTTTTATATAATTACTTGATTTGTGTGTGTGTGTGATTTTATTCTTTGCTCTTTTGTCTATTTTTATCATTCATTGAATTGCGCTTACACAATGTTGTCTACTCTTACCTCTCTCTCTCTCTCTCTCTCTCTCTCTCTTCTCTCTCTCTCTCTCTCTCTCTCTCACTCTCTCTCTTCTCTTTCTCTCTCTCTGTCTCTCTTCTCTTTCTCTCTCTCTGTCTCTCTCTGTCTCTCTCTCTCTATCTCGATTCCTAGCTATGTCTTACACACTTACGCACGCACACACAAACTTACACACAAACACACACACACGCCCATGTTCTTTCTCTATCCTCTCTCTCTATCTCTCTCTATTTCCCCTCCCTCTGTCTCTCTCTCTCTCTTTCTTATTTTCTATTCCTTGCAAGTGAATCAGAGAAGAACAAAATTCCCGTCATCAATCTATACAATTACATGTTTGAGATGCCGATAGATGTAAAATTTGTCCCCCCCCCCCCCCCAGAAAAAAAAAAATTATTCTCTGAATATCAAAAAAGGAGAATTGAGTCATGTTCAGTACAAATTTGTTGTCATTGCATCTGACTCATATTTGCATACATTCGCAATTACTCATAATTGTTCCACTCTCCCCTGTAACGCTTTTTTTGACCGAGGGGAATTACCCCCATCGGCCCGGCGGAAGTTTAGTACACACGCAAAGAGTCACAGTCCAGACAGGCTTGTCGGTGTGGTAGACAGGGCGAACTCTCAATGACCAGATGAGGCAGGTACCCCCGTTAAATATCTCAGCCAAACTGACCCCACACCGACCCTGGACAACTAGGGATAATGTAAAAGTAAAGGGTAATGTAAAGATTGTTTCACAAAGACTAAGATTGACTTTAAGTTGGACTTAACTATGGCAGGCCATTCTTGCCACTGGTTGCTCTCACCATCGATCATTCAATTATGATCTACAGATATTTTTTTCCTTCAATAATGAACTATCAAAAAATATAATTTCTGTAGATTTGTGACCATGATGTGTACGTCCCTTGAGAGAAAATAGTGGCATGAACGGCCTGCCATAGTTAAGTCCAACTTAAAGTCGGTCTTAGTCTTCGAGAAACACTCCCATTGGTGTCCTTCATGGCATCTCAGTCACACCGCCAAACCGACTGCAATCCAAATTCAAACCATGTCATGGCTTACTTCGCCTATTCTGAAGAATGTAAAGGCGGTTCATTTCTAGCAAGTATTCATTCTCATACATAGGCAAGATCTCAGCAACCCGTTCCTCTGCTTTTAAAGGTACTATGTCCCATTTGCAGGCCAAAAAAATGAAAAGGTTAAATTCCAACGGCATTTGAAAAATGATACTAATTTAGAACTTCCCTAAAACAGGTGGGGCTTGAAAATGTCTTCAAGTGGGAAAATAACGACTATTAGTTGTCAAATCGACGTGGGAGCTATAGAGCCAATAAGTAATAGTCTTGATTTTCAGACCATTGTACCGAATGGTCATACGTTTTATGCTGCGCAAAGATTCAATCAGTTTAATTTTGGCCATCACAAGAAGTGGGTTATTGATGTAGACAAATGCTCATGTTCCCTTTAGAGCTCATGTTATGTATATTATTACCAAAGAAGAAAATAGCCAGTTAGTTACTCAACAGTGAAGTCTAGCAAGTAAACGGGTTTCCTTGCATAATTTGAATATTAAGACACTGCTAAGGTTTAAATTTCACAGATAGGACAAACATGACATATTCGTAATTCCTGCAAAGTTCTACAGAATTTGAGGTTGGCTGCAAAAGGGACATTGGAACTTTAAGTAGAGTATGTTATAAATACTTTGCCCATTCATTTGAAAACGCATTCTTGTTGTCCACTCAAAGTATAAGAAATATTCGGCATAAACAGTAGGCTACCTACTTGGTTTTATAAGGTAGGCTGTGAGTAACAACTGTATTGGATGAAAATGAAATTTAATAAACAACTTTTGATAATGACAGTTTTTTTTAAATATGTCAAAATTATTTAATCAGGATATCTGGTAGTATCAAGTTACTTCTTTTGTCAGTGCAAAATATATTTATTCATTTTATACACAAACATGAGATATAAATGACAACTATGATCATAATGATTCTCATCTACAAACCAAAGTAGTAATTAAAGAGATGGTGAAAAAGATATGAAAAGATATATGAATCGACCTGGGAATAATATTATTATAAACGAATCTTGAAAATAGGTTATGATAATAAAGTTAACGTTAACATTCTAAGCAAAAATATAAACATATCTTAATAATGTAAAACCTCTTTCTAGTTAATAATTAAAAAATAGACATTATTCACCATATAATTATGTTGTTCAGTTTTTTTTTTAAATCATACGACCAGCGCAAATTACAATAACAATTAATTTCAAAGCATTTTGATCTGCATCTTAAGCAAAACAAAATGAAACGTTTCCTTTCACAGACGAAACAATTTTTGAATATTTTATCTTAAAAAAAATCTTACTCTTTAAGATGCTGTGACATTTGCTGCGGCGACAATTGCTCCAGGCTTTTTCCCCGTCAAAAACATAGGATAAGAGTTGTTATTATTATTATTATTATGAATTATTCGGCAAAACAAAGTGTATACAAAAGAATTACATAGAAGAACAAAACATAGGATGAAAATCATTTTTAAAAAACATTATCGTGATTCCCACGAGGATTTATAGGCGCTTTTATACAACTGGATTGCTTTCCGCGTTAATAAATATCTTCCAGCAAAATGTTCTTAATAATGATCAATACGAATTGCTTTGAAAAAACAGAAAATACATCGAATTTTGGGCTACTCATTGTCATTTTCATACAGAGTTTTCATGAAGGGCCTTCTTGTCCGAGAATGTTTTTAAAGAAAATAGAAATACGGTTAACGTACTCCGGGCTAAGCATTATATTTCACTTTGAGTCTGTAGTGCCACCAACTGCTCCATCTGGTGTCGTACTCGTTCGGTATTGTTCTTCATAACAAAAATTGAAGATACTGTTAATTAATTGGGACGAGGCTACGCATTGGCTACTTCATACAGTGAGTCTGTAGTCCCAGCCGCTTCGTCTGGTGTCATATAAAGACCTTCTTGATCGGTACTGTTCTTCAGGTAGGGCATGTAACCACCACTCGCCGCCATCTGGTCCCGACTCACGCCCGGAGGCGGAGGCGGGGGCGCCATTCCGTCGGGCAAATCGCGCATGGTCGGTGATAGTGAATTGCCGTTGGCACCGCCCGAGTCAAAAGCTGGATTCTCGTAAGACTGCTCTCCTCCCGCCTGCTGCTTCAGATTCAGCTCTGTGTAGGGTGGAGGGGGATCCTTCTTGAAAGCGTCCAAATCCATGTAGAGCGGATCGTCATTGGGATGACCGCCGGGGAGGGGCGGTGGTTCCTCGGAGCACTTGGCTGCTTGCGGCCGGGTCCTGTAGTCGTTAGACTGCTGCCCACGTTGTCCCTGTGCCAATCTCCTACGGATATTGAAAGAAAGAAAACAAGGCATATTTTCTGAGACTAATTTTGAGAAAATGTTAAAGACATTCACTGATTAAGTAAGGAGTTTTAACATGACAATTTAATGAGAAATGATGTCCAAACCACAGTCGGACTACGGTTCCCTGCGGGCCTTATTCTTCGGGAGCACGCACAGATGCGTCAAATGGTCTATATACCCACAATCGTTTTTTGTGTGAATATAGAGTATTTAATCTTTCAATATCTCTTTATATGAATAATACCTGATTATTTATCAGAAGCTTATATTTTTAATATAGTTTAGGGATATTGAAACCGTAACATACAGAATATGATATTACATTCGTATAAATTAAATCCTCTTTACCTGTTTTCTTTGGTCCTTCTGAAGCAAATGACACCGACGACGACTCCGATGATGATGACGACAACGAAGACTACAGCACCAAATGCAGCAGGGATGACATAGCTCTTTTCTGGCCCCTCTGTGTCAGGCTGGGTGACCGGAGGCGCTAATGTAGTCACTATACGAAGGACGTAAAGATAATCATAGGTCAATAAATAGAAACATTTCTCATGAAATTTCTTGGAGACCATGGAAGCCTGTTTTAAAGTGTGTTTCAGCTGCTCCGACGATTGTTCCGCGGTCAATGTTCTAAACTAACCAAACTCCTAACTTTAATCCTTGCCACAAAACCAGACCCAACCCTTGCTCTAACCCTAACCAAACCTTTATAACCCAGTTGCAATCCTAACCCTACATTTGACGAAATAAAGCCCGGAGCAATTATTGTCACCGAGCAAAATAATGTCCGATTTCCCAACGGGTATGTAAAATTAATTCTCATTTCCAAAGAACACATACATTTGTATCTGTTTAAGGGTGCGTTTAAGCTTAAATTTTGAAGGCAGAATGAGCGATTTGTAACGCTCATCGTAAACGCTCATCGTAATCGCAGTTCCACGGTGTACTGTTTATGCTCACTTCTCCGGCTCCTCCAGGCAATTCTCCCTGTGTGGCCTTAATTGGTCTTCCAGCTGGATTCGCAAACCTTCACTGTGCATGCTACGTAGACCCACTAGAGGTCAGTGCGTTGACCCCATTTAAACGCGTTTACAAATTGTAAACGCATCTTTTTGTGAGTTTACGATCGGCGATCGTCATCGCCGTTTTTCGGTGATTCTACAAAAGTGAGCATGGACGCAACCGTGTTTTAAACTAAACGCGTAACAGATGCCTGATTCTGGTCAGAAAAAGTTAAGCATAAACACGCCCTAAGTTGAATACAACCTTTTGAGATGTCAGAATGGTTCCTATTTGATTTTATTTATTTATTTAAACACGCTGACTCTCTCAGCTTTAAACGGCTGTTTTTCAGAAAGCCGTGTTCTAAGGCACATTCTCCAGCGTTACTGACCGTTGTAACTGTGATTAGTATAATGTGTATTTCAAAAGTCCGATAATGGTGTAAAGCTCAAATGCGTTGATTGATCAGTGATCTAGACACGGCGTTAGATGCAACACTTAAGCAAAAAATATAAATGATTGTCTACGTTTATTAAGTCGAAATCTATTTTCATTTCAGATAAAAGAAAATTCCATAGTCATCACCACGAAAGGAGCAAAAAAAATTGGGTCCTTCAGAACTATTCCATGATTCCCAAACTATAGGTAAGGGCTGGACTGGGGCCTCTTTAAAGATGAATTCCAATTCCATTTCTTCTGCCTATGCCTTTATTCTCTCCAAGTCCCTATGCATATCGGCAACTACCGAGTGTCTCCCTCCCGGACATCTTATTTTAATTTAGACAGAGAAGAGAGTCGAAGCGTCAGTACGGGTCAGTGTGTCATTATGGTGATGAGACCGTCATTGAGAATAGAAAAGAGAAGTGGTCCGAGAACTGTACCTTGAAGTAGGCCTACATATGCGTTTATACGTGCAGCAGTATATGTTACCTCTGAATTTACTCTGGGTATATTTGTAAAATGTTTTCTATTATTTATAGAAGGTGATTTATAAGCAATTTTCTAATAATGAGGAATGTGATAATAATGCTAAGGCTTGCTTACCAACTTCAAAGATTTGTGATGAAACAATGCCCTGCATACCCAGCATGACGCCCTCTCCGACTACCTCGGCTAAGGGGTTATCAGCGAAGCGGTCAACCCGATAAACAGCATTCTTGACCCAATCCGACCAGTAAATAAAGTCACCATGGATGGTCACTCCGTAGGGTTGGGATGGGGCCGGCAGGGTTGCCACAAGAGTTCTTTCGTTGGTCAGCAAGTTGTACCGCTCGATCTTGCTTTGGTCTGGGTGATTGGAGTCACACCAATAGAGAATTCGCTCTGTTTCGGATCATGGATTAATTGGTGATTTGAAGGGGCCAAAAAAAGATGGACATGAAAGTTATTGACAGGACTACATAACAAAAATCACCGTAGTAATAATCCACTTGTCGTCATAATATGCACACCTGTATATTAAGGCCACTGTAGGACAGATGGCCTTTTGATTTCCTCCTATAGTGGGCAAATATGAGTTATCGTGATCACTATAGACAGGTGACGTTTATAAAGAGGTGGGCACTTAAACGTGGTATAAAGCCAACACAGAATTGCATTATAGGAGATAATGGTTAGCTGACGAGTGCCTGGATTGTTGACAGTTCAACCTTGACAGGGCCGAGGGGTAGACCCCCCCCCCCCCCTCCACCGACTCGTTACTGCCATTATGTTGGTAAACATTATTTTCAAGACCTTATTCAATACGATATACTCTATCCTCGTGACAAGATCAAATTACAATTCTCATCACTCATTGGCCAAGCCCCCCCCCCCCCCCACGCATGCTACGAGATCACCAATAGGTAGAGTATGGGATTAAATAAACATGATAATAGTACGTCGAAAATATAAGCTCCTTATCTAAATGTCACAAATAAAGAAAAACTAAAACTAACACAAAACAAAACAAAGACAAAAACAAACAAGCGTAATGAGAAGGGGTAAAATAGGAATAATGTTTTGCTTACCCGTGGGATCGATTGTAATTCCATTTGGAAAGTTGAGGTTCTCAGTGACGAGGATCTCCCGCATAGTTCCTGACCTGGATGCCTTCTCGATCTTAGGAGCACTGCCCCAATCTGTCCAGTAGATGTCGCTGTGATCATGAAAGGAATCCATTTCATTGGGTTTAGTACTGATTTGATATTGAGAACCTGCGCAAATGCGATTTATATGATCTTAATCTTTAAACCGTGTTTCTCCTTCCCAAGTACCTTTGTTTAACTTGCATTACCATTTGGAGCTTTCAACCAACGAACTTTGCTTTAATAGTGTAGATTCTTTCACATTCTCTCATGCAGTTCATCATATTCTTAAATTTAGAAGTATATACAATTTATTCATTATAATATTATTTTTTATGCAAAGTACAATTTCATTATGATTATATTTCCTGTGAACAAACATATATGACAATGTGTAACGTGAAAATGAAGCTTTTTTCCAGATTTGTAACTGATGTATTGTCATGGAATACTTGATTTCGTTCAATATTAGCAAATTGTACATTATTCACATTCATGTTCATGAAAATGTAGGGCTATGTTTGAAAACTTAATAAAGAAACCAGCAAAATAAAAAACAATGACTCTCTCTCTCTCTCTCTCTCTCTCTCACTCTCTCTCTCTCTTTCTCTTTCCAGGAATTATTCACACAAGGAAGGCTACATTTGGGAGGCGACACATATAAGGAGGATATGGAAAATGTGTCGAAGGTACCGAGGGAATATAATTTCACTAATATCCGAACGGAAAAGATTAACCGGTATCATAATCGGTTACCCATTCGGGAAAATGAATGCGTTATCAATCCTTTTCTCCTCGTATAATAAGGCTAAAAAGTAGTATTTTCTATGTATTACCTTCTTCCAAAGCTTTTTTTTTAATGTACTAGTATACATCCGGATGTCTTTGTTTTTTGCTACCACTATGTATATATTCTATTAATGGTATGTTTGTTTGTTTGTTTGTTTGATTGATTTTATTTCTGCGTTCAAAAATATACAAATTCAAATTCAAAGTACAAAATTTCGAACAATAACAAATACAATGAATACAATGTTTACAAAAGTAATTAAATGAAAAATCATGTTCAATTATATCATTCGATAAACATGTACGAAGCATACAATAACATAAGAAATATGAAATATTTTCAATAAATTAGAGAGGTAATTTGGAACGCAGGAGACCGCCATCGTGAGCGGTTAGGCTGGAGATGGATGGCGGCCTCGTAAAAAGAATTGGCGACATAACTCTCTTCGAAAAACTGAGTGACCAAGAGGGTGCGGTGCAAGTGCAGGTGCAGTGAGCAGTTGCATGATAAAGAATAAATAAGTCACGGTTTTGTTATACTAATTTAGAGAGGGGGAGCGTATGATTGTATTATTTGTCGTTTAAGTGTAGCTTTTAAGGAGTAGATGGTTGAACAAGACTTTATGTTGTCGGGTAAATCATTCCAAATGTCCGGGCCAGAATGTCTAACAGATTTGTGTGTTATTGATAATTTGGGGTTTGTAAGATGGAAGTTTCCAGATATGCGAGTAGAGTATGAATGAACGGAATTATTAAACCTAAACATGTTATCAAAGGATGGTGGAAGCAGATTATTAATGTACTTAAACATAATAACTGCTACTTGAGTAGTGTTCAGATCGAAAATTTTTAGTGTTTTAAGTTTATAGAATAAAGGATCAGTGTGAGCTAAGAAATGCGAACCTGTACAAATACGTATGGCTTTCTTTTGCAGTTTGAAAATAGAATTGATTTTTGTCGAACCACAATTTGCCCATACACTATTACAATATGTTATATACGGGAGAACTAGCGAATTATATAGTAGGAATAAGGTTGCATGGGGTAGAAGAAACTTTAACTTGGAGATTATTCCAATACTTTTGGAAATGCACATTGTAACTTGGTGTAAATGATCATTCCAAGTCAAGGTTTCATCTATAAGAACACCCAAAAACTTGGAATTAGTTTTCTTCTCTAGTAGCATACCATCGATTTCAATATATATAGGTGTTTCTGTATTATGAGAATGATGTTTAAAATACATGAAATGAGTCTTTTTTGTATTAAGTGAAAGTTTATTGGATTTAAACCAATCTGATACTTTGTTAATTTCATAATTCAAAGTATTGTTTAACGAATTAAGGTCTTTATGGGAATAAAAGATATTTGTATCATCGGCAAATAAGATAAAAGAAAGAAGGGGGGATGTATTGATAATATCATTTACATAAAGAAGAAATAACAGTGGACCTAAGATGGAGCCTTGAGGAACACCGCATTGAATTAAAAGAGGATCAGAATCATAACTATTAAATGTAACATATTGTCTTCTGTTTGTTAAATAATCTTTAAACCATAAGAGTGGCTGACCCCGAATTCCGTAATGACTGAGTTTGGAGAGTAGAATAGCGTGATTGAGCGTATCAAATGCTTTACTCAAGTCACAGAATATACCTATAACATGCTCTTTGTTAGCTATGGCACTTGTAATTTTGTCATAAATTTGAATTAATGCTAAGTCAGTTGAGTAATTTTTTCTGAAGCCATATTGATTTGAATTGAGTATTTTGTGTTTAGTGATAAATTTGTGTAGCCTATTATGAACGATCTTTTCTAAGACTTTAGATATACTTGGGAGTAGGGAAATTGGACGATAGTTACTAATTTCGTGAGGATCATCTTTTTTGAGAATGGGGTTGACTTTAGCTAGTTTTAATAAATCAGGGAAAACACCTTGCGATAACGAGTGATTAAATATGTGAGTTAAAGGCTTTGCAAGTGGATACATTATTTCTTTTAGGAGAGACATACTTATTTTATCAAAACCGTGCGATTTTGAGTTGTTAAGAGATTGGGTAATGTTAATAATTTCGCTAGGATTTGTCGGATTTAAAAAGAGGGACTCTTGGTTTTGATTGGAAAGATAGTCTTTAAAGTGTGCGTGAGTTCTATTAATTTTGCTGGCGAGTTCTGGGCCGATATTCGTAAAAAATGAATTAAATGAATTTGCATGAAGACTAGGATCATGTATTTTAGTGCCATTTAATGTGATATTATCCGTGGGTGGGGGATTCGTTTTTTTTCCCATTACCTCTTTGATAATTTTCCAAGTTGCAGTTGTGTTTGAACTGGCCTTTTTTATTTTATTAGAAAAATGCAATCTACGGGATGTACGGATAAGTTTTGTTAATTTGTTTCGATAAATTTTATATGTGTTTAGGTTAGTGTCAGTTGGATTGTGTAAATGTAATTTGTAGAGGCGATTGCGTGTTTGTATTGATTTCAATAAACCTTTAGTTATCCAAGGATTCCTGGGTTTATTTCGCTTATTACTCATTTTGCCTAAAGGAATATTCTTTTCATAATAATATTGCAATTTGTTACTAAAATGTTTATATGCAGTATTGACATCATTTACACTATATACCTCAGTCCATCCCTCGAAAAATAAATCCTGTTTCAGCAATTCTATATTACGTTTGGATTCTTTGCGATATATAAGCTCATCAAATGATTTACGGCCAGATAGTTTGCATTCACAAGTTAAAAATATGGGTAGGTGATCCGACACTTCAGAACACAATATTCCACCGATGGTTTTGTTGTTATGTACGTTTGAAAAAATATTGTCAATCTGAGTTGATGAATGTGGATTTATTCTGGTGGGTTTATTAATAATCGAAAAAAAGCCGTATGAATGCATCAACTGCATACAATTGGTTGAGTTACTGTTATCAGATGAGGGTGAGAAGTTGATATTAAAGTCACCAAGGATAAAATTGTGTTTATTTTCATCCCCTATTTTATGAAGATAAAAATCCAGTTCGTCACAGAATAAATCACAATTAGAATCAGGGGGTCTATAAATCAAACCTATGATGACGTTTTTGGCATTTGAGTTATTAATTTCGATAAATAAAGATTCAGCTTGTGTTAGTTTAATATCTGAACGGATTTTGAAGTTTATGTTTTGTGTAATATAAAACGCAACACCGCCACCTCTTCTTCCTTTGCGGTCCGCCCTAATCAACTTATAATTAGGCAAATTGAACATATCTGGAGAATTCTGATGTAACCAAGTCTCACTTATTCCAATGACGGAAAATGCAAAATTATTTAAAGAGTGTAAAAGGTTTTCAACGTATTCGAAATTTTTGTTCAGACTTCTGGAGTTTATATGTAAAAGTGAAATATTGTCTGGTTTGTAAGAAAATGAATTTTTGAATTCTTGGGGTGTGTAGTATTTGCTCTCGTTTATATCGTCGACAAGAATATCGGGAGTGTGCGCGTGCGAATTCATTTAACGATACGTATTATGTAAAGTACCGAAAATTTGGAGGATGAACAACTGCATGTGTGATGCTGGTGCGTTTGTGTGTGTACGAAGTGCAAGTGTGCGGGTAACTTCAAAATATAACACAAATAAAAATACAATAAGACCCATCTTGGTCACAGTTACAATAATTGCTTAGGAGCAACAGAGCGGTCATCATGTTAAACCTCTCATTTAATTTTCGTTAACAAATCATTTTAACACGACTTTTCCTTTCCGTCTTTTAATTTTATGATCAGTAACATAATATTGTACATACAATTCATACGATAAGTTATCAGTAATCACATGATAGATATAAGCTTCTTGTTTTCTGACGTTATCCTCGTCAACCGATTTCGGTGCTAACAGCATTCAGGAAATTTCTTCATGCTTGGAACCCATTAAAAACCTTGGTGGAGAGCGGCAAATGTAGTGATAAAAGAATACTCGATCGGACAATACATCTGTAATTGTTCTAAAATGCCCTCAAATACCCTCGACATTATGACTGAATGCGTAGCTTCCATTTATGTGGGTAGTGATGTGCTTGATTGAGCATGAGTTATTTTGTTTTGATCTTTTCCAAGTTAATAGAAGTATTAATAACAAATTTTGGACTTTACCCTCTCCGGAGGGTGTTTCACAAAACTTGTCATCAGTGACAAATGACAGTTTTTGTTATACGCTAGTGAAATCCATGCTTCTGATTGGTTATCAGCAGATTTTTCATTGAAAAAAGGCTTTGTGAAACGCCCCTTGGTGTTTTTAAATCTTATCACTCGTATTTTACAGTAGGGATTAGCCTGCTTAGGTGATTACTGTATATCATGATAATTATAACAGCAATAACAATAATTATGATAATAATGATAATAGTAACAATAATAATAATATTAATAATAATATTAAGAAGAAGAAGGAGGAGCAGAAGGAACAGAACGACGAAGAGGAGGAGGAGAAGAAGAAGAAGAAATAGAAGAAACAAAAAATGATAATGATAATAATAGCCATGATAATAATAATAATCACAATAACGATAATAATACTAATTATAATGATATTCATCACAATAAGAAAAAAATCTCGGGTAGATGAAACCTAATAAATACACCACTTGTGACCAGTAGGTGACCCGCTTAGTTTGGGAGTCGGACGTAAGTACAATTATTATTCTTGATCAATAGACCGTTTAATTCCTATAAATTACTCGAATTCCATTGATATAAGTTTGTGCCTTTTAAATCCACGTGTTTAGCAGTATATGTCGTCACACAAAAACAAACCAATAACAGATGAGTCATCTTATTAACTTCAACCTCAGAATAGAATCATTTAATATTGAGATATCAAGTCGAACATGTAAATAAAGTATTATTCTGATAAACACCATTCATGATAGACGAACTATGATTATGATTCATAATCATTGTTTGTTTATAATCATAAATCAAGCTATAATCCTATATATTTATGATCACAAAACACCCAGGCCAAGCCTTATGAAATGGGAGAGAAAATGAATGTCAAACTAGAAATGGCTAAGAATTTCTTTGGAAATTTGAGTATGAAAATATGAAGTACTTGGTAGAGAGGTGGTTCCAGGATTTTTTTTTAATAGAGGGGTCTTTCATGGAGACACGATTTCGAGAAACCCACTTGCCCTCCAAAGACTTGGTCAGGGAAGGGGAAATGAGTTATCAAAACAAAAATGCCTATGTAATATTCGCCCGTTTTCTTATTGCCTGTTTTTTTTCGGCAACTACCCAACCCCTCCTCTTATCAGAATTTGAGGAGGACTGATTTTGCCCTCTCATCGTTTGGACCCCCCCCCCCCCCTTGTGAGGCATTATCTATTTTGTTCTCTTTGAAGAATCCATCAACACCACTTATGAATACATGAAAACCGAAGTCGTTAATTTTAATCTGAAATATCAAAATAGTCAGTTGAATAAAAAACTATCCACTTTGTATTTTTCTTCGTAATATTATACCACACAGAACAGGAAAACAAACGATTTTCATTATTCTCGCGTGATAATTGTACACGCCTCGGTAAATACTCTATATCAATATCAAATTATTCATACATCTGGCACAGCTCCATATTCATTAGGTCGCTTGTCGATTATAAAGCACAACCAGATGGTGTGGTAACGAGAAAATTGGAAAATGCATTTTTCAATCATAGAAATAACTTGGGAAGGTTAACTCGAACTATTGTGCATGATACTCTCAGCTCAACGTGCATTCAAGATTTCAGAACCGTCGTGAATTTGATCAGAGTGGTAACTTTCAAAATAATTCTCAGTTAAGGTGTATTGCTGAATTGCTATAAGCCACGATTACAAATCGAGCGCACGTAATCATCCAACTTACATGTAAATGTTTTCCTTTACTTATTTGTCAGCCTTCATCTGCTATTTAAGTTTAATATAATATTTTATATACATTGTTGTCCATACAAAAGAAATAATTTTTTCTTACTTCTTTTCATGAAACGACTGTGAGAATATAAATTATTTTTGATAAAGTATAGTTATATGCGCAAAACTCTTTGAAATTGAGGGATAAAGTTCTGAGGGGACATAAACATTTTCTATTAAGAATACAGCATACTGTAACAACCATGGCATGAAAAGGGTAAGTAAATTCATTCCAACTTCATGGGCAAGTTTATGACAAACACACTTAAATAACGTTTAATATTTATTTACCTGAACCTGCTCACGATTGAGGTTATACCAAACGCAACCGAAATATTTCAATCTATCATTTCCTTTGGTGAACTCTTATCTCTCAAGTACCGAGTTGCAATTGCAAATAAGTTCTGTGACAAAAAACAAAAAAAAACAAAAAAAAATAGTCTCTATGTGTGACCTTTTGGTATACTCTGACAAGCAAGCAAAAATGGGCATCGGCCCATACTTCTTTTTTTGTGTGTGGGGGGGGGGGGGCGTTCCCCTTCCCTGGATCCACTAGCGGACAAAACTAATTGATCAAAGAACGAGTATTGGACAGACGTGGTAAAGCTGATTGAGGTCTTTGCGTAGTCCTGGTCATCCTGGTGGATGTCCTTCTCTTGAAAACCCCTGCCACCGAACATTCTCCTTGTCCTCTTAGCGTCGGTGCCTCAAGTCGACCTACACCCGGCTCATAGTTCGCCGACATCCAGTCCGTCGGTGTGAACGTGTACCCATCAAGGTCATCGACTTCCGAATCGTCCGATGTTAGCTTTCTCATCTCAGCTCGGATGTCCTTGAGGTGTTCGGTCACTGTTTCCTTGACGGCAAGGATGTCGGATGGGTTCCCCGTCTTCAGGAGCTCGTTGGCGTAGCCTTCCAGCTTCTCCGCCCGGCAGCGGAGTCGTCGGATCCCTGATAGGACAGCGGCGACCTTGCGACTGGATACCTTCTCGATGTCGAGGATACGTGCGTTGAGATCAACTCGCTTGGCCTCGATCTTGGCGTAAATAGAGGCTACTTCGTTTTGAGCTGACTCGTTGATCTTCGCTTTGAGTTCTTGAGCTTTGTCCGCGCTATTCTTTAGACGTTGCTTGTAGGAGTTCGCGACGCGATCAAAGTGATTCGGATCAATTTTGCTGAGTAACTGCTTCAACTCCCCTGCCAATTTTCCTTCGACATCGACAATGCTGACACACTCATGGTCGTTGAGTTTGGGGTGTTCTTCTAAAGCACACTGTGGACACACCGGTTGGTGGCATGGGCGACAGAACTTGGTGAGTGGTGAACCGTGTTTCTCGCATCTTCTCTCCAATACCCCGACCTCACGCACATCGTCCCCTTCATCTACGGGCACGCCATTCTGAAAGTCGAGGACACCTATGATACGATGACTCCTCGTCATCTTCAGAAGCTCATGAGCCTTCACGCAAGTGTCGCAGATGAGCATCTCACAGTCGACGCAGTAGGACTTGGCCAAGCATATGACACCGAGCTCTTTGCAGGAGCCACACTGGCAGCCGCTATCTTGAATCTTAGTCTCGATTCTCGCCCGAACCTTTGCCTCGTTGACTCGTCTGGTCGCCTTCAGGTTCGGCAACAAGGAATCGATTCCTCTAGGTACGCTGGTGACCTCACGGCAAAGTGGACAGGAGACCTTCAGGTTGCGGACGCAGTGTTCCAGGCAACGGGTACAGAAAGAATGAAAGCACTTGAGGTACTTGGCGTTGGTGAGTTTGTCCATGCAGACGGCACAGTTCACTTCATCCCGCTCTTTCTCCGAAACGTCAGCCATCTTCAAGACTCTTTATACGACTTCCTCAAGAATTTGATTCACTTGAATCATGTGCAGTTCCGTCGAGACTGGTGTACAACTGTTCGGAGGTAGGCTGTTCAATCTGTTACTTGTAAGATGTCAACCCATATAGATAGTCTGAGGTACAGTACATTATGTGGCGATTCTCGATATCTCCCCGCTGCTGAATATAAGTGTTCAATCTTTAAAATCAGTTATCTTATTGAAAATATCTAAACCAACCCGTATGCTGGTAGTTGAATAAATTATCATTTCAAGTTATGACACGCACCAAAAACAGAGTACCGTCAAACACAGTGAAACAATACGAAATGGGCTGGTGACTGTATTTCCACGCTCTGCTCAATACTGAAATAATAGATTTGCGCTTTACGGTCACACCCATTTCATACCAGTTTGCATTATATCACATGTGCATAATTAACAATTACTAAATCAATAACCATAGTGTTTTATCTTTCTTCTCTGATTTAGCATTTTATACCGCCTACCATATGTCAATCAAGGCTGTTTTGTTTACGACTGTTTCTAGCCTTGCTGCAAGATAACTTAGGTATATATTCCTGGCGTAGGCCTTCATTTCAAACTGTACCAATACTAACGGCCATAAGAAAAATACTATTAGGGGAAAGGGGTGCTGCTATATGATTGAATAGATAACAATGCAACATTACACGGGACAGTTGCTATGTTATGTAAAGCATTCAAGGAATGACAAAAAATTAATATTTGTATCAGTTACATGAGTAATATAAGATATACTCCTACATGTACATGTATATAACGAGCTGGTCTGATTTTTTCCAGGGACATTATTATGTATAGAATGTTTTCCGTCTGCCTGAAATTCATTGTATATGTTTTATATATAATATCTATCAGTATATTATACTGATAGAATGATAATTATAATTAAGGATGAGATCAGTTTGAAAAGTGATAGGGCAACTCTGGTCGATAAAATCAGAAGTAAACAATATATTACACAAACCGGTGCATACCTTTTTTTCGTATTGTCAGATGCCTTTGGTCTTGACACCACAGAATGCCCTTTAAAGCCCCACTGTCCTACTTGTAGCTACTTGCTCCCTCTATAAAGAAAACTTCCCCAATCGGTGCCTGTTGGTCCCCCATGATCCTCTTTTTCTTATGGTAGTTGAGAGCTGAGTTAATGAGATAGCCACCTGTCAGTGACCTGGCTGAGTGGTCTAATCCCTTCTGGCCCAGTAGTATTGACGGTCTTTAAATATATGCGGAAGTTATTATATGTTTGAAGTCAATATACTCTGACTTAAGAATACCCCTTTAATTATATTTTCTAGTGTGAATGTATGCACATCTTCTCTCTTAAAGCACAGCAAACACTGAGAGCGAAATAATGGTTTAGGAAAATGTTTCATTCATGAAGCGACTTGACGGAGAATACTTCAAAAACATATCTGAAATGCAAACATATCAATTACGTGAACGCTATGTCATTCAGCGGTTGGATGCAATTGGATTCGCCCCACTGGTTCTCTATTGAAATGGAAAAATTGCTTCAACCAAAATAAGGTCACAACTTCATGCATATACCCAGCCTGTCGCGTCCACACTACCTCATAATTCCATATAGGTATTGTTTGCATATTTTTACTTACCACATACATTTGAGTACACAATTTTTGCTTGAATGATTGTTAATGCTCTCCAATGCCACTTCATGCATTAAACAAACTACTCCAAAACACTTGATAGGTAATCGACTAGCCACTAGTGCCTCTCGAACACACTTTGAATCAAATCAGCTGTTATACACATACTATGTTTTGATGATTTGCGGCGGGGCATTTTAAATAACTTCTACTTAATGTGAATAAGCAACATTAATTGGTATAAATTCAATAACAATAAATATGAAGATGGTTCTTACATACGGTAGGGGCGGATCTAGAATTCTATTCAAGAGGGGGTGGGGGATTTCCGAATAGTAGTACAAGTGATGATGGTGATGATGATGATGATGATAAATCAGGATCCTTCAATGTCAAAATTTGAAAGGAGTACAAGAACAATATTGTAAGGCACATTTCTCTCTCTCTCTCGCTCTCTCTCTCTCTCTCCCTCTCTCTCTCTCTCTCTCTCTCTCTCTCTCTCTCTCTGTACATAGGGTATGTCTTTTAAAAGGGCACTTCAACTATTCGGATGAAATGACGCTTTCATATGAGTACGTGAGCACAATTATAGATGATTAACAAAGTGAAAGGGCAGTCCTACCCTTGTAATAAGTTCATTTATATGGAAGCGGAAAAATAAGATAAACAGAATGGCGAAATAAATCGGAGCAATATAATAAGAAAGTTATAAAAGTTTGAAATATGAGATCATTAGGTCTATGCGAATATCAAATTGGCAGTTTGGTCAGTGGATTGTGACGAAGTCGTGGAAAACCGCTCTCCCGTTTGTCCTGTACAAACATAATTTTTATCATGAATCAATGTTTTCTTCTAATTACCTGCTCCCTTCGAGTACTGCTCCAAAAATAGTATGGATAGCATATTATTATTGGTCTTTTAAAGTTTAAACAGAAAAGACCATCCTCAGTTACACATTTTTGTAAGAAAATAAATTGAAATTTTAGTCATTTCGTTTGTAGGGACAAATATAAATCGTCCGGCACTACGTAAGAGGGACATTACCAATTCAGACAATTTAAAGAGCTCATACTTATAGTGATTTCTACTTTAAAAAATTCACAACTTTTCATTTTTTGTCCGTATTTATTCATACTTTCACCAGTCTACTTCTCTGATTGTTCTGCTTTCATCCAGAGTAGTTTGATATCAATGTCGAATTTCAGATCATAATTATACATCCCAAAGATGGTCCTAAATCATAGAATAAACCCGGTTCGATCAAATTAAAATGTCTTCCCTAAACCATGAGCACGGACCCATGGCATAATTCCCTGCTTCATGCACTCACCCTGTCTGGATGTCCACTGTTATTCCTCTAGGCTCGTTCAAGCTGTTTTGTATGATCGTCTGTCGTCCACTCCCGTCCAAATTGGCAACTTCAATGACGTCACGATCTTCATCCGTCCAATAGATTCGCCTCCTTGCCGTGTCAATAGCAATACCAACATGGACTGGTAGAAGCGGTGGGAAATGATAGCAATTAGAAAATGTAGTAATTACAACTTGTGACATTCATTTGGTATATATAAAATGATAATGGGTCTACTCTCAAAACAAATGTTTTATTTTTGTTCTTTACCCTTGTCTGATTGTTCTGCTTCTTTTGTAAGTAAATTGTTTTTTGAGTGGACTTGCCCTTTAATGACAGATTTTATTCAATCATTCATAAACATAAGCGCCTCAATGAAATTACATGGAACAAATGCATGTTCTGACATAGGCCGACGTCGGTAATTAAAGCCAGCATTGTACACAGTTGTACAAACTATTCAAGTTATTACTTTCTACATTTTTATTTTAATCATTCTACAATTTATCTTTATGGTCTGATCAACTCCAATCCATTTTAGTTACAAAACGGATTAAAAATATATATCGTTTGATCATTATCAATTAACATCAGTGACGCATGGAAATATCATACCTTCACATTTCTAACTATGTTTCTACTTTCTTCATTTCCTATTCTACCATCGGTTCAGCATAGGAAATCATTTGATTGCACAGAAACGTTTGCTTTTGGTCAGCTACATGCTATACAAGGAAATAAAAGAAAAATAAATCAAAAAGATAAATGCAATCGGCCTACCATTGTTATCAAAGACGATTGTCTGTTTGAAGCTACCATCAAGTGCTGCCTTTGTGATGCTCCCATACGTCAGATCCGTCCAATAAACGTGTTTGAGCACGGGGTCATAGGTCAGCGCGATCGGATACTCCAGATCATCTAGGGGCAGTGCCCTTACGCCTTCATCCGTGGTGCCGCCTAACCCCGTGTCACCGTCGGGGGCGTCCACCACGATTGGAACTTGGAAGATTTTCTTCAGGGCGCTGTCAACCACTAGCACGAAGTCGTCTTCGTAAGGAGCTTTACAAAGAAATGAGAAAAACTTTTTTTTCACAGTTCTATGTGCGTTACAGTGAGATGGACCTACAACTTGATTGAAAATTGAGGACGATAAAATAACAGATTATTTCTGAAACCAGTGGTCTCTTGTACAAAGTCCTCAAAATTACAAACACATTATTTCCACAATATAGAATCAAGTATTAGTTTCGAATTGTTTTATTTCATTTTAAAGTTGTGTTTAATCGTAGCTACACCTTTATGCCAGAACATTTGGATCTTCAATAGCAAAACTTTGTTATGTAATTTTTTTAAGTGGTTGAATATAGCTCTCTGTATCATCAAATATCTATATGATGGTTAAGCGTAGACAATTGCATGAAAACTAGTAGTTTTGTAATGTGACTTTGAGGAAAAGAAAACGACGGAATAACAACGTCTTTGAAGGTTCACTTTAATTTGTAATTGTGTATATTTTATCGGTTCTACTTTGAAACGCTTGCGATCGAACCACAACGCAAGTACATGTTACTCTTGATAATATTCATAAAACAGTTTCCATCGACTACAGATACTGTTGACCAATCGTATCACACAACTTCACTTATCCCTATTAACCAATCATGATCCGCTTTTCACTGGCACAAATGCAGCCTTTGCCCTGATTGGTTGATAGTGGGGCAGTGTGATTGAATTTAACTTCTGATTGGTCGAAGCTCGGAGTAGCACGTCCTCCCCTCAACTTACTCGATTCGCATGTCACGCCATTGAGTGTGTAGCCTGAAGAACAACCGCACGAGAAAGCCGCGTTAGCGAGCGGGTAGCAAAGCTCCTCGCATCCGCCACTGTTGGTAGTGCATGGACCTGTAATTAAAAAGAGAATAATTCATTTTTTATTTATTTCGTTTCTGTTTCAGAAATTAGAGATAATGCTATTTTTTAATCAATTGTGTTTTTTTCCATTCTGATTTTCTTCGTCTACCTTTTGCTTCTGCTCCAATATCTCTTTCTTCTCCCTCTGGCGATTACAACTTTTTTTCTTCTCATTTTTCCTTTCTACTCCTCCTTCTTTTTCCGCTTCTCCTTCTCCTCCTAATGCTCCCCTTCTTCTTCGTCGTTTTCATCATCTTCTTTTTCGTTTTCTTCCCTTTCTTTCTCTTACTGATTGTGAAAAGAAACAGCCCGATATCGTTCGTATTCTTTTTAAAGGGCAATAAAACATTCAATGGTTTGGACAGATTTTGAATTATCTTAATTAAATTCTAAAATACTAACTTGATACGAGGGGTTGTGTGTCTTCGTCATTGGCTGTGATACCGAGTGCGAACGTGTTGTGATCAATGATCTCGAAGTCGACGGCCTGGTTGATCTCGCTGACATTAGCAATGGTTGTGATATGGCCACCAGCCTCTCCCGATGTCCAGCTCGTCACAAATAGATGGTCCTACGAATACAAAACATGAACAAAACATCATGTTTTTGTGTTCATGCATTTTTTTGCGTAGGCTTGCTTTGCTTTTGTTTGAATCACAATGGCTCACCATACGATTTGCGATCTCAATTTTTGTAACAGAATATTATATACTAAACAGTAGTATGGACAGCGGGTGGAATTGAAATCAAACTAATTAAAACCAGAGAAATTCCAAAGTGAATAGGTCGATTTGGTAAAACATAAACGTAAAATCTAAATGGCTAAGGCAAGGACACTGGAAAAATTAAATGCAATGAGATATTTTTTAATCGAAAATCTAGGCATAGAGCTTTGCGTGAAATTGTTCAAATATAGATGCAATTTTGATAAGTAAACTTTAAAATACTTTATTTTTTGGAGCCAATTCGAAATCGAGTCTTTTTGTTAATGTACAAACATTGGTGTTGACAACTACAATAAAATGTACCTCTTCGTTTTCCCTTGAGTACTTAACAATGTTATCTTTTCTCTTGACATGCAGGTGGTTGCTAAGTGTATTAAAGAAACAGTGTTTACTTGTTTTCATATGATATAAATCAGATCAATTGCCACTTTTATTCTTTAAATGTTTTTTGTTGTAATATTGAAGACTTGACGTTATCTAAGCGCGAATGCAACATTGTCAGAACGAGGATTTATCAACTCGTAGTCAGGGGGGGGGGGGGGGGGGTAATTATTTGATAAATGTATGTGTTTCGTACCTTAACGAGCACCATGTCGAAGAAATCACCCCCAAATTGATAATGAATGAGCTGTCTATTTCCGCCGTTGAAATCCACTGAGGCGACGTTATCACTTCCGCGGTCTGCGAAATAAATACTGAAAATGGAAAGAAGAAAAAGTGATTATATAAAATGTTGTAACAAAGTAATTTCCATGAGGAGAGGATCGAGGATAGGATTGAGCAAATACGCTAAATAACAGGGGAATAAAGATATGGAAGTTGTGGTGTAGCTCGGGAATATACCCACTCCCCCCCCCCCCTCCCCCCCCCCCCCCCTCCTCTTCATGGTGACACAAAATAGATTTTTTTTTTTTTTTTTTTTTTTTTTAAAGGTAGACAGAGAAAGAAACGATTAGGGAAATATGTTATCACTTTTCTGCTCCCTCTGACAATGCCAGACAGAGCTCATCTAGAGAGATTGCTCTGATAAGATATAGAAGAGTGCGCCCTCAATAATGCACTGAGCTACAAATCCCAAACTAAGAACTTGCCCAGTTTGTATACATCTTCCGAAAAAAATTCCACCGGAGCTAGGCGATATCCTTTACATAATAGGGACTTTTAGATTCTGCACGACGAGAACGTGGACTGCCCTTTTAAGGCAATGTGACGTCCTTTTAAGGCACTGGCAGTGACGTCACATTGCCTTAAAAGGGCAGTCCACGTTCTCGTCGTGCAGAATCTAAAAGTCCCTAATATAATAAGTCGGAGCACCAACTACTCACATGCTATTTTGGAGGTCGATGGCGAGTCCGTTAGGGAACTGAACGTTCGCATCGACGATCGTCGTCCGATCCGTCCCGTCTAGATTAGCTCGTTCGATGCTTGGCAGTCCGCCATAATCAGCCCAGAACATTAATCTGTGTCGTGAAAGAAATCAGGATGACACATAATGAACACGAAAACTGTGGTAATGAAAAATTATTCATCAACATTTTTAATCGAATAGCTAAAAACATTTTGCAGAGATGAATCTTCATTCGCCAAATGTTGAGTGGTCCGTTCACAAATCATGAAACAAAAATTTGTTAATCTAGACCAACTCTTGCTGGACTTGTACATCTCATTAATTAAGGAAGGTAAACATTAAATGAAATTTCGTATCAATAAAAGGTATTACTAGTTGATACAACATGATATTTTAAGTTTAAAGATTATTATTGTGTAAGGTAATTTAGTTCTTATTCATTATACATCATGCGTTCGGCGCCTTAGATCTTGAAAGTCTGTTCAGAAACTCATGCAAATATGTTTGCGTTTTATTCAAATTTGCCAAGCGTGTTATCTTTTAAAATATCCCCAACATGCAAGCAAGCAAGCAGCAAGAAATAAAATACAACTTTGAAGAAGAAAAAACACACACTTGGTTTCACCCTAAACTCTTTTATCGGCCTTTCATTTACTATTCAAGAAATCTAGTCTCTCTCTCTCTCTCTCTCTCTCTCTCTCTCTCTCTTTCTCCCCTCTCTATCTCTCCCCTCTCTATCTCTCTCTCTCTCCCTCTATCTCTCTTCCTTGGACCCTCTCTCTCTTTCTCTCTCTCTCTCTCTCTCTCTCTCTCTCACACACACACACACACTCTCTCTCTCTCTCTATCCCTCTCCCTCTCCTCCCCCTCCTCCTAACGCCACCACCCCTTCTCCCCCATATCTCCGATGCCATTCACTTACCCCTGTTCAGGATGTAGCGCAATACTCCTGGGTTTGCCCACGTCATCTTGTATGAGTACAGCTCTCATCGAACCGTCGTACTTCGACACAGCAATCTGGCGGAACGATTGGTCGGCTGTGTAGAGGTTCCTGGCCACCCAGTCAACTGCCATGTCTAGAGGAAATGAAATGGCCATCATAGAGAAATGTATATGTTATTGTCATTTTTTTTCATTTTTTTTTAGTTTGCCAAATGAACAACTGAATGAAACAAGAATCGTATGAGAGGGGTGCAGCCCCGCCCCCGTCGTTTTATTCGGAAAATGAGGTGCTAGAATAAAGTGATTTTACATCATACCAGGAAGCTGTCATACCAACTGTTTAGGATGACGAAAAAACATTGTTACCCTAAAAAATGTTTTTGTCCGAATGAACGTAATTATTTACGATTAAACTAATTATGTTCGCGTGACTAAAATATGGGATGGAAAGATGGGAAGGGAGGGGAAGATAGGGAGAGATGGGAGAGAGTGAGAGACGAAAGAGTGGAAGGGTAATGGAGGGAGGTAGATAAGAAGTGGAAGTTTGGAAGGGTGGATGGGAGGGGTTGGAGAGAGAGGTGAGGAAGGATGAAGAATTGGAGAGGAGCTATAAATGAAAGAGAGGAAACGGAAGCGAAAGGGATGGGGTGGTGGGATAAAGGAAGATGGATTGCAGAAAAGAAGGAGAGATGAATAGAGGGAGGAAGGAAACGAGGGCATGACAGGACAGGGAGGGAAGAAAGGCGGGGATGGAGTGAGAAAGGGGTGATTGAAATGGAGGAGAGTAGAGGGGGAGGGGCGTAATAGAAAGAGAGGACATGGGAGGTGGGGGAAGGGAGGAATTTAGCGAGAGTGTGATGGTGAGGTAGTGGGAGGGACGGATGTATTGGGAACAGGCAATGCCAGAATTGAGACATTATCTTTCCATTACTATTGCAATAATTATTTATCTTCACTATGAACATGACGGACACAGGAAGAGGAAAAAATATACAGTTCCTCATTCTACCCTCAACAATTGCTGTGGTAGATAAAGGAACATCCCTTCACTGCTATTATGTAAAAATGTGTAAAACAGGTGAATATGCATGTGACACCTGTTTTACACATCTTTACATAATAGCAGTGAAGGGATGTTCCTTTGTCCCACAGCAATTGTTGAGGGTAGAATGCACTATAAATATGACTGACAAAGAAAGCGGACAAAATATACAGTTCCTCAGGTAGACAAAGAAACATCCCTTCACTGCTATTATGTAAAAATGTGTAGAACAGGTGTCACGTGCATATTCACCTGTTCTACACATTTTTACATAATAGCAGTGAAGGGATGTTCCTTTGTCTACCTGAGGAACTGTATATTTTGTCCGCTATCTTTGTCAGTCATGTTCATAGTGATGGAGAACTGTGTATTTTGTCCTCTTGCTTTGTCCGTCATGTTCTTATAGCTACCTTCTACGCTCCCGAATCCATACAGTATCCTGTCCCCTTTCCCAGCGGGTAACGTCTCCGTGTCATACGATCGTATCTCCAACGTACCGATGTCTGAATAAAAGAGAATGTTCTCTCTTCTATCTGTAGCCACCGCAACCCCGTAATTGAGATTCGTTATGAAGCAATCTGTTTAGAGAAGGGTCAAACCCTGAGATGTTAGTACATTAAAGATTGAATAATGTTTGTATGCCTCGCAAACACGGTCGCAAAGGCTTTCGAAAAATAAACCTAAGACAATTTGAATAGCGTCGTACATCAACTTTTGATACGAACATTACAAAGTCTTTATTACGTAATCCAAAATGACACTATGGGACATACATTGAGTATTGAACACGCCCCTGTGTTGATTTTCTCGAAAGTCTTTGTGATCGTATCTTTTCATTAATGTTGTTGTGCTCATGACACACAACACAAATAATTATTGACATAAAATCCTGACTTTATATAGAATCGTCAATAAATTAACGAAACTGAACGTAGACCATTTTAGAAGCAAAGTAGAAAACGCAAACCATATCATCTTAGAAATACAATGATCAATGCAGGTACAGTGTATCATAAGAATCAAATCAGAACAAAGATAAGGGTTTGTTGTCTATGATAATAATACCCATGCCCCTGTCTCGACGACCCACCTCATGATTATGCCTCTGATTATAAAGACAGATACTTTTGTTTGTATTATCTTAAAAACATGTTTTTTATTTCAAAAATTTAATTAGTTTTGTAATGGTAAACTTAATATAATTCAAAGTACAAACAACATAATATATCTTAAATCACTTACTTTGATTGGTTAAGCCTCCGGTCGCTGTTTGGTCGACTTCGAAAGAGCAAATGCTGTTCACTCGAGCCTCGTATATCAACCCATCTAAGAAAAAAAGGACAAATATTGTGATAATAACTCCCCTTTTTTCTTTCTCTTGTTATTAATGTTGTCATGTGCTTTTACATAACTCATAGACGGTAGGTGTAATTGTCAGTGATCGTACGGAGAGTACATTTTGTTTCATCGCAACACCCCCCCCCCCCTCCCTAAGCCCTCTTATCCGGGCTATTGTGTCATACTTATTTCCTGGTAAATGCAGGGATGGGTTTGTATACAGGTATTTCTTTTTTAATACAAAAGTTATGGAAGTAGATCACTGAAAGCGTTGAATCAGAAGGAAATGAAAAGATGTCTCAGTAATCATTATTCTGTTATGAAATAATTGCTTATTTAAATGTGTTTGTTTAAACAAAACTTTCATAATTTCCTTTTGGTTCGGAGTGTCCACTAAACATTATTTTGTATTGGTTACGCAATTGGCAAGAGAGTGAGGGAGAGAGAGAGAGAGAGAGGGGGAAGAATGAGAGAAACAGAAAGAGAGGAAGAGACAGACAGACAGACAGACAGAGAGAGAGAGAGAGAGGGGGAAAAGAGAGATAGAGAGTGATCGACAGGAAAGAAGGGAAAGCTTATTACACACGCATTTGGGGGGGGGGGGGTGGGAAATAGGCTGAAATCATAGTAAAGTAATTAATTCCATTCGACAGAATTGTATTAGTAATATTTTCATTTTGTTGCTTTTAAGCTATTGAACATGTTGAAAAATTATACTAAGTTAGAGTACCACCCGTGCGCTTAGAAACGCCTGTATTAAGCGCCCTATAAATGTAATTGTTATTATTATTAATATTAATGCAATGTTTCTACTAATGACTGTGAGGTTACACCTTTAACATGACACAATTTTTTTCTTGCTTAACTGATTACTGAATTTAAACCGACAGGCCTATTTTTGGCCTATACCATATCGTGTGTCAATTCCATGATATATTGCTCTAAGACAGTGTCTCGTTGCGTTTCACCAAAATACAAGAGACCATCCGCCTGTCCGCTCATAACATGTTGAGAATGGATATTAAGTGTACCAAGATTTCGCTTCACTTACCGCTTGTTACTCACGATTATGATTCATGTTTCTAGATGTGCAAAACCACTTACTTACCAGACTTCAAGACAGCGTAGAGAACAAGGATCATAATGATCATCATCTGGTGGGCCCCCATTTTCCTTCCTCTTTTCATTTCCAGATTCCTTAAAGGGTAGAGTTCATTCACACGGAGTTTGATTCAAGACGTCCGTGTGCTCTATCTTTTGCTGCTTGTTGTTTAGCGTTTCCTATGTGGCGTTCCGCATGTAATACATGAATGCTGTGTTCGGACGTCTTCTAAGACTACCAAATCCTCATACAAAGCAATGCAGTAAATAGTGAAAAAGTTAATGATCCACAATAAGCTCAGGATTTCCGTAATTATTATCGGATGTTGTAGTACTGTTTCGGTGAATCGGTGACGTTTTTAATTTAAGTACTTGAAGTAAATATGTTGAGTTGTAACTATAAGACTGCTTTAGCGTTGATGTTGTTCTTCTTGTCGTCGTCGCTGTCGTCGATGTTGTTTATTCGTGTTCTAATTGTTCCTCCGATATTATAAAGGTTCAGTTTGAAATGAGAAGTTTTAGATGACTTGATAAAAATCGTTGAGATATGGCTTCATGTGATGACTCAGCAATATCTCCGCAATATATCTGCGTCTTCATTCAAAATGTCAACAAACTCATCCAATATTTGAAATAGTCACTTTCCAAGTCGATAAATACGTTCCATGGCGACTTGTAAACAAAAGCAACAAATTTCAACGATGTATATCCATGATTGAAAAGTTAACTTTCATCACAAACTTTGTAGCCAGTGAGTTCTTGAAAGTTAAGATCATTTACTCTTCGAAATTAGACAATCCGCGTTTGGGGCAATATACCACAACATTAATCACGCACTGTTACTTGAAGATTGTAGGTTCTGCTTCGGCTTCTCTAATTCTGACGTAGCACTGAAAGCATTGTGACGTATGCCGAAAGCATTTTATTTCCTCCTTCTAATTCTCTGCGTCACGTCTGGACTTAACCGTTTCAATTCCACAACCTTTCTTAGTAAGGAATCCTCAGAATAACTCCATCATGCATGGGCGAATACATAATGAGAGTTATAAAATAGACCATCTCCGCCTATCAACCACATCAAGTTATAAGAAAATTTGTGTTTGAACCCGGAAATAAAGTCTGGAGGAGAGACGCAAAAACCCAACCTTTTGAAAAGTTACGTAATAATAGGCTCATCTTGTCTTTTGAGTAGGAATTAACTGGAGGAAAGCGGTGTTGGTGTTAAGCGGTCTGCGCTGGCTGAGCACTGGTTGACAGATAGTCCTTGGTGGGTGGAGGAACAATAGATATCTTGGTGTGATGATTGTTTGGGATTATTTCCATTTGAGGACACCATAGGCTCTCTGGCCTCGTCTTTTGTGATTGGGAATCATTCACGCATTTGTGAATTTGGGTGAGTGGTTTTACTTGTTACTTTCTTTTCTTTTCTTTTCTTTTCTTTTGTTTTGTTGGGCGGGGGAGGGGGGTGGGCTGGGTTGGTCCCATCGAAATAAACCTTATAAAAACAACCAAACTATAGGATCTACCTGGCCCTAGGCCTACTATTCAACATCACTAATATTATAAAGAAATTTCAGCGATAGAAGGATTATGATTCAAAATAAATCTTAATTGTCTGCTTTGTTCATTTATGAATGGAGTTTCAGACAGATTTAAATATATATATATTAAAGGTTATTTCTAAGGACCCTTTCTGCTCCTTTTGTAGATAATTATGAAGTGTCGAATCGATAGTTTCCCAGCTAACACAAAAACATAAGAACATGATGATATGTTTGGCTAAACGTTTGGGAAATGTTTTGTTCAAATGTTAAAATCATATGAAAATGTATGGTCTTGTGATTATCAAGAAAAAATATTTATAACATTACACACCAACATAAAAAAAACATTTTAAAAATATTGTTTTAACATTAAGCATTATTATAACAATATCATTTTGATATTATCAAAAATGTTGATATAACATATTAATGATATCTTTCAAACAATTGAAGGAAATTTTATTAAAATGTGAGCCATCTATTCGTAAGACCATACATTTTGATATCATTTTAACATTTCATAGAAAAATTACATTATTGTTATTCTCAAATGTTTTTAATATGTTATTTTAGAAATGTTAATGAAACGTTGTAATGATGTCTCATTAATGTTTGAAGGAAATGTTTTTAAAATGTGGGCCATCTATTTCTAAGATCATATATGTTTATATGATTTAAACATTATTAACTACTACTGGAAAATACTGATAATTTGTGTAACGTTGATTAAATGGATATGCTGACTTTCAAACCATCTACTAACTGGATGTTTTACGAATCATCATTCGTTTACAAAAAAAGGAGGTCTATTTACTCTCCAAAGTGAGAAAAATACATGTATATAAATCAACTGTAGGTTATTTGCATGCTCTGTAAGTCGGTTAAACTACAAATTTTGCTCAAAAATATATTCGCAAGACCCCCTTCCACTCTGTATTATGCGTATAGTAGAGCATTATATATGAAAATCAACTACACGTTTAGTCGGAGGAGTCATTCTTTTTTTCCTCAATGTCGTCAGAATCGTCACAGCCAGAGCCATGTATACACGGAGTTTGGCCAACTTGGTTTCACTGGGTCACAACATGGCGTATATGTTTTTGTTGTTATGTGCTTGTCCAACAAAGCAGTAGTCGCCATGTTGTGTCCAACTCGAACTGGGTTGGCCAAACTCTGTGTATAAATGGCTCTGGTCACGGCTAAATCTGGGTATAGTGGTATAGCGCCATCTTTCGTGGTATTCCCTACATCTTTGCGAGAATAACAAAAATGTATCTTTTCATTTGTTTCAAGCAACCAATGAGTTTATGCAACCAGAAACGGTTGTAGAAGTATATTTCTTTATTATTTCTTAATTCAATTTAATTATTTATTCATTTATATATTCATTTAATCATTTGTTGTAAAGCTTTTTTTTTGTGGCTTGCACCCAGTAAATATTTATATATTTATTTATTTATTTGTTGTAAAAAAAATATTTTGGCTTGCACTCATTAAATATTTATAGGCTATATTTATTTATTTGTTTATGTATTCATTTATTTATTTATCTTCTTTCTTTGTCATCAGTGAAACACAAATCGGCCACACTGCAATGCATCTTGCGAGACCCTCTCCAATTTGCTCTGTATTGAAATTTCATGAACTTGAATTCTCTTAATAACTCATGGAAACAAAAAGTGCATTTTCACTTTCTTGGGAGTGACGTCAGTGATCACTTGTTTAGGAGTGAATATCGATTGATTTTAGAGTGTTCTCTAAGAAGAAAAGAGTGAATTTTCACTTTATTTTCATTCTATTTTCATTCCCCAGGGGAGTGACGTCAGTGATCACTCGATTTTTTTTTTTAGAGAGTTAGACAGGGTTTGTATAGAAACATAATTTGCAATAATCATATTCAGGGCGCATGTATGATTGAACGTTTCCTTCAGGAAAATAGACATTTCTGATTGTTTAAAGTGCTGATAAAATAGGAGGAAACCTAACCAGATACGTGACAGAGTTGCCAATTAGTGTAGATTTGATTGATCGCGACTTGACAAATTAATAACTTTCTTACTTTTCATCGGATTTTGCTCAACCTTTAGCTGTTCAGTTTCTCTCATTTTTCTATTTCTATTAAAACCAACTTAAAATCAGTGTGGACTTCCCGTTTCACTCTGATTTGACACTTTTTACCATTCCCAAAGCCCTGAGATAGCTCTTTAGTTCCGCGTCAAGTTCAGGCCCTGTCTTATAAAGAGTTTATATTAAATCCCAACAATGTGCATAAGAGATGGGAGACGGCAAACTTGCGATTGATTGGAGGACTCAATCGCAACTTATTATAAGACGGTCACCTGAACAGCTAAAGTACAGATCCTGTGCAATATACTGTCAGCCTAGTCTCAAAGTGCAGATGCTGATTGACAATTGCTTGTGTCTACATCAGTGGCGGAACCAGGGTGGGGGCATAAGGGGCCCGAGCCCCTACCCCTGGCATAAAGAAAAGTTTTAAAAAAGATGGTAACAACAATTATAACTTGAAGAAGAGAAAAAGGAGACGGGCCCCCACCCCTGGGGATTTAAAAAAAATATTTTTTTAAACCATCTTTTTTCGTAATACTTTTTTTGGGAAGAAAAAAAAAAAACCAAAAGGGGAAATTATTTTTTTTACCTATTTTTGTTGTTGTTGTTGAATAAAACAAAATAGTGCTCACCCCCCCCCCCACATTGAGCACAAATATATATATATATATTTAGTGTTCCTACTGCCTCCCCCCCCCCCCCCCCCCGCTTATTTTCTGACGAATTGGGCCCCCACCCTTGCCGCCGGCTGGTTTCGCCTCTTTTCTACAAGTCCAATCGACTAATTACTGAATTGCTTTGTCACTATGTTAACACCACTCAAACTGTGTGAGGTATTGGGCCTATTCCTTAACGGTCACATAGAAACCATAACTTCCTTATATCATGCGACCAGTTATGTTACGAAAAGAGTTGATCATTACACTCATATAAGAAAAATCTGCAATTATATATGACTGTACAGTGGCGGATCCAGGGGGGGGGGGCACAGGGGGCACGTGCCCCCCCCCCCGGCCCAAAAAAATATGGTTAAATCATTATGATATCGGTTGTTATTTGCGATTAATCCCAATCACAACCGATATCATAATGATTTAACACTGTTGCCCATAAAATTGAAAATAAATATTTTTTACCTATTTTCATGAATTGATTGTGAGAATATAATATTTTCTTGATAGTTTATCTTTTCAGAATTGTATTAATCAATCTGAAGAGTCATTGATCGATACAGTTCTGAGAAGATATAGGCTTTATCTTTAAACAATTTTGGTGTGGGAGGTAGATTGAATAATATTGAAAGCCAGAGTGTTTTTGTTTTTATGTCAATCTGTTTGAATTGTTTTGTCGAAATTGTGAAGATGTCTGGGCAGTGAGCCAGTTAAAACACTCCATTATAAAGGAAATGGTTTGGCAACGTGAGTCTCCAAGAAAACTCGAGAAAAATCGTTGAGCCAGGCCTGAGACGTGACTCTGCATGAGAGATATGGTTAAAGCCAAGACAGTGTTTAAGCATGTAGTAGGTCCAGGGTTTAAAGAGAAGATTGAGTTATGGGAAGAGGTGACAAATAATTTGTGAGCGTTATCACTGTATTATACAAGTGTGGAAGATCATCAGAGAAAAAATGTTCCCTGAAAAGCATGGCTCTTCAAATGCCTTAATATTCTAAATATGGCATGTAACATCGTAAAAAATCGGGACAGATTTGTATGCCACATGTTCGTGTAGTCGCATATACATCTTTCTGTGTACAGTGCTGGTAACTTTACCAAGACTGGGTCAAATTTCTTATCATTTTGATGGTTCTAGAACCTTTTCTGATTGATTCCACAACGTTTCTTTCACAATGCAATCGCATGACCTGGGCCCCGTCTTACAAAGAGTTCTCCTCCAATCAATCACAAGTTTGCAATCTCCTATCTCTTATGTACATAGTTGCGATTGATATAAC